ATGAGGTTTGAACGTTGTATATGTCAACAGGTGTTCGCCGGCATTATCACGTGATGTCATGGTTACGAGTTGAACCAATCGGTGCTCACTTCCGTTGCACGAGTTTTTCATGCGCGTTAATTCCAATCTCCATGAATGGAAGCAGACGTCGAATGTCACGTTATCAGGGTGAAGACGGCGAGAATGCCTTAAGACCGACATAAATATGAGAAAAGACACTTGTTGGTGACTACATTAGTGCCACTGTGATGCGTATAATGAAGATACCAGTTAAACGTATTCACTTACGAACTGCCCGTTGTCATTTTGAATGGACATTGAAACTATCGACAAGGTAAGTGCACGAATTCATGATTAAAAATATGTTTGTATCCTATAACATGTGGGCTATTTACACATTCGGGAATAGTAACGTTTAGGGTTGTAGTGAGTGAGTGAATTAGGGTTATTACCGCTGTCGCCAGTAGGCCAGAGATTCAGCTTGGTAACTTAGCATCAACAAGTGATTAAAGTATATCGTGGTACGGCTGTTTTTTTACAGTAAAATGTTTAGCTGAACAACATGTCAAACAATACTCACTCATATACATATTGACCGCGAATCACTGCGTTCTAGACTATAGTTAATTCCAAACACTGTATAGTTTGGAAAATAGGTTGTCTAATAAGTATACTGACTGGAGACCACTACGCCAACACCCCGTTATAGCGCACACGCTGCGTATGGTTTTGTATTACGTATTTCAAAGTATGAGGAACAAGGTTGAATCTACATGCCGAAATTCAATTTTCGGAAACTCACACAAGTGACTAGTTCATGTTAATGCAAAATAGAAAAACTAGATGAAATTAGTTCAGTGACTGTTACACTCTGTCTGTCATTTCTTCCCCGATTTCACCACTAAATTTAGCCGTTTTTTATCAAATAGGGAAAGACAGAATGCGTTGAGAATCCATGGGGAGGAGTGGTTTGGATAAAAACATGAACTTGCGTTGACATATGACAATTTGATAAAAGCATTTACTATTAACTAAAGTCGATCAAAACTATTTGAAATTAGTTTCCATTGGTAGCAAGCTGCTCACGTTATTTCACCACCTATCCTATCAACTCTCTCATGTATTCATAGATAACAAATCTGTGTTATTCTCTTGTCGTCACCTTGTTGTCATTGACATGGTCTCAAAGCAATAATGGTATCCTCAGTTCAATTAAAGAAAATATACGAGAAACGGTCACTTTAAGAACCGACAGAGACGAGTATGTTCTCCAGCTTCAACACACCCTCTCTCTGAAATCTGAAACACATCCTCACGTTGACAAAAGCTCAGACAAAATGTACGTAACAAGGTTGAAAATAGATGCTTGAACGGTTTTTGTGATGTGTCGCCGACGTGGAGGTCAACTTTTCTATGCATATGTTGAGTGGCGTTCAACCCCTCTGGTAACAAGTGTTTGCCCATAATATTAGAAACTAGAATATACCATATTTCTCAACGTAAATTTACATTGGCAAGACATCTCCACTGCGAGTTAAATAACGGTATTCATTTGGTCTATTGACAATGAAATATGCCATGCCGGCTCTTCCATAAGCGATGACGAAAGCAAACAGATCGAGTCTCTCTCACAAGATACAGGATATAGGTGCAGTTTCGGACGCAACGATTAGGGCTAAACCATATTGACTCTATAATATACTCATTAAAACAGATTTAGTAGTATCTTGTTGGAAAATTGAGCAAAATTCGGAACTACCTGAAGACACATGCATGTCAGAGTAAATTTGTCCTCCCACCATGGGAAGTTATAGGGCCTGCCTAGACGACCAAGTTGCCTGGGTTACATGGGTTACACACAACAGCTGTCCGTGCTCACGTGGGCTCCATTCTGAGAAAACCATGCAATGCTGGACTTTGCCTGTGAAGAATGTGGTCAGTAGATATTGGGGGTGTATTTTGCTGATCAAAATGTTCCGAGTAGCGGGGAAAGTATAACCTTCCGCATGCATGGTTAAGTGTTACCGTGTTATCTGAGGTCGTCTAGAAGCAAGACCCCATGTGTTCACATAACAGTCGAGGCCAACAGCTCTAAGCAGTGGTAGAAAAAACAAACCAGACAGATAGTGACAATCTGTTTAGTTAACTTCGCAAAAAAGTCATTGTGAAGACAGATAAAATTGGTGACATGAAACCAATGGCTTGAATCGTTTAAGAAAATGTGATCATGTAGAAATGTGATGAGTGAGTGAGTGAGTTTGGTTTTACGCCGCTTTTAGCAATATTCCAGCAATATCACGGCGGGGGACACCAGAAATGAGCTTCACACATTGTACCCATGTGGGGAATCGAACCCGGGTCTTCGGCGTGACGAGCGAACGCATTAACCATGAGGCTACCCCACCGCCCCAGAAATGTGATGAATGATCAAGTATTGGTAATTGGCCACGGCGCCGAAATAAGATTTCTTAATCTCAATCATCTCTGTACTGGTCTAAATATTGGATTTGCTATTTCATAACATCTGATTAGGCGTACTGGTAGACTTTTCGACAAAGGCTTTTTGAGGTTCCTTCATATAAAAAGCAGGAAATGCCCCTACTATGTTATTCTCTTGGAGTGAGATCTCCCGTCAGTGTTGATATAACATATATACCTTTCGCATTGGGAGGCGGACGGAGAGCTGACCTAATGAGTCTAACCAGCAAGGTATCTTGACAGCACGATAAGCAGAACCTTCTTTGCTGCATTTTCTTTTATTCTGTAAATAAAATAACAATTGAAATAATGTCACTTCTTCCAATTCAGTGACAGTATAGAAATAAGGTTAAACAGAACCCTTATTTACGACCAAAAGTTGCGTTCATCATAGCGTGAAACAACTGTATGTACATATTCTACACATACAACGGAAAACAGGTCAGAGCGCTGTTCTGGAAAGCGATCTTAGGGCTGAGGTAACTCCAAAACATTAACTATGTAATGAGGTAGACGCTGTGAGAAGGCAGTGATAACAATGTGTCCCTCCATACTTAACCTTTGGTGTAAGAATACAGTTAAATCTACTGAACCAATATTAACATCACACCAGAATGTCCCTGGTATTGTCTCCCTACATTCACATGCTGTTAAAAGATGAGCTAAAGGTTTTACAGTCAAAGACTGACTGAGTTTGGTTTTACGCCGCTTTTAGCAATATTCCAGCAACATCACGGCGGGGTACACCAGAAATGGGCTTCACACATTGTACCCATGTGGGGATTCGAACCCGGGTCTTTGGCGTGACGAGCCAACGCTTTAACCACTAGGCTACCCCACCGCCCCTTACAGTCAAAGAAGGCAATGGGGATAGTCACAGCAGAGGTATCCTTAAAAATGTTACCCCTAGTAATTAAAACATGGTGGCATTGAGGGAAGCGTACATACGAGTCCGTACCATTTATACGCATGCATCATTATTACCCCTTCTGTCCGATTTCAAACAGATTTTGACCAAAACATACTATTAAGTTTCAGGAATGAAATTGTACACATACAAGTTTCTAGTTTCTATCTTAAAACAGTTTGATAAAGGGTGTCTATGACTTTTTACTGGTCAGGATCTCAAAGTTAGAAAAGTTAATAAAAAATTGTTTCGCCCTTGCTCCAAGCTTTTCATGTCATGTACGTTCTTCGTGAAATAGGGATAAGTTTCTCAAAAACTACAAAAATTACATGAATAATAGTCGTCATGCTAATCTGTGATATTTATCAAGACAGACTTGTAAAATTGATACAAAGGTTACTTGCCTTGCTACAATGTTTCAATTTTGTGAATATACGATCATTACCAGCCCTAGATCAATGCCATTTTACTTTGTGCATCGTGTCTGCAATGGGGACAAGTTTTCTTAGAAACTAGGAAAGTAACATGGATGAATCTTCAGAGGTCATTATTCAGAACCAGTTAGAAACTTGGAACCATTAATTATTTATGGTTACTTTCGTTCCCACTTTTCAGATTTTTAGTAGAGACCGTCCCCAACCTTGATGCATGTCCTTCCTCATGGTCCATAGGGGCTGCAGTGGGGCCAGGTCTTTTCAGAAACTACTGAAGTTAAGTCAGAAACGAACCTTCTGTACTAGAGAATATGTACTACCAGTCGAAAATTGGTGGCATACAAATTATTCCAGAGAAGGGGTTCATCTGTGTGTTAATTCACAATTGAAAAAAATGTTCACCTGAAAGCAACCTATCTCTCCAAACATCATTCGTAGGCTATATTTTTCCAGTCAACACTAACTTTAGTATCATTAGCTACTGTATGAACAGGCAAAAATTTTAACATGGAAGGGGCTATAATCCTCTAAGGCATAGCAATTCGCTGTGCAGAGTTGCATCCCAGAAACCTATTATCATGTGGTCAGATCCCAGCTATCTGTTTATTTCTAGGTTTGTCTGCACCATACCTGTGCTTATGTGTTTCACCAAAGTTGTAAACTTCCACCTTGAGCTTTACCGTGCATTATGCTGACGCTCTGGCATTATTGAAACTATTCTTCAATTCACTCACTCATACACTGTGGGGGTAGTGATAATATGTTGTTCCTGTACAATTTGATATGTAATGTGCGTGGTCTAAGACCTGACTAAACTATTTCTGTATGTATAATTATGTTCATGTTGTGTAGCAATTGACATGTCAGCTCTAACTCACTGCTGAACACTGCTTTCAGCAATATTACAGCAGTCAAACAGTCTGTTGTTTAACACCATACTCAGCAATATCCCTGCTAATTTCTCATAACCTGTTTGTTGTTTTAACAACATACAATACGACAATAGTCTGTTAACAATCAAGTCTGGACCAGTCAAACTAATGAATGATGTGAACAACTCCCAGGTCATGGGTATGGTGACAATGCTTCTGGTTTAATGTCAACATCGTTAAAGAGCACATTTTTAACAAGAAATCAGTCTTCGACCCAGGCCTACCATTCACAAACCATAAACAAACAACTTGATGCTGATATTTTATTTGATATCAAACACATTCTGTTACTAAAACAGATCTAAGTAAGTAGACATACCAATAAATATATCACAGTTGTGCTTGGTAAATACAGGCATTATAGGTATAGGGATTACAGGAAGTAACTGACCAGTCCAAGCACCTGCAACTGAGGGCCTATGAATGGAACAAAAGAAGAGGGACATCACAACAACCTACTGAGTCAGACTATCAAGGCCTGAAAGGATACATGATCAGATTTAGAAATGAATTTGTATTTTCACTCATCCACAAAACCAATAGGCTGAAGAGAAGCCATCTGTCTGAAGTTAAAAGTGATAGACCTGCGGTCTTTCTCACCTTCACAAGAGGCAGTCTACCTAACTCAGGCTAATTCCTAACAGTGGTCCTGCCTTCTAAATGAGGAATATTTTGGATAAAAAAAAACCATTAATAGCTAAATTATCATTATTATTATTAACATTTGATTACTATCAGTACTAACAAGAGTTGGACAGCATCTTTACTTAGTGATGATATTCTAAACGACAATTCACAGCAGCAGAAATTCAGTCAATGTAAACCATGATGTGATTTGTAACTGTTTTGAGTGCATCATAGTTGTCTTTAACAAATACACCTCTAAATAGTTAAGGATTAAAACATAACACTATTACATAATACTAATACTCTCTTGGTCTTATGTTATTTAGAAGAATTTATGTATAACTTTAAACTCAATTTTCAAATCATTATCAAAGGCTACAAAAGAACAGAATAGAGATAACAGATACATTTTCGGTGATTATATGATTTCACTTTAAAAAAAACATCCCACCTTGCTAAGTACTGTTGAACATAGATCATGTCGCCCTGAATCTGCTCCTATGGTGACCAATTGTCAAAAAAAACATCTGTTCTATCTCTCATGTGTTATTTGACAGTGGATCTGCCCAACCAATATCACAATGCCATATGAGAAGAAACTATTGTAACAAACTTGCCCTTGTTATCAAATTAAGCACTTTTTAACACGTAAGTATTCACAAAAACACCAACATATCCATTACGGCACTCAAGAGCACTTAAGATGTGTACATACATAATGACCAACAAAAACATTTCTTCTGACTGTAAAAAATATATCAAATGTCTTCCCAAAAACAACTTTTGCTACTTTTATTATGGAAGTGTATATAAAAATATAAACGGGTTCCACAAACATGTAAACATTGACTTCATTTCACTCTAATCTGTACATTACAATTACAATATCACTATATACAAATACATTATACATATGTTAATATCATGAACATGTTGAGAAGTTCCTCCCAGTTTGATGCTTGTACCATCCACGATGGTCTGACTAGATGCCGCCTGTCCTGACTCCCCTCACCGTTCCAGGTCACTCGGGGACATGCACGTCTCCACCTCTCGACGTTTCTGCATCAGACTCTGAAACAGGAAACAAACCATCTTCATGCCTTCTTTATTCTAAAATCTCCCAAACTTCAATGGATTTTGTGGATATATCATCTTCTGTATCTCCAGGGCCCACGTTTCACTAAACTTTAACTAACCCCTACATCCATTCCTGTGGTTCTTGATATGAAGAAGACTTGAATATCCACACAACGTTAGGAAATCAGGGTGAACTGGGTTTCAAGCCCATAATAGATTCAGGCATGATTATGGGATACAGCAAGGAGGCAGAGGAAATAATTCAAAGGAAACATAATAACTATTGTCATTGATATATAATGGGGCACTATGAGACTGACCTTCTTGAGAGTGGACAGTTGTTGCAGGATCATGTCCTGCCTGGCTGTTGGGTGACCTTTGACCAGGTCAGGGTTCAGGATGGGATCCTGGAAGAAAGGAATCACATGTTAAGTGTACAGCAATGACAGGACATATAATGTCCATATCCATACATCACCACAAGGATGCACATGACGACTGACCAAGCGTAACTTTTACCCTTCTTCCTTTTCTAATCATGTGTGTTGTTTCTCGTTTAATGACAAGCATATTCCAGCAATGTGTACATTGGACCTGACAATCAAGTGATTGACTTCATTTGCATTGATATATGCAGCTGGGAAATGACAATATGAATCATCCAAGTCAATAAGCCTGACAACCAAAACCGCATTTGAAAAGGTATTTGATTACTATGATAACAGCAACCACAAACAAGGTTATCCAAATCACATAACTTTGTACTTACATTCTTGTCTGTTTTGTCGTGGAGATTCTCCACGCTTCTGCCATAGCTACCAGGATTATGGTTTTCCACATACGCCTTCCGACCCTTCTTTATCTTACTGTTCTCCCGCGACAACTGCATGGGCTCGACAGCTCTGGCTGGGTCAAGGATCTCAGTGGTCCGAGTAAAGGGTACAAAATCCCCCCCATCAACTGGTGCCTCAATAGGGTTCCTATCAAGGTAATGGCCTTGTTTGGACTTCCTGTCACTGGCTGGGGGATTGTAGTTGGAGTAACTATACTGGTCATTGTCATAACTGTTTTCATAACCATTGTCCAGACGGAGGACCTGGGTGCCCCTGCCAACATCACGCTTGTGTCTGAGGGCAGGGACAGGAGGGGAGAGTCCCGACACTTCATTAGTCCTGAGGGTGGGGATGGGGGGCGAGGGTGAGCGCCTCCTCCCCGGTGACTGTCCTCCCCTCATCCTCTCCTGACTCCTGTGGGGGGACAAACTATTGTTATTCCGTCTTTTCACATTTTGTCTATCTGGCGAAAGTGATCTATATTTTGTATCATACTCATTCCTGGGTGAATATCCTTCTTTATTTGGCGAAGGACCACGTGATCTGTTACTGCCCACCTGGTCAGGAATAATAGGTTTATTGAGTTCAACAAGAGCAAGTAACTCCTTCCCCCTCTTTTTGCCCTCCTCTCCTCACTCCTCTGTCGCTTTTTTTCATAGAAAGGATCTCGCTCCGACTGTTTGACGTTCCTGCGAAGCTTGGGGTTTTGGTAGTTCCATTTGGTTTTGTCTCCTTGATGTTCTTTCGCGACTCTTTCCCTTTGCCTCCCGCGTTTCAGTTCTGCTTTATCTTCCTTCTTAGCACTGATCACACGCACTTTCTTCGTCTTCTCTGCCTGTCTTTCTCTCATCACCTCCTCCTTGAACCGATGCCCACTTCACTGATTTCACGTCTCCTCTCACCAAATTTCTCATTCATATTCTCCACTGAAGCAATAATAAAAGATGCTTAAAATAAGCTGAACATATGCTTACCATTTCCTTAACAAAACCCATGTTAACAATGTCTACTATAGACTTTGTGAAGTGAAAACATTTCAGAATTAGTCACAACAAGCAAGACTGTCAGATAAAACACATTTTTCATTTCCAGACATAAAAAATGACCCAAGATTACATGTTCTTAGACATGAAAATAAATGAAAATTAAGCATTTCTTTGGTTTAGCAAAGGCTGATATGTAATTTACAAGAACACATGGAAACAATATCACTCATACTGCAGTGTATACTGAAGTCAAAGTATACAAAATGGAGTTTTAGGAGTCCTCACTGACCCCTTGCAACAAAGGTATTAGACGGTTTCACAGCACTTCACTGGGATAACAATGGTTATTGATGTGGAGGTTAGACAATAATGGTGACACTTTTTCATATATTTTGGTTTACAGGTTTGTGCAACTTAAGTCAAAATGAAAAATAAATGCTTGAAAGATACATTGTTATATATATTTGGGAATGGCAACAGATGCACAGCACCTAGGAAGCCCACTGCAACACATTTATAAACACACAGAGAACAAATCTGTCCCTGGCATGAGCTGTTTCAGACACAAATATATTCTGTAACCACATAACATGTGAACCATAAAGCATTAACCGTGCCACCAATATATCACTTCACCCACTGTGACTCGTATATATATATATAGTGTAGAGAGACTAGAACATGAGTATACAATATATAGAGATATATCTTCACCCACTGAGACTGTTCATTACTATATATACTATGGAGGGACTAGAACATTGGTATAGCAGTATGTCTATGTCTACAGATATGTCACAACACACTGTTATCACTCTACCATACATACCTGGCCTGGTGAGGAGGGAACTGTGATCTCTCTTCAACTACAGCTACAAGACATTCTATCGGTACAGTAAGACACATCTACTAGCTGCAGGTATAGGACTTTGGAACGTAGGGTATTCAACAACAGAGGAAGAGCAAGCAAGTCTGGTTTGCACTGTACTTGGGATTTCAGTTGTAACAGCATTATATGGGAGGAAAGCCTGATAACACTCTTGGATGTTTATTACTGACGTGAAGTCCAAGATCAGTTACGGGGGATGACAAACTAGAATCATGATCAATGCTAAAAAGGGAACCCCGATCATAGGATTCTTCCTGTACCTCAGACAACGGGTCAACTATGCTACAGTGTTATGGCTATTTCAGGTATGCAGTAGAAAGTGGCATAAATACATTAGTAAGATGAAACAGTGCTGGCTTTAAAGGTGGAGGTTTCAGGTGTGTTCCAGGTCAGAAGTTGTTAATGCACTAGGCTGCTATGGTTAGGAGGGTAGATGTTGATTCCCAGTCTTCATCATGCTTTCCTGTTTCTGGTGGAGGTTGCACAAAGCTATCTTAGTGCTAAGGGGATCGTACCTCTCAAACTTTAAAATAGGCTTACAGAAGTCACAGAAGTAAGATCGCTCTGTCCAAGGGGGATCATAACTCTCATACTTTAACAAAGGCTTTCAGAAGTCGCAGCAGTAAGATCACCTTTAGCAAAGGGATCGTAACTCTCATACTTTAACATAAGCTTACAGAAGTCGCAGTAGTAAGATCGCTCTGTCCAAGGGGGATCGTAACTCTCATACTTTAACATAGGCTTACAGAAGTCGCAGCAGTAAGATCGCTCTGTCCAAGGGGGATCGTAACTCTCATACTTTAACAAAGGCTTACAGAAGTCGCAGCAGTAAGATCGCTCTGTCCAAGGGGGATCGTAACTCTCATACTTTAACATAGGCTTACAGAAGTTGCAGCAATAAGATCGCCTTGTGCAAGGGGGATCGTAACTCTCATACTTTAACATAGGCTTACAGAAGTCGCAGCAGTAAGATCGCTCTGTCCAAGGGGAATCGTACCTCTCATACTTTAACATAGGCTTACAGAAGTTGCAGCAATAAGATCGCCTTGTGCAAGGGGGATCGTAACTCTCATACTTTAACATAGGCTTACAGAAGTCGCAGCAATAAGATCGCCTTGTGCAAGGGGGATCGTAACTCTCATACTTTAACAAGGCTTACAGGAGTCGCAGCAGTAAGATCGCTCTGTGCTAAGGGAATCGTACCTCTCATACTTTAAAATAGGCTTACAGAAGTCGCAGCAGTAAGATCACCTTTAGCAAAGGGATCGTAACTCTCATACTTTAACAAAGGCTAACAGAAGTCGCAGCAGTAAGATCGCTCTGTCCAAGGGGGATCGTAACTCTCATACTTTAACAAAGGCTTACAGAAGTCGCAGCAGTAAGATCGCTCTGTCCAAGGGGGATCGTAACTCTCATACTTTAACAAAGGCTTACAGAAGTCGCAGCAGTAAGATCACCTTTAGCAAAGGGATCGTAACTCTCATACTTTAACATAGGCTTACAGAAGTCGCAGCAATAAGATCGCCTTGTGCAAGGGGGATCGTAACTCTCATACTTTAACAAAGGCTTACAGAAGTCGCAGCAGTAAGATCACCTTTAGCAAAGGGATCATACCTCTCATACTTTAACATAGGCTTACAGAAGTCGCAGCAGTAAGATCACCTTTAGCAAAGGGATCGTAACTCTCATACTTTAACAAAGGCTTGCAGAAGTCGCAGCAGTAAGATCGCTCTGTCCAAGGGGGATCGTAACTCTCATACTTTAACAAAGGCTTACAGAAGTTGCAGCAGTAAGATCGCTCTGTCCAAGGGGGATCGTAACTCTCATACTTTAACATAGGCTTACAGAAGTCGCAGCAGTAAGATCACCTTTAGCAAAGGGATCGTAACTCTCATACTTTAACATAGGCTTACAGAAGTCGCAGCAATAAGATCGCCTTGTGCAAGTGGAATCGTACCTCTCATACTTTAACATAGGCTTACAGAAGTCGCAGCAGTAAGATCACCTTTAGCAAAGGGATCGTAACTCTCATACTTTAACAAAGGCTTGCAGAAGTCGCAGCAGTAAGATCGCTCTGTCCAAGGGGGATCGTAACTCTCATACTTTAACAAAGGCTTACAGAAGTCGCAGCAGTAAGATCGCTCTGTCCAAGTGGAATCGTACCTCTCATACTTTAACATAGGCTTACAGAAGTCGCAGCAGTAAGATCACCTTTAGCAAAGGGATCGTAACTCTCATACTTTAACAAGGCTTACAGAAGTCGCAGCAGTAAGATCGCTCTGTGCTAAGGGGATCGTAACTCTCATACTTTAACATAGGCTTACAGAAGTCGCAGCAGTAAGATCGCTCTGTGCAAGGGAGATTGTAACTCTCATACTTTAACAAGGCTTACAGAAGTCGCAGCAGTAAGATCGCTCTGTGATAAAGGGATCGTAACTCTCATACTTTAACATAGGTTTACAGAAGTCGCAGCAGTAAGATCGCTTTGTGCAAAGGGGACAAGCACAATAGTCTTCCTCCAAGAGGTTTTAAACAAGGGGAGCAGAAAGGTCTGTATTAATACCCTTAATAGCTTGAGAACAGAGACTGTCAGGAAGACACATGGCCAGACTGAAGGAATCAAATAAAGCAGCTGTGGTACAAGGTCTTGGTTTGCAATGGCAGACCAAAGCAGATATTTTCAAGTGGCAAATTCAAAAAGCTAATTACTATCGATTTCAGTGATGCTCTTTTGGCCAGTCAAACTATTTTTCATTTTATTAGATGCACTTACCATGAATTATATCCAAAGATTTTCCTTTTTTAATGCAGTGTTTGACTTGACTGATTTTTGTAAAAGTCTTAAATGAACCCTGACAACTGTATTGGTTGCTTGTTTCTCGGCAGTTTATGAAAATATGAAACAAGATTGGTCTGGTCTTTAAAACATTGATGTTACAGTGAATCCTTTTTCTGACTTCAGACGTAATAATTAAGGAAAGATTGCCACTCAAGATCATAACTGTTTTATGCGTACATAGGGTATCTGCTTTTGATGCCTCTCTGTCCACTTATTAACACTGGCATGACCAACTCACATGACTTCCCCTACATGGACATCCAACTCCATGTCTTTGCAATAATTGATTGAAGGTTTAATTTCACATTCTACTGTCATATCACATCAATTGTCAAAGCAGGCCAACCTGTATGAAACCCAGTCTACCAGATACCGTATGTATGCAGTCTGCCTGTCACACGGCGTGGATATATACAACCTGATCAGCAACTACAGGAACACTGCAAGCACCTGCCTCTACACGGGTCTCCCTACGTCAACAGCTTACCAAGAGTCTGTGTCCCGATCTCACGCCTAGGGGAGCTAGGGTCGGGGCGCGGGGGCTGACTGGGATGCCGGTACCTACTTGGAGTGAGGACTCTGTTCTCTGTGTACGGGTCATGACTCCCCACGACGGGGTGGGGCAAATCCACAGTTCGAGATGAGATTTCTGGAAGACCATACTTCGTGTTGCTGGAGTCATGGCTTTGTCTTGAAGTGAGGTTAAGACTTGGAACATGCACAGGCTCCACCTGCTGGACACGAGGGGACATGGCTGCAAGGGAAGATAACTCAGTGTTACACAATATAATCTCCCCTGATCCAAACAAGTACACTCCATTTATCATGAAGGAAGGAGAAATGTTTGTGACAATTTGACTTTGCCCATGGGAGTCCTTATAGACCTTGACTCATGTTTTAGACTATTGTATGGCTTTCCTAAAATACAAGTTAACTCGGAAGAAAGCAATTCAATTTGCAAAATCTCACCTGATTCACACCCATTACTGACTGATATTGTACAAAGTTTAAATTTGAACTGCTACACAAAAAATAAACACTGATGCATGCATTTACTGCCTTCTGAAATTGGTGGTCAGGCTGGTTGAGTTGGTTTGAATATGTCATCATATCCCAATTCTGTAGATTGCTGTAGATCACTGGATTGTCTGGTCCAGATTTGATTAATTACAGACCAACGCCAAATAGCTGGAATATTGCTGAGTGTGGTATTTAACAACAAACAAACCTTATCAACTTGGTACAACATATGGCTCCGACACCCCATTTCAAACATGTATATAGTTACAATGAATTATCAGACAAAGCATGCATTCCTATATCAACATGCCAGACATTGTGAGGCTTCATCAGGGGAAGGGACAGTATAATGGCAAGCTTCTTGCAACTGCCCTGTGATGAACGTTTAAACTGTGCAGGAAAAATCTCAACCAAACAGGTGCATGGAAATGTAACTATGAAATATAGTGCCTATGACAGATGATCTGAACAACTGTTAAATTGTTGAGACATTGGTGTGGTACAGAACTGACAATACTGGTAACATCATGCATGCCAGAAGTCTGCATTGAGCAAGTCTTCAGGGGTAACCCATCATATATCCATGGAATGTCTAACTAACATCGTTCATTGTACAAAACATGCAGGATTAACAGGTGTCTCTGATGTGCCAAACGTGCCTGACTGACTGAGTTTCAACAACGTGCATGACTGACTGAGTGAGCTTCAACACGGTGCATGACTGACTGAGCTTTAACAACGTGCATGACTGACTTGACGTCAACAAAGTGCATGCTGTGCGAGATCCGGGGTGCAGATACCTGGAAGTGAGCGTGCGCTGACCACAGGGTCACTGAGGTCAGACAACACAGACTGTCTGGCGTCCGGCTCTACAACAACACAGTGGCAGATGCAAACAGAACTGGCTTCATAAATCAGCAGAAACAATGAAAATGATGACAAAATTTAAGATAAAAGGTGCATCCCTGAGAAAGCAAACTGAGTTCATAAATCTGCAGAAACAATGAAAAATAAGATGAAAATATAAGAAAAAGAAGGTGCACCACTAAGACATTGTGAATTCTCTAAAGCAGTCATGGGTTTTGAGCGTTGTCAGCTCCATCAGGTATTGGAGGGTTAAACAAGATTCGTTTTCCTTTAATTTGATAACGTCATGGTACCGTAGCTCATCTGGATGTGCAGTAATAGTCTAAGATGTCAAGAAAGGGAGACCCTAAACTAGCTGAGTACTGTCTCTCATCTCCTTACCTAGAAATCTCCTTACCTAGAATCTCCTTACCTAGAAATCTCCTTACCTAGAAATCTCCTTACCTAGAATCTCCTTACCTAGAAATCTCCTTACCTAGAATCTCCTTACCTAGAAATCTCCTTACCTAGAATCTCCTTACCTAGAAATCTCCTTACCTAGAATCACCTTACCTAGAAATCTCCTTACCTAGAATCTCCTTACCTAGAAATCTCCTTACCTAGAAATCTCCTTACCTAGAATCTCCTTACCTAGAAATCTCCTTACCTAGAATCTCCTTACCTAGAAATCTCCTTACCTAGAATCTCCTTACCTAGAAATCTCCTTACCTAGAATCTCCTTACCTAGAAATCTCCTTACCTAGAATCACCTCTGGAGTGACCTTGACTATAAACAATAGTCAATGGAGGCAATAAATTCTTCAACAAAAACTGGTGAAAGACTGCTACATGAAATGCCCCCTTAACATCCACCCTGCAGGTGCCCCCTTACCATCAAGATGGGCCTTGAGATGGCTGATATCATGTCCCCCTTGACGCAGGTGCTCCATCTTCTTGATGAGCTTCTCTTGCTGAGCCTTCTCTTGGGCCTCATCCATTGCCATCTTCAGCTCGTTGATCCGCCGCTGTCGGGCCTCCTAAAACACACAGCAACATTTGGTGACTGATTTGAATCCTTCAAACAATTGTTTCTGAAGTATAAATTTGTACTGCTGTAACTCATACCTCCTTCTGGCGTATCTTCTGCTGTTCATTATCAAACTGATTCTGCAAGTTGTCTCTCTCACTCTTCATCTTCATCTCCTCCTCCATCTCCTCTCGCATCTTCCGTTCACGCTCCTCGCGCTTCCGCCGCTCCTTCTCCTCGATCTGCATACGCAACGCCTCCTACACACAAATGTCAGAAAGGTGAACAGCCAGGGGCAAGCAAACATCACCAACAACAAATGTCAATGTCCCAGCTTTATTTGTCTTTCAACTACAAACTCATTAAAATGCCTCATTAAACATTTGGCTAGACGACAACAATACCAGAACATCAGGTCAACGATACATTCTCTAATGTTTTAATTACTTTTGGAAAAAGATATTTGGGAATCTCTTTGTTATACCAGTCATGTAACATAGCTACCTGGTGATGAACGTATTTCTCTTTTTTCAGTTCCAGCTCCTTGCGTGTGATGGGATCAATCATGACGTTCTGACCTCGCAAGTAACTCCTGCAACAGAGATAAATGTGCAAACCTCTGAACTTCAGATTGTATCCATAAATTAAATGGTAAGCACCCATTTCTGTACAGTCAAGAGAGCAAAAAAAATTACCATAAATCTGCAGTAGATAAAAGTGAACATTTATCAGCTAACTTCTCAGATCTGAAACACCTGTGGTGCTGTTTACTAAGTTCCTTTCTCATTGGTTCATTGTTTCCCAATGGTTTGTTTCCCCTTGTTTCAATGGGAACAAGGGACATCATCCTGTCACTTTGCGAGACAGTATTCTGCAGCACAAAATCAAATACCAGAATAAGCTTGTTGCTCATGGCTTGTCAACATGGCTTCCCTCCACTTACATGTCATCGGCATCCCTGGCAGAAACCTGTGGGGCACTGCTGACACGTCCGCCATTGTCTGGCAGATCACTGACTCGACCTACGTTGTTCTGCAGATCACTGACACGACCTACAGTGTTCTGCAGATCACTGACTCGACCTATGGTGTCCTGCAGATCACTGTTGTCCAGTGCTGACTGGTTGATGTTCTGGGTGAAGCGGTCCGCCCATGTCTCAGCTTCAGCGTCCCGCTCCTTGTCACGCAACTTCCTTGCTTTGTTCTCCTCCATCTGCTTCTCTGTAACAAACACATCATGTAGTCGTCATGGAATGACATGACTCAATAACCCGTGAAGATCCGGATTAGAACAACTCATGCTTGTCATAGAGTCAATTGAAGGGGATCGGGTGGTCAGGCTCGCTGTCCTGGATGACACATCATCTCACCCCAATTGTGTAGATCGATGCTTATACTGTTGTTCACTAGACTGTCTGGTCCAGACTAGATTATTTTCAGACCGCTGCCATATTGCTGGAATATTGCATTAAACAACAAACAAAACAATAAGAAACAAAACATGACTAAACTATTTCCACTGTCCCACTTCTCTATCACAAACACCATCACTGTACTCATCATGGATACAAGCTGTCATTGATACAGCCACAGATATTGCTGGAATATTGCTAAAAGCAGCGTAAAACTATACTCAGTCAGTCATCATCATCATCATCATCATCATCACATGCCACACAGTATACCTGCCAGCTGTGCCCATAATAACATCACATGCCTCCAGGCATGTTTAAAGTTGGGAGTCTCCATTTGTAATAAACCCTGTGAAAGCAACAGGGAGACTTCCTGATAGCAATACCACTCTATTCATCAGCAGTCAGCTTGATTCCAATCACTAAGCGACAGATTTTATCCTGTATCTTTCCTCTGACTGCACAGTTTTACTCTTCACTCAACTGATAGCATTAATAACTGGACGTGACTATTTAATGATTTGTCCCAAATCACTCCTCAGGGGTGGTTGGGTAGCCTAGTGGCTAAAGGGTTGGATTTCCCACATGGGTACAATGTGTGAAGCCAATTTCTGGTGTCCCCTTGACGTGATATTGCTGGAATATTGTTAAAAGCAGCATAAAAATATCACTCATTCATCCACACAATCACTCCTCCTGTGATAATTGTGCTAAATAAGCATACATACCAAGATCTTGAAGCCACCTGCGCTTCTCATCCTGTTTATCTTTAAGGATTTTTTCATCACTTGGTGTAGCTTTCTAAAAAACAAGATAATCTGCATTTCTGAAAAAGGCCAAGCCTCACATACAATAGCTAACATAATCAAACACTGAGAGCAGAGGCACTAAAATACCTGCCAGCTGAGTCAGCATGGTGCATATATCACATGTGTCAGTATAATTTATATCAGAAGTAGGGAATAAAAAGCTGTATCTCTACTTTATTGGCATATGATGACATGCATCAACCAAGTCAGCAAACCCAACCACTCAAAACAGAATCGGTAATGCTCTATTGACAGTTACACCCTTTGCTTGCATTTCATTGGCTGTGTAGAAACTACTGTTTGAGATGGTAGATAAATCTACACAGGATGTCACTGTGACATCACTGCTGAATTGTGAGGAACAGACAATTCAAGACCTTGACCAATGAGATCTAGTGGTTTGGATTTTCTATTCGAGTTAAAACCATGAAAAAGACAAGGAATTCTATCATCAGAAATTAGTAAACAAAATATGTTATTGTCCATATCATGACTATCAAAGCATTACTTACGCCAACTTTAAATGAGCTCCTTACAGCAGCAGGTTGTGAGTCAGCAATGTCAGGAGCACTGGAAGATTCTAGATGAGATGATCTGCACAAAGGGAGATAACCATGTGTAACTAAAACACTTTGTATAATGTGGTTGTAAAGCGAAGAAAGTTTGAAAAACTCCAACCATGCTAAACGTTTCAGAAATGATACCTCAAAAGGAAAACCAGGCACACCATTCCTCGCATGTAAATTAATGGAATCCAAAGGCATAAAACTCCTCATAAGCCACTTCTATTTACTATGGTTTCTTTTCTTATAACCATTGTATGATTGGGACACCAACAAAACAACAGTATCTTCTATACACTTCTCAGGCTCTATCTCATTTCAATGACCCATATAGCAGGAGTCACCTCTTATCGATGACGAGGACGACAGTCTCTTGTTCTGGCAAGGGAGCAGGCTTGTACGAGCCGAATCTGTCAGCCCAGGTGTCATCCAGGCCAGCCTTGTCTCGCTCCTTGCTCTTCTGTTTCTTCAGCCGCTGTTCCTCTCTCTGTCTCTCTGGAACAGAGTGAGTGAGGCAATGAGTTGGGAATTTGCAACATTCCTGCAGTATCATGGCAAAGGACACTAGGTACGGGCTTCACACATAACATCTTGTCAGGAAACAAACCTTGTGACAAGCCCATGTTTGACAAACAGGCTACCAAAATAGGCATTGATTATAATAACATTTCACTAACCAGAGTGAGAAAGTGAGCAAGTTTGATAAGGCTGTATATGATGGGTAATTCAGTTCAATCAAATCATGAAGTGAAACAGTTGTTCTACAATATGCATGAGAATGGTGCTAATACAAAGCATCATAAGCAGGCCAAATCCATAATTATCAGATCCTGACATTCCCAAGGGACATAATTCTACAACGCCAATTCCTACACCTCAGATGTCTGAGTCACCCTTACCCCTTCCTAGTATGGATAATCTTATCAATGTTACGTGCTGTGTGCAACAAACATGGTCAGCATACATTCTGTTTCTACTGCATATTTTGAGTGCACTGTACTTCAGCAATGACCCTAAGGAATCGAGTGGTGCACAGTCGCAGCTTCCAGAAGATACTCACCAAGTTCTTCCAACCACTTTTTCTTTTCACTCTGCTTCGCAGTTAGAACCTTGTCCTCATCAATGACAAAACCCTGGAATCAAATCTTCAGCTATATATCACACATATATAAACATTTCCCTTAACAGTGTCAACTTGCCTCACACACCATGTTGTATTACTTGTAAACTGGTGAGAGATATCACACAGACACCTAACAGTGTTATCCAATAAGACATAACGCCTAGACAGAGTAACAACTGCTATCCATTGAGACATATCACATGGAGTAAACAGATGTTATCCAATTCGGAGTAACAGCTGTTATTCAATGAGAAACATCACACAGACACACTAACAAATGTTATCCAATAAGATATATCACACAGAGTATCAGATGTTATCCAAAAAGACATATCACACAGACACAGTAATGGATGTTATCCAATAGGACAAATCGCACACAGCAACGGATACCATCCAGTGAGACACATCACACAGACACGGAAACATGTGTTATTCAATGAGCCATATCACACAGACAGAAATGGCTGTTATTACAACAGTCAGGTCATTGGTTTTCATACACTTCTACAGACATTCCCACCTACAAACAATTCCTCATGAGAGAAGCACATCTGTTGGTGATGGCCTTGATTAGATTCAGGTTTGGAGTTTTTTAGTTATTCTCAGTCCAGATCAATTAGTTCTGCTCTAACAGATTTTCTTAGCCACTAAGTAGGTTAAGCCGAGATGCAGAGGACTAAACAAAGAATGCAAACAAGTTAAAGCAAACTGCTGAACCTACGTACTTCAGAATATTCCTGTATTTGTTAATTTTAGTCACCTAAAATATGATTCTAAAAAATACCCAATAATTAACACTGAAACCTGCAAATACTGTAGTTTCCACTGACAAAATCATACCCAGTGTTCAGAAATAATCTGCCATATGAAACCTACCTAAAAACGACAGACATGCCTGAATATGGTCCAGAGATAAGCATAAACTGATGGAAGTGTGTGAAAACCCATGACTGACCCGTCACGAGAAGCAGAGAGTCGACACAGGAGGCAACCACCATACAGCATGGGGTACTCACTGCCAGGACTACCTTGCCCTCCAGAATAGAGTGCGCACCACCTCTGTCCTGCCCCACCTTATCTTTGCTTTTGTCTGCAGTCGGCGTCTGCTTGGTGTCTCTCACTGTCTGATGTGGCGTCTGCTTGCTGTCTGCCACTGTCTGATGTGTGTCTGTTGCTGCTGCTGTCTGTTTCTTTTCTGGCAGATTCTCCACAGATTTGTTCAGCTCATCCTGTAGCAGACATGATGATGACACATCAATAACCTAGCTATTTGATTATCTGATTATGAAATCAGGTAGACACGCTGGTTTGTGTTGGTGCTTGATGCTTGTCACATCACAGTTACCATACCAAATGTCTGACGGCAGTTTCGAGATAATCTAATGTCACATAAAAGTTGTGATAATAGATGTGTGACTTGATTCTATAAACACCACTTACATGACAGAAAACCCAATCCATCACCACCATATTCTCCTATCTATAATTTATGGCTGAGGGGGTGATGATGATGACATGACATGTTGGGGGAGGAACACTTACTTTTGTAATTAAATTTTAGAGGGGTTCACTTTTAGTACATGCTTCTCCATAAAATCATCATCACCCCCCCCCCAATAGCCATAAATTATGAACAGTCCTTTATTATCTTAATTTACCACAATGTACTCCCATGCTTCAGTAACCATATCTGTGTGCAACTCCCATAAACAGTTTTGATATTGATATTTCGCTTTACAGAGCTGCCAGTTGTCCAAAAGCGTTCTCAAATAAATTGGTCCTACAAGACTTACTAGTGTAATTGTAACCTTGACGTTTTTGCCAGCCGAAGAGCTTCAGCTAAAAGGCTACAAGGGGACTGATATCTTGGCAACATAACATACATACAGTACGATCACACACATAATGTGCCAAGTGGTGAGGCTTTGTACCTTTCTTGTATTGAAGTCAGCTAGCACGTCCCCACCACTGGTCCGGAGGGGTGCACCTGCTCCTGGCCGGCCCCAGGGATCATAGTTCTGAACCAGTTCAGCTACAAGTCAATATATGTCATCAGTTACTCACAATGCATCTTTACAATGTTTACACCATTTCAAGAATAATACAATTAAAATGGTAGAAAGAGTTTAAATTGAAAGACCACTTCATGACAATTAAGGGGTGGAAATATTGACATGTTGAGTTAGAAAAGGTCTGCACTGCATATCTCCATGTGAAGGAAGAAGACCCCACCTCTCTCCCGAGCCCACTGGAGCCTCTTCTTTTCCGCAACTGTCATGTGTTTCCATGGTACCCGTGGACTCTCATAGAAAAGCACATGGTCACCACCTTCCTGCTTGTCTTCCTTATTATCTCCCTTGGCCTCGTGATTATCTCCCTTGGCATCATCTGACTTGGTGACATCTGACTTCTCCTTTCCCTGTGAGTCTCCTGACTCAGACTCAACAACCTTCTTGTCAGATTTGTTAGATTTTCCCCCCTTGACTTTTTCGGCCTTTCTCTTTCACAGATAACACAGACTCTGATGCATCATCGTCCCGTCTGGAAAGATCACTTCCTTACTTAAAAATGTATTCATCATGAATACTGGATAACACATAATCAAACCCTAAATAACAAATTTACATGATGAACATAATTATTCCAAATGGATCACGTCTTACATATGTTTTCATGTAATGTACTCGGGACAACAACATTTGAAGTCAAATTGAAATTTTAAGATTACAAATTCCAGATTTTTACTGTTATAAATTGCTCATGATGGCATAAAAAACATTCATTAACCGGAGTACCTGAGGTACAGAAGCTCACCTATCTTCTTTATACAAGTAAGACTAAAGAAGCCGTCTCCTCCTAACATGCTCCAAGCCAAGCTACTCAATTTGTGTACACATAGCTTCAATGTTATTCTTGATGTTCATAGCGCATGTCTTGATACCATTCTTTGAAATACTTAATATTTGAAAAATATATCATCATGATTTCTAAAGAGAAGCAGATGAAATGAAGGGTGTTATCTTCACATTGAAATGTTGCTACAGCAACATTTTTAATCTTTCTACAACTACTGATGCAGCGTTGAACGTGTTATAGAACTATGATTTATTATCCAAAACTGTGTTCCACTGGAGATATTGCTTGTTCGTTTTGACAGTAGATTTTGTACAGTGCCCTGATGTCATCAATTACATGAGATCACAATGCTTTGACATCATCAATTATATGACTCACAATGCTATATAAAAAAACTGATGACATCACAATGCTATGATGTCATAAACTTGATGACATCACAATGACATTGCTGCACTGCAAGTCTAATGGCAGTACAGTGTTCAGAGATGTTCATTTTTCATTGAAAACTAATATAGAGTGATTTTTGATGATAAACAGAATCTCACCCTCATGTCTGCTGATATCAATTATATATACAATAGTTAATAAAGTTACAAATCTCCAAGGCTTGCCGAGTAGACACTTAAGTGAGATTCTCTATATATTCATCAAAAAGTTCCCTATGTTCACAATGATACCAGACAGATTATGGAAAACAGACAAATAATTACAAACTAACTTTGACCTATCTGACAAGGCTCAAAGCACATGCTACAAGGCACAATCTACTTAATGCAACAGCTCCACTACTGGACCCCTACATTAAGGCTTCTCCTAGAAAATGGACAAAATGGCAAATTGTATGTTACAGTGAAACAAGCTGCCCATCAGGCATTGATCATGCTGTTAGTGACACCTGTAAAACATTCATACCACAAGCAAATACTACAGGAGAAAAGAACAAATAAAGAAAACATCATTGACAAATAGAACAAATGTGCAAACAAACTTAACTATCAATGAAAAACACAATCTAAGATGAACCAGCTGAGCTTATTTTTATATGAGTCTAAATATGACTGATCAGTATTTCAGGTACAGATGGATGCCATATCAGGAAGAAAGATGACATGATAGATTTGCTTGTGTTGACAAACCAAAGATTATGATCAATATGAGACTTAAACACACGATAGCAAGTCACAAGCTCAATGGACACCTTTTATAAATTGAAACGATAAATTGAAATCATAATGACACGTGACTGACATGTGACATGAAGACCAAACAAAACTATACTGAACTTTTATAAAAACTTAACATTCCAAATAATTGTGCAGAAGACTATCAACTATAACACTGTAAGCGCAAATGGAAAACATAACAAAACCAAACTATTCTAAACAGTAACATCTAAACAAAGGAATCAACTGAAAATGCAGTTAGTTGCCAAAGAGAAACTGCAAGGCATGCTACAGCCTCTGTGGAGAAGAGTATTGCACTAGTTCCAGTAATCACCTCCTGTGTTGGCGTCTACCATCTCTCCTTCGAGGAGACACATGTCCTGCTCTTAGTTTGCGACTTGAAACTTGCCTTACAAAACAAAACATGTTCACAAATAAAGTATCGGTATGTGGTTTTGATATACAATATACTGTCACACAGACACACACATCAGGATAATCCCCACTTGTTAATGTTTAGCATTCATAATACATATTGACAAAGAATTTCAATACAATCATGTATGGTGTATACGTGTCGTGCTGCAGACTTTGGTCTGTGGTCTGAAGCTCTAGTTCAGGATGTTTATTAAGATGTCTTCCTGTCCTGTGGAAACAGCTTATCATAGTCCACAAATGAAGATTTAAAGGCAAAACAAGTACATTTGTTTGTCTCATTATTTGTTCAAACACTATATTCAGCAATATTCCAGCTATACATGGCAGTTTGTAAAGAGTAATGTCTGGATTAGCCGATCCTATAATAGACTGACTGACAGAGTTTAGTTTTACGCCGCTTTTAGCAATATTCCAGCAATATCACGGCGGGGGACACCAGAAATGGGCTTAACACATTGTGCCCATGTGGGGAATCGAACCCGGGTCTTCAGCGTGACGAGCCAACACTTTAACCACTAGGCTACCCCACCGCCCCTCCTATAATAGATGTCATGAGATATGATCTACACAATTGGGATATGATGACATGCATCAACCAAGTCAGCAAACCCAACCACTCGAACCTGTTTGCCACCCCTGCCCAACAGCTTTTTGGCACAGAGCGTCATTATCAAGTTATTGAAATTGAATACTCTATGATGTTTAACATCATAAACATTTTTATATGTGAAACTTTAACCACACTTACACTTACACACTATCAGTTACACAGTGTTTTGAAAGGGTGTACAGGACTGTAAGACCCTTGTAAATTCCGTATTTACGCCGCCTCGGGAAATACGGAATTTACAAGAGTCTTACAGTCCTGTACACCCTTTCACAAACACTGTGTGACGAGTTTATTACTAAGATCTTTAATTTAGCTTATCTTTAAACAACAACATTCAACCTTCGGTAGAATGAGACCCAAAACGTTTCGCCATTATTTTTCCTGAACGGTCATAACGGGAGATAACTCGCCTACATGGTTTTGTATGTTTTTGCTATTAACCAATCAGAATTCAACAAATTTATCTTAAGGGTAATAATAGTTCATGTTCATGTTCACTATTAAACGATGATTAAAGATATATATGCGGTGAATGTCTGGTACAGCTTTTCACAGGTGGAATAACCTTACCCGTCATCTTTCTTGGAAGCATTGAGAAGTGAGAAGATACTGCCTTCTTCCTTCTTCTCCTTGTCTTCTTCTCGAGGAGAAGCCTTCTGTTGGTCAGTCTTCTCTGTTTCAGCGTCAGCAATAGAGATCTCATTGTTATCCTTATCTGAAGAAGACATGGTCCAACTGTATGGACTGTCTCACCAACCTGATTGTGGATCAGGTGAATATGCTCTGTGACTTGGTTATTACCATACGACAATAAAACAATAGATCAGACTCAACATTGCAAAGCCTTAAACGCATCTCACATGGGTCAGCACATCATAACGACCTGCTCATTTCCATACATTTTTCAACATGTTCGGTAGGGGTAACAAATATCCACTGATCGATTTGCTACCTCTCACATGATTTGTTCTGCCCATATTAGTGTCCATCTCATAATATCTCGCGGTATTTTGTTTCCATGGTATCAAAATGTCTGAAGCAGACTTAGCAGCAGTTATCTATTGTGTGATACTATGTGGAGAAGACAGCCATGACAAAGTGAAAAGAGAAGTTGTTGGATTCTCCATCACTACATTCACGGAGCATACACCCATCTCATAAAGAACTTGAAATTGAAGATGAACATTCGTATTACAACTTTTTTCGGATGGGAAAAGAAAGTTTTCACCATCTATTACTGAAATAATGAGATAATGAGGCACAAAACACTCCAGTTCCTCCTGTGAAAAACTGATGCTTGGTTTCTTTGAAGCAGACGAAGCCATATTTCGCGCTTGCATGTAAACATTTACCACATGACACCAAAACACAATTTGTTTGGCCGGGCCACATCCAACCTGCCAAATAACTAGAACAGGCCCTACACACTTGCAACACAATCAGCATGAGTTCGAGTGGCCCACTGTAAGGTTGGTTGAATTTGATTAATCACTCAGACGATACAACTCGGTCAAATTCGGTATATATCGATTCCACAGTATGACCCGTGTCAGTCCGCCTTTAAAGGACATTTTGTTTTTGACTCTATAACCTAACGATACAAGCATCATGAATTATTCATGAGCCAGCAGTGTAATATACATGGTCAGGGCAACCATTTTACCCCGTTATGTAACTTGGATCGCAGATCCAACTGTTCTTACATTTGCAGCACAGAACAAAATTGAACCATTGCAGGGGTTTTTTCCCATATCATAACCCCTTCACCTTTAGCTTGCTGGATTAATTCGATACTAGCACTGAGAGTATTAATAATTAACAAAGCATAATATAAACTGGTGCCAAACTTTTCAAAGCAAGTGACCCAAAATCATATTAATAATTGATAAGAGGAGGCAAGTAACCAACAAAAACAGTGACATGGCAATGAATGTTACCTGGCTCTGTAGTCAACAGTGTTAAATATCAACAACAACTAACAGTTGCTGTCAGCTTTCTGTTCAAACATTTTTCGCAGACAAAAGTTTAATTAACTTCAGGGATAACATTGGTGCACTTTGATTTCGTCTTTCATCTCTTCCTACCTATGCTAATTCTCAGTGCATTCTCCTTGCCCGAGGCCATCTTCCCAACAGAGGCCAAGATAGCATTCAACTGGTCCTGTGTTAGAGTGACAGTGTTTGCCATTGGGTGTTCCACCTTCACATCATTTGCCTGTTTCTTCTTCTTTTCAGCATAGCGTTCTCGGTTCCGTCGAATGAAATCCTTTTCTGGTCGGGGCGGATTTGGTGGCTTCTTGTCTGCAGTGGCATTAACCATATCTGGCTTAGACGTTGTATTGTCATGGCGATAAACATACACCTCTTCTTCAAATGGATCACCATCATTTGGGTTAGATCGTATTGGGTGGCGCATGTCCTTGCTCTTGTAGCCAAACTTTGGACAACAAAGAAATATGTATAAGATAACACCAACATGTTTTCAGTTTCACTAGCTAATCTTAACTTGCTAATCTGAATTCTACCATGACTTCAGTTAATAATGGATTATGATTGGTTAATTAAAGTCATTCAGAGGTATATAATCACGTTATATACCTCTGATTTTCCAACATAGTACGTATTTTTTTTAAATCTTAATAAAAAGGTTAGGGTAGAATGGAGATAAACGTACTGTGTTGGAAAATCAGTATGTTTATCCTAAATATATCCTGAGTGAGGGAGAGATTTGGGGAACACCCCTCTAAGCAGTATTTCAGGTATATCACTTCATCAGCTTAATGTGGGAGGAAAACCTGGATGATACATTCACCACATTTGTGAAATCTCCTATATAAGCTGTATAGTATGTTGGTAACAAACCTAGACACATGATCAGGTTCAACCAGGAGTCATGGTCATGGTTATTTCTCTGTGTTTAACACGTAAAACACAAATACATGTATAAATCTCATCTTAGAAATTTCAAGTTCATGTCTATGTCATAGTTACCTTTCTGGTCTTGTTTGGCTTCTTGCCTGAAAATAAAACAAACTTCATCAGTAAGTTGAACATCAGGAGAATTGGAACTACCCTGTCAGTCAGGTGGCCCTACTTCTTGGACACATACCTTTGGGAACTTCTACATACCGTATACGCAATACATACACAGTGTTTTATGCTGTTTACTCACATCCATGAACGGTTCTTTCAAATATTACTGAAAGTGGACCATTACACTGGGAATGGCTCTGTCCAAAAGTAATATTTTGCCTTTTCTCAGAATTCACCAAAATATTCTTACAATGGTCCATAAAATATGGTGCTATAGGCACTCACCCTGATCCCAGAATATAGCTGGCTTCCCAGCCTGGCCGCCCACCTCGAACCTCATGGATGACCTGGAATACATGGAACACAGACGTCAGTCGACACGCAGACAGTATCAGATAATCACAGAAAATAGCCATAAACTCTTCCAAAGTAACTTTAGGAAGGTAGTGAACATGGTCAAAGTATTTGCCCATCAGTCCTGGATTTTATTCAGTTCATGGATTTTCAAGATATTTTTGAATTATTCCTAAAACAAGATCAAACCATACTTCCTCACTCTAAGCTCACTGTGAGTGTAACATACAGTACCTATGTTAAATATGGATTTTCGATAGTCTTTTTTTACCAAAGGTAGCAAATAAATTAAATTACACCTTGTTGTCATGGTATATGTAAAATTTGTTTAATCTTTCATTTTTGAAGCTGCAGTATCAGTGAATGTGAGTTGGCATCTTGACTTCAGATTCTTTGTTCTTTAAATACAGCAATTTGGTACAGGTGCCAGTCTGCAAGTCTCAGTAACATTGCCAAGTATGTCTGGCCCCTGTCAATGATCCATTGAAAGAAAAAAGAAGCGGAAATCTGACAGTCAACTGTTACAATGGTTACTGATGAACACTCACTTCCAAGGACTGTTCTTTGAAATTGATGTACTCCATTTTTGCAGTAAATCTTTTAGTCTCATGTTTACGTAGTCAATGATCCCACACAAAAAGTTGTCCTCAAGAAAGTCAAGACAAAAGCCTCACAAACAGGCAAGAGCGGAAACCCAACTCTATAATCATACTAATTACCTCTGCTGAATGCTACAGAAAAAGGTGAAAAACACTAGTCGAGATATATGTGATCTGAACTGAAAGAACCACTTCAGGGTAGAATAAACAAGACTCGCCATGCAGTGTGAAGTGATAGCCAGCAAGATGTTGTCAGTCACCTGTATTCACAAAACCCCACACTGGCCCAGGAAGCAATTATGATAGTATCTGTGTTTTTATTCTGCCACAGCCTACATGTTATGTGTCAACCACCCTGTACAATACATGTGTGATCTTTGTGATAAGCCATAGAATAGCTGCTAAAAACCTAAAATACGGATACAGCAATCTTGCGCACTTGTTCTGAGTGTTTCAATCTGAACACATGATCTACTGTAAAGTACTCAATAAGGTGACAGAACTCACCCCTATATTGCTGTTATGTTTCTATAGCTAATATGCTCTGAAAGGCCTTTAAACCATAAATATAAATAATGATAAACATAGCTAAATAAAATTCTGTTACCATGGCTAGAGGTAAAAATTTAGATTAAAGTCGATGGGTCCTTGTCAAAACCCAATCGTGAAAAATGGGTGTTTTGGGTCTCTGCACCAGTGAAGATACCAGTTAGAACTGATCTTCAGTAACAGTTAAACCCATGTTTGTCGTAAGAGGCGACTAATGGAATTGGGGTGAGGTGAGGTGAAATTGGGTATAAAGTCTTGCTTGAGAATATTTCACTCATAAGACGATGTGCATGCGTGGGTATGTGTATGTGCGGCTGCTTGTACTAGCCCAAACTGAAGCTGGTCTTATAGTGCTTGCCCATTGAGATACCATGCCGCAGTGAAGCATGAATACCCCACTCAGACACATTATACTGACTCCGAACCGACCAGTCCTTGTTGTACCCATGAAAGCCGAGTGCCAGGCAGGGACCAACAAATACCATATCTTAACGTCTTATGGTATGATGCGGTCGGTGATCTAACTCGCGACCTTCTGCTCTCCGGGCGGACGCTCTAACCACTACACCACAGAGGCGGTCTAATGGAATTGGGTGGTCAAATTCGCTGACTTGGATGACAGATGTCATCGTATCCCAATTGCATAGATTGATGTTCATGCTGTTGATCACTCATTCACTGGATTGTCTGGTCCAGACTGGATTACAGACCGCTGCCATATAGCTGGAATATTGTTGAGAGTGGAGTAAAAATAAACTCTCCCACTTACTGGGTCTCTGCATTACAGTAACATACATCTCTCCCAATCTGCGCACCTCAGTGTTTAAAATAAAGGGGAACCTGGGGTCACTGATATCTTCTCAGGTGGTATTTGAATCTAGGGACACCAGTCTTTCATGCTTAAGTTGAACCACTGCTAGCAGAACGTATATGGTACACTGGCAATCTGCCTACGACAACCCACTCAACCGATGGTGTGGTGATAGTTCCATGCAGTAATGCGGCAGTATCAGATGTCAACGTCGACAACATCTCCACCCTACAGGCCTGACTGTAGAGCAGGTTGATGAGAGGACTGCTCAAACTCAGTCAACAGTTAAATGACCGCTACAAAGTAGCAGGAGAAAACTGACACCAGGACATTCCAGCATGATCAGTGGGTTTGTTTATTTACTGTTATTTATTACCTCAACCTTACGGTTATTCAGTTCATTATCATAAGATATAGAACAATCTTAAGTCCAAATATCAGACATCTGTTTTCAGGGTAGACAACACCAGACATATATGGTAATGTTATAAGCTTTGTTGGGGTTTTTTTGACAACAATTATATTGGGTGAATTAAGCATAGCTCAGCCGTAACAATAGTAGTATTCTATGAGTTTAATGGGGTTGAGAAATATCAGCTTTATCAAGGTTTAAATGTTAGAAGTTTGTTGTAAAGTTCTGAGAGGTATTCATTATTTAAATTAGTGTTGGAAAAATCTTTATCTTGAAATATCATAAATTGGGCACACTGATATATAATGTACTTTGTCTTCTATAATATTTTATAAAAAGGACAAAATCCTTGTTTTCTAGCAAAACCCTCTCACCTGTCTATGCTTTTCATAATTTGTAAATCTCCATATCTCAATAATGTTAAGCATCTTCTTTGGTCTCTTTGGTGTATGTGAAGTAAATGAGGTCCAATTGTGAAGGATGACTTCATAGAAGAGTAAAAATATCTAATTTGTATGTTCAGTAAATATTGCAAAAAGTGATTAAACCCAAAAGTCTCAGTCTAAGTAAACTTAGGCTCAGTATTATTCGTTACACTGCTATACTGAGTCTAACAAAACCTTGTAGAAGGTCGCGTCAGCTAACCTTTGAGCAATCTATGACCGTCCAATCAAACGTGAGATGGCCGAACGGATTTAACCAATCAGACAATGGCTACTTGTTAGGGTTCGGCGGGACTTACAAAACGGATTTTCTCTTCCCTGGTCGCTGACACTGATCTATCAATAAACGAAAATCTGCATGAAACACAGATATTTGACCTGCAGTATGTACGCTTAGGGGTTTTTAATGACATGGTTACTATTAGCTTATATTTCCGCAAGATGACATCCTTGAATATTGACAAAAACGCTATTTTCAGCGATTGTTTACTCATTGCGTCCTCCATGTGTATAACTCGGAAGTGATCATGTGGAAAATAGCATTCAGAATTATTCGAGTTTTTTAGGTAAAGGTTCAAACGGTATGTGCGAATGTGAACTTTCGCGATTTGGTAAGCTGTATTCTGATTGGTCAGTCCAAAAGGTTAGCTGACGCGACTTTCTACTAGGTTTTGTTACACTCAGTATAGCAGTGCCAATAGTCTTTAATTCTCTGTTGAAATGCTGCAGTCAGTTGTACCACCAATGATGGCTTCATCTCATAGACCATTAGTTGATTTTGCCTTTTAGGCCATCTTGACCCTATGGTCAAAGTGGAATCTAACCATAATGTACTGTAAAGTATCGGTTAAAATGTATTATCCTAAACATACCATCTCATCCCATTATATTATGACTACAATTTAACATTGTTCAAGTAAGGGAGAGTATAAAACATAACTTGAGATATATGTGTAAAATACAAGTCAAATCACCAAAAGCCAATTAATTTTAAACTGCTTCTGTACTAATACACATTTCAAACTGTATAATCTAATAGTACAACAAAACTATGACTAATTATCTAATGCATTCACTTCAAATTGTGTAACTCACTAACTCAGTAACTGTATATCTTTACTTATCTCCCTTTACTGATCAAATTCGGGCATCTCATATTCATGAAGTCTTCTGCAGTGAATGTACATGCTCATATAACTTCAGTCTTCAGACAGGAATATCACTTCCATGTGCTTATGTGGAACATGACACAAGGTTTGTGATTTTGCTCTAAAAATACACCACAGACATGATCAAACGCCGGCAAACAGAGTAATAAGATAATAGTGAGCGATTTACACTGCAATATGATAATACATTGAGTTCCAAAAGAAATATAATATCATTGCTATATAATGGCACAATTGGTACAGTTTGCCTTCCTGTTATAGCCTCAGATAATGGACCATGATAACCATGAAAACTGTATAGGCAGGGTCACTGTCAGTACTGAACACAAGCTGGTTCACACATTAGTTTTCAAAAGTGGCAACAGATAAAATAACTTTTCTTCTTGTTACTGTGACAAACTTCTATCTCAACAGATCAAGTTTCACTGATAACAGTATATATGAGTTCCATCCTTGCTGCCAAACACACTGTCCTCACATTTACTGTCCTCAAGTTCCAAATTTCATTTTGTGTTCCCTTACTTTTTAAGCACTTCTATCAAACATACATAATAATAATAATAAATGTGAACTTATAATGCGCCTTTTCCATGCACAAGGCCCATGCTCAAAGCGCTAACAAAGTGGGTGGATAGTATACATATATACAATGAGGGACTAGTAGCTAGTCATAATGCAGTGAAAACATCATGTGAATCCCATCCATGAACAGTAACAATGAACACAGTTGGTGAAAAACAAATATAGATGATGTGATATACCATGTCATATTCAACTTCAAGGGAGCCATCTACTTTGCTAGTCCTTGCCATGGTAAATCATCCTTCATCCCAACATAATGAACAGTTGAACTATATTGTAACATAATTTAATAAAAGCTACCGTACACAATGATAAGAGTCATGAAAGTAAATTGCAACCCATATACAATACTATACACATAACCATTTTGCATTCTGTTCATTTCGATTAGCTCCAGCAGATATCTATGTAAAATCTAATTATTGTAAACATGGTAAATATCGATATATTTAGGAAATAAAGTTCGCTCTACCGCAATATGTTTTGTAATAAAGTATAGTTTAATAGTTCTGAACTATTATAATTAAAACACATTGGGGTAGTCCCAGTGCTTTGATGTTATAATAGTTCAGGGCAGAAAACAAACGATTATTCTTTGACCTATTGATCCTGTCTGCCCTAACTGGCATTAAGGCTGCCCCCTCGTTAAGACGTTACCAGAAAAAAAAAAAATGATAACAGTTTGATGGCGGTTTACGTTCGGATTAAATATCTTCTCTGAATTATTTTAATTACATCTGTCATTAACGTAAACCATATTGGGCAATATGAGCGTCGCATTTCTACTACAAGCGTAAGTTTAGATCAGTACATCCAGATGAAGCTGAGTAGTCAGCGACATTCCACGATTGCATTGTGGGAATGTAAACATTGCGAACGTTACCGTGTCGCTGAAAACTTGTGAGTCGAATTGACACATTTTAACCATCGTAAAACATAAACGTAATGTTTCCACCAGTGATGTTAGCTGCGTGAAGCAACTGCAAACCAAGAAACGAGATGCAATGGAGTAGGTTACTGTAGGAGGCCGTACAAGGCGATGACAACTGACATGCATCGTGACGTCGCTTACATTGTGATGTAATGTAAAATAATTCGATTACGAGGGGGCACACTAGAATGGCGCAGTGACGGGATAACGTCATTCAATTGTTACGTCATCAAAAAACTATACCTTTATTGTCTGATAATGTTGGTTTTTTTCGATTGTTCTAACCGTTAGTCATCTTAGAATTCAACACAAAATTATTGAACAACTATGGTAGATTGTGCAGTTGTCCATAATCAGGCATGATCAGGGATTTCTATGGTAGATCCCTGACTTGGATCACATAGATGGTAATGTCACGACACATATCATGAGAAAATGTGAGATAGGTAAGGTTAATGGCAATAATGAATGTTTTGACTTTGATCAGCTCATAACATGATCGAGTCTAATTATCACCATAATCATGATAACGAAACGGGTTACCCGTTGAAGTAGCTGTGCTACTGTTAATATGTCGGGAATGTCGTTGGTATTGTGATAAAATATTTTTTAATACAAAATATGAGGAACGGATAAATTTGAAAACGAAAAGCATGGCAACTGTCACTTGTTGAAGACATGCTCAGACTGGCCAACGCTTATTGCACCAAACCCACCTGACTTCAATGTAACAGACTTGACACGACTGGAACTATGATTGTGGAGTACACTTCTCCGCTTACCCGAAGCTCATGATGTCACAACTATTCCGTATCCATCAGCAACAGCATCTCGATCAATAAAATAGACAAGATAAAGTTTACCGTCGTCAACAACTATTTTCTCGATCATGCGTACAGGCGCTTCCGGTTCCAAGGGAGGTAATCCCAATATCATGGTCAGTTATTTTTCATAACTGCAAACACTGAGTTCGAATCATTTTAGCACGTAAGGTGTTTGAGTTGGTTTATTTTATTTATTGCGGTGTCTTATAAATTCGATTAACAGTATTGGATGATGTTTTTCTCGAATAGCAGCTGTGTAATGATAATATGTACACAGAAACAAAGAAATACCAAATATCATGTTTGGAAGATTATTTACAGGTAATCCAGTCATCACTAGTTTCAAACTTTGTTTGTCCATAGTTAATAATTATTGTGTCAAATGTAATACATAAATCTTGACATCAATTGTTTTATTAGTAATTCATTCATCCATTTAAAAAATCCAAAACTGATTTTCATCAACTTCTGACAGCCTCAATTGTCAGCTCAGATTCATTTATATGATCTTCATCTGTTTAACATGTGTCCACAGCAGTCACTGAAAAGGCTTCAGTGACATGAGGCCAATGTGTATAAAATATTATTTATCAGTCTGCACCCTCAGTGTAAGGCTTGCTTACAAAATCATGTCCGCACAGCAATATTATTGCTACACATATTCCACTGTGGCTTGTTGTCTTCAATATTGTAGCAATACATTTCCCAGTGGCCTTTTGTCTGTAATATCATAGCTACATATTATAGCTACATATCTTCAACAGTGCTCTGTTGTTAGCAATATTATAGCTACACATATTCCACAGTAGTCTGTTGTCAGCAATATTGTAGCTACACATATTCCACAGTTGTCTGCTGTCAGCAACATTGTACCTACACATATTCCACAGTGGTCTGTTGTCAGCAATATTGTAGCTACACATATTCCACAGTGGTCTGTTGTCAGCAATATTTTAGCTACACATTCCACAGTGGTCTGTTGTCAGCAACATTGTAGCTACACATATTCCACAGTGGTCTGTTGTCAGCAATATTGTAGCTACACATATTCCACAGTGGTCTGTTGTCAGCAATATTGTAGCTACACATATTCCACAGAAGTCTGTTGTCAGCAACATTGTACCTACACATATTCCACAGTGGTCTGTTGTCAGCAATATTGTAGCTACACATATTCCACAGTGGTCTGTTGTCAGCAACATTGTAGCTACACATATTCCACAGTGGTCTGTTGTCAGCAATATTGTAGCTACACATATTCCACAGAAGTCTGTTGTCAGCAATATTATAGCTATACATTTTCCAGTGGTCTTTTGTCTGTAATATTATAGCTACATATTACAGCTACACATCTTCATCAGTGGCCTGTTTTCAGCAGTATCATAGCTACAAATATATTCCACAGTGGTCTGTTGTCAGCAATATTATAGCTACACACATTCAACAGTGGGCAGTTGTCAGCAATATTTTAGCTACACATAATCAACAGAAGTCTGTTGTCAGCAATATTATAGCTACACATTCTACAGTGGTCCGTTGTCAGTAAAATCAGAAGTTATTCAATGTGGAGTTTCACACAAAAAGGTCCTCTGTAACAAACGACAGCCATGTTTCAGAGAAGTGTTTCTAACAGACCTTCCAAGTCCAGCTGATGTTGTACTGGAAACTAATTCCACCATCATTAAGAACACAGAAAAACAACACACTTCATTGTTCCAATAATCTCTTTAATGGGTCACATCTAGATTAACATGCAATAACATTTTATGAGTATTGATGAAGTACACACAATACTGTACAGCCATTTGTGAAAACAATGTTCAACAATTTGGTAATATTCTCAATTAATCATCACCAAAACACAATACCATTCCACAATGACATTGATAAAAATATTAAATCATATAATAACAACATATACGCTGTCATACAAGACATTAAATGAATCTAACACTCTCTCCACCATAACCTGCTTATTTATTTAGATATACAGTGGAAGCCCTCTAAACCGGCAGCCCTCAATATCGGCACTAGAATTTGGTGCCGTCAGAAGCTAGTTGATTTATGATTATTTACACGCCCTTTAATCCGGCATCAGTCTATTCCCATTTCGGCACAACAAAGGCCGCCCAATTGACTGATTGTACAGTAATTAATGCTCTCTAAATCGGCATCCGGTATCTCGGCTCTCCTGTTAATTGGCTGATTGGCTGAATGTGTATTAACAACACAGTGGATTACCATCGGCATTAAGCTCATTGATGTTGCCTGATAAAAGGAGTATGGATAAGTAGGTGAGGTAAATTGATGAGTGCCACGTGTCACTTGTATTATAAATAAATTGTCGTGTCACAATTTGTCAGTCGCTCACTGTGTCAAGATGGCTAGACCAGTCAAGCGGGCTAGATTGGAATTAACTCTTGAACAGAAAACAGTTTCGGACTTGAAACTTCGGAGTTATGAATTATAACGTAAATGTACTGGAAGCTGTACTGAACATGTACATTTGTGTTATATACATGTATTTTTGATGAATAAAGAATATGATGACAATCAACACATTGTTCAGTCGTATGTTACGGCACACGGAAGATCATTCTCAGGTTGAAAAGGGAAAGTTCTCCAAACCGGCATGCCCTCTATTCCGGCATTTTGTGCCGGTCCCAACGCATGCCGGTTTAGAGGGCTTCCACTGTATATCGAAAAATGAGTGAATTTTACACCACTTTTAGCAATATTCCAGCAATATCACAGCAGGGGACACCAGAAATGGGCTTCTTAAGTGGGGAATCGAACCAGGGTCTTCAGCATGACGAGTCAACACTTTATTCAGTAGGCTACCCCAACGCCCCTATATCCTTCCTGTTGTATCTAACCATGCGTCACTTGTTTTTGCATGTGTTTTGTTTGCGTGTGTTTGCTGTTTAATGTCACAGTCGGTCATATTTCACCTAACTTCAAGCTAAATGAATGGAGACCTGTAAATAACCAATTCTGGATCAGACAATCCAGTGATTGATACTATATGCTACAATCAACAATATGAGGTAAGTGGCATCACCTAACTCGCCTCCATTGGCTGCTGGGGACGGTCTAGAACCTGAACTTCCTGCAGGGTTTGGTGTAAGGAGCTGTTCAGAACCAGAAACTTGCCCCAAGTGCAACAGGATGTCTTTAATATGCAACTAAACAATTGTTTCATGTTTTCAAAAGCACCGATATGGAACTTGCATATATCAATTTTCTTCCACACAACATAAAAATAACAAGTCAATCAGACACACAGCACCATATAACCAGCTAATTGGAATAGAGCACAATATAACCAACCAATCACAAAAGACATTAACATGATATGGATATAATACATGTTTGATATGAGAATAGCAGTAATACTATAGATATAGAATTGATACAGCTAAAAGGGATGAGATGCCATTTCAAATCAAAATCATTATCTTAAACACACAGGTACCAAAAAATATGAAAGAAATTGGGGTTAAATGCAATATAAAACACATCTAAGAAACAAAATTCACATTAAAGTGATATTTCCACCCACATCTACCACACTCATTAAAGCATTTTAGTTGTAACAAAATCCAGACTGCATTTGTGTTGTATAGGTTTCTCATTACTCCGAATTATCAGCCCCATATGTTTTACGGTTTTACTGTATATAGAAGTACAAAACAATTAATGCCCTGAAAGTTGACCTGGCCCCAATTTCTCGAAACAAACTTAAGTTTTTACTGAAAGTTCAAACTGAGTTTGACAATTTGAAACTGCTGAATTTTTAACTCAACAGCATTTTTAAAATAAAAAAGCCAAAACAATTTAAGTAATCTAGCCACCAAAATCAAATTGTCTCCTATGTTTGAATTTAATATCGATTTCAGTTCATTCTGGGAAATGCATTTGCCTGCATTTTCTCAGATTTTGAGTAAAAACTCTAACTTAAGTAAAAACTCAGACTTAAGTTTGTTTCGAGAAATCGGGGCCTGAATCATACGTATCTATCACTTTAATTAAAGAAAGACTTGAATGAAGTAGTCGGACAAAATGGCACCTTCTGTATCAATCACTTTGTCCAGTAATATGGGGTTTCTACATTACCATGGGATGAGGCCATCACAATAACACTGCTGGCATGCATGGCGGAATGACACTTCAGCTGGACTTCGGAATAAGGTTGATCTTTCACAGACCCAGCCAGCGTCAGTGACTACAGCCCAGTAATTGTTAAACATACAATCAAGGGCTTCATCAGACATGGATTTAACATAAACTGTAGCAAAACCACAGCAGAAAAAACACTCACAAACTAAATAAAATGTAAAATTATCAAACCCAAATATTAGTAAACAATTAGCACCTAAAGATTATCCTACAAAACAGATTGATTAATGAAAAAACACAAAGTAACATCTTGTTGTACATCTCAAGTATCAAAAAGTGAAAGACTAAATATTTATAATGTAGCCCTTAAGCCAATCTGGAAACTATAACTGCCAGCTTGTAAGGCCCACATAAGTACTATATATTTCTTAATCTGGACATACAACACAAACACAATATTTCCTTCCATGACATAAAGGAAGAATACGCGCGGTCATGATAACTATGAAAATATCACAAAATACATTTTGAACAAAAGGTCTTGACAATATTTATTCCAAACATTTATTTGAAGGTGCGATTCTCTCTAATAGCCTCATTTCAACTCTGACCCCCCTTACAAAATAAGCTCTTTCCTTTTAGTCACGATATACATACATTTTGTATTCTCCCAATTCTACAAGTGTTTGCCACAAACACGAAGAATGAAATATAACATATTTACTAGTTTTAATCGTTTGGTCACATAGAAGATTACCATTTGTGTGATGTAGTTTTTAGCCAAGGTCACTTTTCAGAATCTTCTCTTAAAACTGAAGATGTTTCAGGAATCTACTATATTTGAATGTATAGATGCAGATGCACACATCCACTGTCAGTATTAGAGCTGGTACGGGGCCAAATTTTCTACCCAGGTACCCCACCCACTATTTACCCTACCCTACCCTACCCTACCCTACCCTACCCTATCCTACCCTAGCCTCATACCAATTATATGTTAATTCCTGACATCAAATTTATAAGAAATGGCAACATATTCTTCAGCTCGGAGGCTATAATTGGGTACAACATTTACATAAGTTTGAAAAGTGGTCAAAGTGGCATGGTGACCTTGAAGATAAGGTCAAGGTCACCCAAATTCACTTGTATCTGTGAAATCTCCCAATGTAGGCTGTCACCAAATTTGAAGACATTGGGTACATCAAGTGCATGAGATATCTCGTTAACAAGATTTTGAAAAGTGACCAAAGTGTCGTGGTGACCTTGTAAATACAGTTAAGGTCACCCAAATCAACCAGTGTCTGTGTAAACTCCCAATGTAGGCTGTCACCAAATTTGATGATATTGGGTACAACAGTGCATGAAATATTGTGCTAACATGAGTTTGAACCGTGGTCAAAATGTCGTTGTGACCTTTAAAATTAGGTCAAGGTCACCCAAATCGACCCGTGTCTGCATAATCCTGTGTCACCAAATTTGAAGACATTGGGTACAACAGTTCATGAGATATCGTGTTAACAAGAATCGGGATGTACGTACTGATGTACAGACAGACATATGTACAGACAATGCTGAATACAATGTCCCCCGTTCTGCATTGCAGCAGGGAAAAAACATCCTAAAAGGAAACAATGAAATTGAGGCAAAAACATATTCCTTTGAATGTCAATTCAAAATTTCATGTACATGAAGTTTTCTTTTTTATTTAAAAAGGGTAACACACTAGTTGTAATATAAAAGGTTCTTGACTTTGGTTTCTAATTTGTTACACAATGCTGAAACTCTGAGCAATCCAAAAGTAAAGTGCTGAAACAACAAAGCACCTCTGTCTGAAAATCCAGTATTTCTGGGATGGGCCATTAATAACATCATTTGATCATTTTATTTGACATTTAAGTATTTCTGCATGAACAAAATCATGAATGTCAACAGATTTCCAAAGAGATTCTATCTGTTGTTGATTATAGGAATGAATATCATTATCACATACTTTGAGAAGAGCATATAAACAAACAAAACATACCTGTAAAATAATAACAGATATCAATACATGTTAAAGCTATACATTCCACAACAAGAATGTTATGGTATTTGTGCAACATTTGGAAATCTAGCAAAACATTCAATAAACATACCAACAAGACAATGTGACAAGCATGTCACACCTTTTCAACATCAACATGTACTTAAGTTATCCAGCGTACAACATCTGCATTCTATCACACTAAATACCCTGCGCTCACTCATCCCCATAGCTGCTTTGAGTCCAGTTTAAAGGATGTGATGTCTTAAATAACAGTCAAAACAAAACTTTGGTTTCTTGTTAATACTTCCTTCAGACTGAGAAAATGTGTAACACAATGTACAGATCTGACTTGAAGAAATTGAGTATGTAAAAATACTCCAACCTTGTGCAGACATAATGTTTCCCATGCCAACCTGACATATATTATATTCGAATTCACTGCTTGAAGATCAATACCTGTATGTAACATATGTTATATTTGGGATTACTTTCTTACATTTGACTACTTTCTAAAATGGCATTGTGTAATCATAGCTTTCGGCTGTGGGAGCCTAGCCAGTTTACACTTATCAGAGGAGTACACAAAGTCCGCAGTCTAGACTACCAGTTGTCCGACTTTCATTTTGTGGAAGTCGCGGTGGCTTCGGGCTGAGCGGGTTAGTCGGCTGACTTTGTGTGCTGGTGATTAGGTGCCCGACTCTGAGGGTGTCGGTTCAAATCCCGGATGGGACTCAACCCAACAAAAGTACTAGAATCTGTACTTTACTAAGAAAGTGTAATCCCAAATATAACATGTAACATTTGATCACTTTCTAAATGGCATTGTGTAATCAATACTTGTATGCTTTCATATTTCAGATATATACGTTAGGTGCTTTAGAAAGGCCACACAGGAAAGTACCGGTTATTGGTTGCCTCATCAGCACAGCCCTGGAGCAGGTTAACAGATCAACATTGATAACAAAAAATATCCCATAGAAATCAAAATTTACCCCAACCTTCACAATATGAAAAAGGAAATATATTTTGTTTGTTGTTTAACACCGCACTAAGCAATATTTGACCTATATGACGGTGGTCTGCACTTAATCGAGTCTGGACCAGACAATCTAGCAAATGACTGAAAAAAACCCACAGTATCACTGAATAACATTGTACCACACAGGTGAATCAGTTCCATTGGGACCAACACAAAACGATTTGAGATGATTAATAAATAATCACAGTCATATTTGTATTTCAAAAGGTTTTACCTGAAACGGAAAGGTCATTCATGTTCAGAATTAAACACGAAGGTAACAGCTGCAATTATTTCCCTAAACTGTAAAAGCCCTGAAAAGTCAGTTGAACATAGTCCTGTCAGACTATCCAAACTCTCCAGCATCACAATTCTCAAGTCCGCCCTGATATACTGTATCCCTGCAAACCTTGCCTGTCAATAACATGTAACCATGGCATCGAAAATGAGCAACATGCCCACGAAACGTAACTATATTCTACATGGAAGCAATGCAAAGGATGAAGACCTGTAAACTCGGAACACAACCACCTTATTCTCAAAATAATGGGACATGTCAACACTTCACAAAACTGTTAAGGAGTTGTTGTTTGTGAAACGTCACATGAATTATAGTCAAGGAGGGTGACATATCTGGTGTCTAGGTAAAATTCTGATTCACAAATTGTTATGCCAAAAAGGAAATGTCTGAAATAAAGTATTGAATAACATCCAAGAAACTTCAAAATGGCAACCAAGTGGTCGGTCAATTGTTTTAACTGACAACTACTGGACAACAATGTCAAGCCCAATATACCAACTCAGAACCTATTATCAATACATCTGTTAATCACATATCAATGGATTGGGCTCATTCTTATTTAATACAGAAACATAAAGTGCAGAATCATATCAACAAAACCTCCACAAATTATATTTCCACTTGAAATGTATATTTAGAAACTGGAAGTACACATATCACATTTAAAGAATTAATTTGGAAGGTGTAGAGTCTTGACTGAGTTGAAGCCTTGTGTCCAGCAACCTTCAACATTCAGGAGTCCTGTGATGGTTTTCAAACCATTGACCTTCAGATCCAAGGTCAAATGCCTTTGTCCACATGATCAAAGAGGTGATCAAGCAGAGAGAGATGCTGTCTGTGAGATGGCTCCACACTTTACCACATGTGCATGGAACCATACTGAGTCATCGTGCATAGAATCTGGTCATCTTGGAAGTTTTCTGTTGAGGGGTCTTGCTGGCATAGTAGTTACAACAGATCTGAAACGGAAAACAAATCAGTTCAAAGTTGTGTTTCAAATAAATGGTTTACCAAAACATAGTCTATCAGCATATATATGAAATAATAGGTTACCTGCTGCAATAGACACTTTTAGATTGTATATGTTATTATATTTTTAATAATTTGGGATTGAAAAACAGTGAGTTACATCACATGTCAGTCTTTTTTTTTAAGTTATCAGTCAAACTTACACACATATTTCTTTAAAAGATATCAACAATATCAAACTAGAGCAATATGAAATGTCACATTCATTGCAATAAAGAAGTTGTTTATCCATAGAACTTGGTTTTAAAGGGATGCACAAGGCCAATGCATTAAAGAACTGCACAAGGCCAAAGTATTAAAGAACTGCACAAGGCCAAAGTATTAAAGAACTGCACAAGGCCAAAGTATTAAAGAACTGCACAAGGCCAAAGTATTAAAGAACTGCACAAGGCCAAAGTGCATTAAAGAACTGCACATGGCCAAAGTATTAAAGAACTGCACAAGGCCAAAGTATTAAAGAACTGCACAAGGCCAAAGTATTAAAGAACTGCACAAGGCCAAAGTATTAAAGAACTGCACAAGGCCAAAGTATTAAAGGAATGCACAATACAAATGCATTAAAGAACTGTACATGGTCAATGTATAAAAGAACTACACAAAGCCAAAGCGTTAAAGAGTGAGTGAGTTTAGCCGCACTCAGCAATACTCAGCAACTATATGGCAGAGGTCTGTACAAGGCCAAAGCATAAAAGGAATCCACAAGACAAATGCATTAAAGAACTGTACAAGGCCCAAGCATTAAGTAATGCAGAAGGCAAAGGAGTAAAGAACTGTACAAGGCCAAAGCATTAAATTGCACAAGGCCAATGCAGAAGGCAAAGGAGTAAAGAACTGCACAAGGCCCAAGCATTAAGTAATGCAGAAGGCAAAGGAGTAAAGAACTGTACAAGGCCCAAGCATTAAGTAATGCAGAAGGCAAAGGAGTAAAGAACTGTACAAGGCCAAAGCATTAAGTAATGCAGAAGGCAAAGGAGTAAAGAACTGTACAAGGCCCAAGCATTAAGTAATGCAGAAGGCAAAGGAGTAAAGAACTGTACAAGGCCAAAGCATTAAGTAATGCAGAAGGCAAAGGAGTAAAGAACTGCACAAGGCCCAAGCATTAAGTAATGCAGAAGGCAAAGGAGTAAAGAACTGTACAAGGCCAAAGCATTAAGTAATGCAGAAGGCAAAGCATTAAAGAACTGCACAAGGCCCAAGCATTAAGTAATGCAGAAGGCAAAGGAGTAAAGAACTGTACAAGGCCAAAGCATTAAGTAATGCAGAAGGCAAAGGAGTAAAGAACTGTACAAGGCCAAAGCATTAAGTAATGCAGAAGGCAAAGTATTAAAGAACTGCACAAGGCCCAAGCATTAAAGAACTGCTAGACAAAGCATTAGATTACTGCACAAGGCCAAGGCACTAATGAACTGCACAAGGCTATTACATTAAAAAACCGTAGAAGTGCAATAACAACACAAGGAGCCTGCAAGGATCATCTTCAACCATTAGGATCAGGTTATACTGAAACAAAACAGTCCCAATATCTTGTGTCAGGGCTCCAGATAACTTTTGGGTGTGTGAGTGTACTTACACATCATATTGTAAGTGGAGGTGTACTGAGAATTTTGAAGGAGTACTGACATGTTTTTGTGTAAGCAAGTTGATGCGGTTTGTCTGGACGATTCATCGATCACTATTTCCAACCATGTGTTTGTATTTGAAGACGCGTGAGAAATAACTGAGCGACTGTGTGATGCGCGAAATGTCAGGTCCGACTGGATATAAATGGGAACAGTGTAGTTTTAGCCAATCGAAAAATAGTGACGCATATCGTTGCATGGCAACGCAAGGGATTCCTACTGTCGGGGTTTCCTTATGTGTCAAATCGTGTTTCGCAAAAGAAACTAAACAAGTATTTATCCGAAATAGATTTCCATTTGCATGATACGCTCGGAAATTAAATGCTAGACGTACGAAGGTATTTATGTGCGTTCACGATACGCTTGAAATCTTATATTATGTCGTACTTAATTGATTTTGAGGCGTACATTACGCCTGTATGCCCCTTATCTGTAGCCCTGTTGTGTGTTTAAGGAATCTAAGATGGTGACGAGGATCAGCCAAGACTCAGCCCTGTGCTCCTGCCTGGAATCATGTTCACAGCTCAATCCAGTTAGTAAGTTAGGGGTTACCAGCCTGGTGCCCATCTACAGTTCACAAATCCACCACCAGATGCCCACTGAACAGTCTCACTTACATTGGTTACCAAACACCAACCTATCTTTCTGAATGTTGATCTGAGACGGTAGAGGGACAGGCTTCCGCTCCTGAGAGAACTTGTCAATGAAAGAGTTCTGAACGGCTTTTCTGTCAGCTTCCAGTCGCTCAAATCTCTGAAGTCGCTGTTCTTCTCGTTGTTTCTCTGTAGTGGAAAAAGGAAATATATCTATAAAAATCACATTAAATATTGCATATATTAAATGATGTTGACACAAACAGGAGAATGAGAAATGAGAAATGAAAGCAATGTCAAAGCTTTGTCTTATTAAATACTATCATGAAATGTCTTTGTATTCATGTAACTCTGCTCAGCTGTTGCCATCCCAAAGGTTCTCTGACAAATGTCAAGAATAGCAGGAGAATTTCTGTTCCATTAATACTCTCTTTGCCAAAAACTTTAACAAAATGGCCTCAAGTGAGGGTGAGTGAGTATGGTTTTATGCCACTCTTAACAACATTCAAGCAATAACACGGCTGGGACACCATCAAACATTGTACCCTTGTAGAGAATCAAACTCAGATTTACAGCATGATGTGCAAATGCTTTAACCACTAGGTTACCCCAATGTCCCTCAGCTAATGAAGACACAAGGACTGACCCAGCTCTGCCAGCCACTTGGATCTATCCTGTATCTTCTGCAGCAGCTTCTTCTCATCCTCCATCACCTGTGGGGAATAACACAACTTATATCATCCATCACCTGCGGGGAATAACACATCTTAAATCATCCATTACCTGCAGGGAATAACACATCTTATATCATCCATCACCTGCAGGGAATAACACATCTTATATCATCCATCACCTGCAGGGTATAACACAACTTAAATCCTCCATCACCTGCGGGGAATTACACATCTTAAATCATCCATTACCTGCAGGGAATCACACATCTTATATCATCCATCACCTGCAGGGAATAACACATCTTATATCATCCATCACCTGCAGGGAATAACACAACTTAAATCCTCCATCACCTGCGGGGAATAACACATCTTAAATCATCCATTACCTGCAGGGAATAACACATCTTATATCATCCATCACCTGCAGGGAATAACACAACTTATATCATCCATCACCTGCAGGGAATAACACAACTTAAATCCTCCATCACCAGCGGGGAATAACACAACTTATATCATCCATCACCTGCAGGGAATAACACAACTTAAATCCTCCATCACCTGCGGGGAATAACACAACTTATATCATCCATCACCTGCAGGGTATAACACAACTTAAATCATCCATCACCTGCGGGGAATAACACATCTTATATCATCCATCACCTGCAGGGAATAACACAACTTAAATCCTCCATCACCTGCGGGGAATAACATAACTTATATCATCCATCACCTGCAAGGAATAACACAACTTAAATCATCCATCACCTGCGGGGAATAACACAACTTAAATCATCCATCACCTGCAGGGAATAACACATCTTAAATCCTCCATCACCTGCGGGGAATAACACAACTTATATCATCCATCACCTGCAGGGAATAACACAACTTAAATCATCCATCACCTGCGGGGAATAACACAACTTATATCATCCATCACCTGCGGGGAATAACACAACTTATATCATCCATCACCTGCAGGGAATAACACAACTTAAATCATCAATCACCTGCGGGGAATAACACATCTTATATCATCCATCACCTGCAGGGAATAACACAACTTAAATCATCAATCGCCTGCGGGGAATAACACAACTTATATCATCCATCACTTGCGGGGAATAACACAACTTAAATCATCAATCACCTGCGGGGAATAACACATCTTATATCATCCATCACCTACGGGGAAAAACACAACTTAAATCATCCATCACCTGCAGGGAATAACACATCTTATATCATCCATCACCTGCAGGGAATAACACAACTTAAATCATCCATCACCTGCAGGGAATAACACATCTTATATCATCCATCACCTGCGGGGAATAACACAACTTAAATCATCCATCACCTGCAGGGAATAACACATCTTATATCATCCATCACCTGCAGGGAATAACACAACTTACAACATCCATAATCTGCAGGGAATAACACAACTTATATCATCCATCACCTGTGGGGAATAACACAACTTATAACATCCATCACCTGCAGGGAATAACACAACTTATATCATCCATCACATACAGGGAATAACACAACTTATAACATCCATCACCTGCAGGGGAATAACACAACTTATAACATCCATCACATGCAGGGAATAACACAACTTATAACATCCATCACCTGCAGGGAATAACACAACTTATATCATCCATCACTTGCGTGGAATAACACAACTTATAATATCCATCACCTGCAGGGAATAACACAACTTATATCATCCATCACCTGCAGGGAATAACACAACTTATATCATCCATCACCTGCAGGGAATAACACAACTTATATCATCAATCACCTGCGGGGAATAACACAACTTATAACATCCATCACCTGCAGGGAATAACACAACTTATACCATCCATCACATACAGGGAATAACACAACTTATAACATCCATCACCTGCGGGGAATAACACAACTTATATCATCCATCACCTGCGGGGAATAACACAACTTATATAGTCCATCACCTGCAGGGAATAACACAACTTATATCATCCATCACCTGCGGGGAATAACAAAACCTACATCATACAACACCTGCAGGAGAAAAACACAATTTATAACATGCATCACCTGCAGGGAATAACACAACTTATAACATGCATCACCTGCAGGGAATAACACAACTTATATCATCCATCACCTGCAGGGAATAACAAAACCTACATCATACAACACCTGCAGGAGAATAACACAATTTATAACATGCATCACCTGCAGGGAATAACACAACTTATAACATGCATCACCTGCAGGGAATAACACAACTTATATCATCCATCACCTGCAGGGAATAACAAAACCTACATCATACAACACCTGCAGGAGAATAACACAATTTATAACATGCATCACCTGCAGGGAATAACACAACTTATAACATGCATCACCTGCAGGGAACTATCAGACATACACCTTCATCGGGATGATTTTCTCCAGAACAACATTGATGGTTTGACACTAAGTTGCTGAAAGATACAGAAACTAAAAATTATTAACTCACTGGATAATCTGTTAGGATGCTGCCAGCTCGACTCATGGATTGCCTGGTCTTGCTTCTACTCCGCCGACCCCAGGGGTCATAGCAGGAATCAAACTCCGCTGGTACAAAAAAAAAAAAAAAATTACGCTAAAGAAAATGTTCTTGGGCCAACAAAAACCCATCTTGGATCTAATTAGAAAAACTGGCATATGACAAAAAGAAGTATTCTTAAAGTTCCTTTGAGTAGTATATTTTCCTGGGTTTTTCAGCCATGATGCATCACTGAGTGATGCTTCCTACTTGTCATGAATGCATCATTTAAAAATATAATGCATGAAGCACTATGAGAGTTTTGACATTAGAAGTACCCAGATATTATCCATTTTGTTTAGTTTCATGTAACCATGACAACTAAGTAAACTAACCTCTCTCCCGCACCCACTGCGGTTTCTTCTTCTCAGCCAACGTGAGATGTTGTTGTGGAACAAGGGGAGGTAAGTCTATGCTGAATGAGGGGTCACTCCAGTTGGACATGGAGACCGTTGCGGAAGGGATTGTTGCCACCTTAACTGATTCTGTTGGATGTGGAGCTGAGGATTTGCTGTAAGTTTATAGAAACTGCTGCACTAACTATACATTGTACTTCAAGATTCACTCAATCATTAAATCATTTGATAACAATGTGATGATAAGTGCTTTTCAAGACAAAAGAGTTTTTCTCAAAATCGGGGCATCAATGAGTGAGATTGTTAATGATGCTTCCATAAGTATTTCATTGACATCAGCAATCGACATTTCTGGTTCAGAATGAAAACTGCTCATTATAAGATATCCAAGTTGAGTTTCAAACAAAAATTCATATTAACATATTTTAAAAGTGACCAAACTTCAATGTATGGGAAAAATTTAAAGTTTACAAAAACATGAAATTTCTTATTACTGTATGATTCTTTTTGCAACATTTTGGCAATATGGGCACCAATAATGATGGTAACACCCTGAAAACACATGTAGGGATTGAAATTGGTTTGGGGACAAGCGATTCAACCACTTGGCTACCCTTCCTTCCCTTGCAGACAATGCTGTCTAGATATGCTGTCAAAGTAATTACCAATTATCCGGTGTAATATCATCTTCATTTTTTATGATAATTTCCCTGGACCTATTTGCCATCACCTCCATTTGGAGCAAAGTTCAAGGTCATAACCCCATCCAATCAAATTACATCATACATTAAAACTTTAACCACAGATGTGATAGTGATTGTGGCCCTGTACTAGGACTGATGTCAAACATCTCCATAAGGTAACAGAGCCATAATGTTGTCCCACTGACAGGGCTATGGGTAGAAGTTCCATGAAGGGTGTGTCTATATGTCAAGACACTTTAACCACAGACGTGACAGTGGTTGTGGTCCTGTACTAGGACTGATATCAAACATCTCCACAAGACACTGAGCCATTAAACCATGTTGTCCCACTGACAGGGCTATGGGTAGAAGTTCCATGAAGGGTGTGTCTATATGTCAAGACACTTTAACCACAGACGTGACAGTGATTGTGGCCCTGTACTAGGACTGATGTCAAACATCTCCACAAGGTAACAGAGCCATTAAACCATGTTGTCCCACTGACAGGGCTATGGGTAGAAGTTCCATAAAGGGTGTGTCTATATGTCAAGACACTTTAACCACAGACGTGACAGTGGTTGTGGTCCTGTACTAGGACTGATGTCAAACATCTCCACAAGACACTGAGCCATTAAACCATGTTGTCCCACTGACAGGGCTGTGGGTAGAAGTTCCATGAAGGGTGTGTCTATATGTCAACACAATGTTTAAACCACAGATGGTGACTGTGGTCCTGCTGTAAGACCACTCCACTCTAAACGAGCATGAACAACTAACTAGGCTAGAAGAATTGTTTTCTAGTACCACAACACAGAACTACTAACTTCCTAAGAAAATTGAATACAAGCAATGATAAAAAAACATTTATAAAGATAATTATACAAGTTAGATCTATGAAGATAATGTTATTTACACACCAGTACCAGATTAACAACATCTAATAAAAAACACATATTAGGGATATTTCAATACAAAGCATATGACACAAAATATCATTTCAAACATAATTATATATGACATTCAAATTGATAAGTTGATTTATATAATGTGTGCAGAGTAATGTCCCTTGGCACTTGTACAAGGTTCATTCAAGACCTGGGCTACCAAATGTGAAGCCTTCAGAAGTCTGTGTCAAGGCAAATGTCACACTTACTGTAAAACCCCACATTATGCTATCTAAATACACATGTAAAGTTACAAACAACATGTTTTGTCTTCTATTTAGTCAATCAGATGTTGCAACATATGTCATAACACTTCATTAGTGAAAAAACTACTAATAAAGCTACTTGCCTATCAAGCAATCTATGTACCAATAATATTTCTTAACTCTCAAGACATACACAAGTACAATATTCAATGGGGGCTGGGATTAGGGGATATTGGGTACCTGTGATGGCTGTTGGTCACATCGTCAGCTGTTAGTACAACAGCTACAGTAGTTCCTCGTGGGCCTGCTAGGTGGTGCTGCTGTCGGAGGAAGACATGGATAAGCACATAACGATTGGCCACAAACAACACAAACCAATGCTACTGTCCTCTCTCATATTGCTTGCTACAACAACTGAATGTGACATAATCATGTTGGAGATAATGTGTGGAATCAAACCTGTTTACTGTGACAAGTGAGTGCCTTCACCACTGTCCTACCCCACCAATACCTAAAGAAATGTGAACAAATCATACACAATTTCTCTTTGATGCTAGCAGACGACATTTTCAGTGATCCTCAGTATGGATGATTTAGAGAAGAGGAAGTTGATTTTAGAGTATTATAACAGGACCCGGTTGTATCAAACTTTAATGAAGCATTAACGTGCCATTAAACGTTCATTAACTACTGTATCATTAAATTCTGTTGTACTAACGTTTTAATGATGCTCTGTTGTCATTAGTGCATCATTAACTTAATGAAGGTCCTGGGGTATCATTAGAGCGTCATTAAACTTCCTGGAAAAGTGAACATTGCGCCAGAATTTCGTTTGCACCGCACTGGATCTACCTACAGCTATAAAATTACATAGAAAGTTTTAAGTTTTCTAGTTCTTGCTACGACACTCTTTCCGTGCATATTCTAAAAATATTGAGCTCATGCATGCTACGAATAGACGAACTGATGTCTAAAAAATTGAGAAAATGCTGCACAGTATAAAATCTGATTTTTGCTTTGATTATATTTCTAGCAAGCGCGCTGTGTAATGAGCACAACGTCCCGTTTTCACACCCAATATGTTTTGTTTTTTCTTAGACACTTGGTTATAGTGACAAAGACCATTTGGAATTTGATTCTAAAATGTATGAGGAATAAGGCGATGCATTTGTCACAACTGAATATGAAATATACATGATATAATAATAGGCGTCCTATGACTGGCCTTAGCGAAACTTGATTTTGTACACACTATCCAATATGGCGGAAAGCTCACTTCGGCGTTCGTGTTCGTGTATATTCCAAAACATCCCAACCGATTCTAGGTTTATCGGCGACGTTTCAGAATTATTTAGACGTGTTTCTTCACAGCAGTCGAAATGTTTGTTTTTGTTCCGAGGTTTAGCCCTAAAGATGCCATTTTGACAGACGACCGAGAGAAACACTTACATGTTTACAGCGTAGAATTGTGGGAAAAAATTAGGGGAATCCCCGGATTTAACGAAATATTTACATTAAGACGTCATTAGATAATGATAGGCTAATAAGTGTTTGATACAACCGTTTTTAATGATGCCATTAACTAATGATGCATTAAGGATTTAATGTATCATTAGGGTTTAATGTTGACATTAGTTAATAAAGCAATGATACAACCGGATCCAGGACATCAGATCAGCTAAAGCGATTTCAAGTAGAACAGGCATCCCTTCGTGCACTGTTTATCGTGTTTTGAAAAATATTGCAAATGGATATGGCATTGAGCACCAGGGAGGCGCAGGTAGGCCCAGAAAATTGACTGTCTGTGACAGGAGGCAGCTTGGTATTCTTGTTTCTAAAATGAAGGAGTTTAGAAACCTTAAGGCTGGATATGATTGATAGAGGACTGTGGCTGTCTGTAAGGAGACAATAAGAACTGAGCTGTATGCAATGGGTTGGCAGAAAAGTCTAGGGATTCCATCACCGATCATGAAACCTGAACATATGGAGCGAAGGTTGAACTGGTGCGTACAGCATAGAAATTTTAACTGGGACAATGTGATTTACTCAGATGAAAGTTCTGTGTGGCTGTTTCCTAATACACTGAAATTCTGGACCAAACAAACTGAAAAACTTTTGTATTAGCGCCCAAAGTACAGTTCGAAATATAAGGTGTGGGGTGGCATATCTGTGTTAGGGGCAACGCCCCTCTGTGTATTTGAAGGGAATATGAACAGTGAGCGGTACACAGATATTCTCGAGGGACATTTACTTCCATCTGCTCACGTGTTCTATGGAAATGTTTGGATTTTCCAGCAGGACAACGACCCAAAACATCGTTCAAAGCATTCACAGGCCTGGTTTCGGACCCAAAATATGACATTATTAGATTTGCCAAGCTATAGCCCTGACCTAAATCCAATAGAAAATGTTTAAGGAAAGTGTCAATAAGAAAAATCTGACAGATATTGCTGAAATGAAAGAAGAGGTGGTCCGATATTGGGACAGCATGGACCACGACTTTCTAACTTCTTTGATCAGTAGTATGCCCCGCCGCATTGAAGCCTGCATTGCTGCCCATGGTGACTTGACAAAATACTAACTGTTCACCTGTCTTTGAATCTGGAGTTATGTTCTGCTAATATTGACATTTAATACGTGAGTAATGAGTGAAAAAGAAGGAACAAAATTACAATCTTAAATTCTCAATAATTTCTGGTTGTACTGTATATCCATAATGATTGTCATTATTCTACATTAAACAAATAAGAGAGGACAAAAGCATGGGTGTAGACAAAACAACACGGTCAGGATAAACTCTATTTATATCTAGGGACAAGAAAATAGTTAGCATAGAAATGCATTAGATAAAATGGAGTACTAGTAGTAAACAAAATAAAAAATATTTACTGTCAGACTGCAATTGAGAAAGATTGTATTTATCACGACATATCTGGGGAATTATAACTCTCTTAAATATATGGTAAAATGGCATTTCTTAAACCAAAATATCTTTTAAATTGAACCTGCAGAATTTTCTACGCAGCTAAAAAGCTGAATGTATCCAAGCAAGCTCTCTTCTAGCCACAACCACTTCAATGCCGACTAATTCACATCAGCAAGCAGTGTAATGAAGTTTTGAATTTCTTACAAACAACAAAAAGTTATCTTAAACTTTCATCTCAAATTCACTTATTACAAATCACAAATCACAAATAATTTAACTATACACACTTACTATAAATGCAATAAACACATCTACGAATGATTTAAATATTAAATAATAGATACATTTTTAAAATCCTAGAACAAGAGATGACTATGAAATCTATCAATAAACCCGCACCCAGATGTTGAATATTTGCCATTATCTCACCTGCCATCCTGATCTGCTGTGCTACTAAGGCACTTATCATCTGAAGACGACTCAAGCTCGTCCAATATCGGAGACAGGCTTCCTCCATCAAACATCCCACTTCGGTCAACACCCCGAGGACGTTCCAGCTCCAGGGGGCGCAGAACTGGTACAATCTCTTTGCGCATAGCAGCAGGGTCAAGGTCGTACGTCTTCTCAGAAACTGTGGCTTGACTCTGCTTAGTATTCAGTAATGGTTCGCCTTCTTGGGAGTCTTTGTCACTGTTTGAGTTAACGTTTATTTTATTCAACTTTCCATCTGAAAACAGTAAAAATAAAAACATACACCACTGGGGTAACCATGGTTACACACTTTTAATTTCTTTGCCACAATTGACTTATGTACAGTCAGTAACTAAACAAAACGGAAGACAATTGCAAATTGAATGGCAAGTGAATTATTTATCCTAATGAATAAAATATCTGATATATAACAGAAGAGTTGTTACAGAAGAGAAGTTTCATGTTCAATTCTGCAGATACTATTACTTTTGTGTGTACACTGCTGAAGGGGGGAAATGAAGAACTTCTCCACTGAAATCATGGTCAGTCAATTATTCAGATTCCGATACCAAATAATTATATTACATAAAAGCTGTCATATCACAACAGTGAGTGAGTGAGTTTAGTTTTACGCCACACTTAGCAATATTCCAGCTGTATGGTGACAGTGTTAATAATCGAGTCTGGACCAGACAATCCAGTGATCAAAAGCATGAGCATCAATCTACACAATTGGGATACAATGACATGTGTCAACCAAGTCAGCAAGCCTGGCCACCCGATCCCGTTAGTCGCCTCTTACAACAAGCATGGGTTGCTAAAGATCAATTCTAACCCGGATTTTCACGTGTTATCACAACAGAAAAGTATAGGGACCAGTAGTCGGGGATTCCATGTATGCTATCAGTGTCAGCAATGAATCAGCATCAACCTGAATTACAGCAACATCTACACGGGCAGGACACTGGGAACCATATTTAGGGCCAATAAAACCGAAGGTCGATGGCATGAACAACAGTCCATACAAATCAAATCGCAACCACCCAATACTCATTGCAACGCCTCTGAATACAAGCAAAGAATAATTGGTACCTTGGAAATGGACTCCTTTCCCTTTTTTACAAAAATCAAAAAAATATTTATCGACACATCAAATCATTATCATTGATGTTCAGCATAGGACCAGGTGATGGAGCTCACTGACTGGGTGGATGCATCTCGCACAGAGTGATGCCTGGTAGAGTGAGTCAGTGTTTAGTTTTCCGCCGCTTTTGGCAATATTCCAGCAATACCATGGTGGTGGACACAAGAAATGGGCTTCACACATTGGGAATCAAACCCAGGTCTTCGGCGTGAGGAGCAAACGCTTTAACCACTAGGCTACCCCAATGGCCTGCCTGGAACAGGTTCGACAGGCTACATTATCTTACCTTCATGTAAAATACTTTAATTTCATTGGTCAATGACGCTTTAACAAATTTCCGTGTCACCCCTCCCAGGAGGGTGACAACTGGAAAAGATATTACCCGTTTCCATGGTATCCGCCAAGCTCTCCCCCAAGAAGCTGAAGCGCTAACAATCGTATGACGTCATAATATGATGCATGCCGTGCCTGGAGTTCAAAAACCGTTTGATCAGCCGTTTTTGTGTTCACTTTGTACAGATTTATTTTACCGACTTTCACTGCTTTATTTAAGCTAGTTTATACATGGAGTGGTTTGCACACTCAACTTAAACATAATTAACCATTTTTATAGCAGTTTTACGCTTGTCAGAATATGTTTCACTGATTTTAAAAATCCAGTCGAGACGCAGACGCCATTTTGTTTACATTTCACATAGTCGGTCGCGATCTTTGACATAAAACAAAATGATGTTTTGAACATTTAACATGGCGGAAAGATAAATACGTTGTATGCTTCTCCCTCGGGTCATACTCTCTGATGTATGCCTTTTTGTAGCAGTGTCATCCACACAATCATAAATATTTTGTTACATGTTGTAAATTTGAGCATCCCAAGGTGACCACTGTCCCACAGTACATGAAAAACATAGTATGTGTTGTGTCTTTTACTGCTTCCCCTAAATGAAGATGAAGAATTCCATATTTCAATCATTTCGTAATACATCACAATGTTTTATGTTTCCTTTTGTTGATTTTGTTACAGTGTCCTCAGTAATATTCCAGCTATCAGGCCCATTCCCTCCGCCTGGCAAACTCCCCCTGGTAATTGACCCCTGGAGAATTGGCCCTTATGTCAATCCCAGTACATTCCCCTCCATCTCCACCCACCCCACCCTACCCTACCCCATCCAAGATTATTTCCTCTCTGGTTCTCTCTGCTCTAAGTCAATTCCCCACCAAACAACAACCAACAAACAGACATGTAACACTGGTAGATTGGAGGGGATGGGAATAGACATCGACCCGTGAAACAATCAATTCCAAGCCAGAGAAACTGGTGATTGACAACATAAGCAACAATCCACATCGTTGGGTCATGATGACATTTAATCACACAAGCCACCCAGGCTGATCCATTAACTCTGTGAGTAAGTGTGAGTGAATCTTTACGCTGCTTTTAGCAACATTCCAGCAATATCACAGCAGGGACACCAGAAATGGGCTTCACACATTGTACCCATGTGGGGAATAGAACCTGGGTCTTCGGGGTGATGAGCGAACGCTTTAACCACTAGGCTACCCCACCGCCCAGGGTAGCTTAGTGGTTAAAGCGTTCACCCATCATGCTGAAGGTCCAGGTTCTTATTCCCCACATGGGTACAATGTGTGAAGCCCATTTCTGGTGTCCCCCGCCGTGATATTGCTGGAATAGTGCTAAAAGCGGCATAAAACTAAACTCACTCACTCACTTGGCTACCCCCCACCCTCTGCCCCGTACAGTCAGCATGGTTTAAGGGGTCTCTGTAATAACCTGGGGCCACTGCAGTTTGATAAGACAACACTACAGTGAATCTCACCCAGCTTGAATCTGATGGTGCTCGGACTGCTGGGAGACATGTTCCGCACCGCATCCAACAGCGTGTTCAGCTGTAAGTCCGTCAACGTGATGGAGTTGGTGTTCCTCCGCCGAGGCGTACAACGGTTGATCACATTGTTTGCAAAAGGTTTCTCACTACGGTCACTGCAATTGCTGTGGTATTTACTTCGGATGTCTGTCATGTTTTTCTTCACAAAGTTGGTTCTCGGAAGATGTTTGTGGGAATGCTTGTGAGACGTATTGAAACGACATTCTTCACAGTGCTCCTCAAAGTGCAATCGCCTCGGTGGAAATCTTTGATTTCTGCTTTTATAATCAAACTGAAAAGAATTTTTTTATATACCATCAAAATCGGTTAATAACACCTAATACCCTGGATCTACAAGGTACACAGATCCCTTGGTGGATAGCAAGTCTAGCACTAGTAACAGATGAAGTATAATTTCCAGCAACAACTAATATATTATTCACTGACTGACTGAGTTTGGTTTTACGCCGCTTTTAGCAATATTCCAGCAACATCACGGCGGGGGACACCGGAAATGGGCTTCACACATTGTACCCATGTGGGGATTCGAACCCAGGTCTTCGGCGTGACGAGCCAACGCTTTAACCACGAGGCTACCCCACCGCCCCTAATATATTATTCAATCAAACTACTATCACCCATTACTATAGCACCAGGGGCGGTGGGGTAGTCTAGTGGTTAAAGCGTTGGCTCGTCACGCCGAAGACCCGGGTTCGAATCCCCACATGGGTACAATGAGTAAAGCCCATTTCTGGTGTCCCTCGCCGTGATATTGCTGGAATATTGCTAAAAGCGGCGTAAAACCAAACTCAGTCAGTCAGTCAGTACTATAGCACCAACTTGTAAGGAGGATTATTTTAATATTTATATATTTTAAAGGGAAGGCTACTTGCATTAACTTCATAAAATATTTTAGAACATGTGTCCACACTCGCAATAATTTTGGGCCACATTAATTTGGTGATTAACAGTTTTGTATCTCATAACTTTTATAAAAAGAATATGGGCAAGTACAAGATAGGTTGATAATTCATTTCTTAGTATATTTTGATATTCTAACCAGTCCAATGTAAATTCACAACTGTACAAATTGAACACAAAACAAGGGGATGAATCATGAACACCATTACTGGCTATCATCAGAGATTACATCAAAAAGTGTGTCATTAAAAGGTTACATCAAAAAGTGGGTTATGACAGGTTACATCAAAAAGTGGGTCAGGTGGGTCAGGACAAGTTTCTTTCAAATGTGCAACTGGGAAATGAGAAAAATAACATTAAAACCATTGGAATTGGAACCAAATTCAATAAACCCTAAAATAAACTTTTTATGATTGGCAAATGAGAGACAAAAACTGTTTTATGTGGACGTATATAAAATGCATTTTCAAAATTCCTGATAACTTACTTTTCTAGAGTTCTTTTTCTCCTTTGCTGCAATAAAAATGTCCCCATTATAATGATGGAATAATATAAGCGTCCATGGTTTGCCTCACCCAGATTATATTACTAATTGCTATGGTAACCAACATCAATGACCTTAACATAGATCTATTCAAGACATATTCTGGATACCAACGTTTGGTCCTGTGGATAAGAGACCAAAAAGCTTTAGATTTCTTCTTTGTATAAATAACTGGCTAATTTGAATTAAGTAAATGAACTGATTAATATACTCTGCAAACATTTTTATCATATATACAGATCTATAAATAACTATCATTTCAAAGTGTGGTATTAACATAACTGATTCAGTCGTCTATCAGTCACATCTCAAATGCTATATGTCGAGAGTAAAAACATAACAAAATGGTGAAAAGAGAAAACTTCTCCCATGCAACTAAATCATTTGAAAACAAATTACCTCACACACAACTCCAAAATTGTTACATTTCAGTGTGTCACAATTTACCTTAAAGTAAAATTTGCATAAAACAGATAGAAATATATCAAGTCACTAGTGCCACGTACCAAGCTGCCAAAAGACAAGAGGTTTGTCCCTTGCATCCAATTCAAATCGAATTGCAGAACTGAAAAAAAAAAGAAACAGAATGCAATTATCGCAAACCTAAGTTCACAACCTTACTTTGGTGTCAGTGTCATTAAATCAGCTGCAGGGTTCTGACATTTTATCTGTCCAACGCCACTGTCGGCTAACATGCTGGTCTTTGATTTCATAAGGAACTTGCCCCTAAGCTAAGATAATTTTCTTTTTAATGACGAAAAAATCAGGTATATAACATGTCAGAGTTTGAGAACAAAGTTCAGAACCCCAGATAATCAAAAATCGGTCAATCATGTATGAACATCTTCTTTGCTGGATGTTTGTTACAATCTAGGCTTCCAGATTTGTATACACTACATCCATCCACTGCCCACGAACAATGGATACACATGACCTTGTTCTTTCCAGAGACACAAGCAACTGCTGACAAATCAGCGCTCAGATTACATCATAGTGTTGGGAATTGGTTAAAACCTCATAATTGATGATCGGTTCATTACTACCGATCAATCATCGAAAATAATTGGTTAGCATCATTTATAAAATTTCTTAATGCACATAAAAATAAGATAAAAAACAAGTAGTTCTTTGTGGTTTTTTGGGCAAAATTTCACATCTTTAAAGGATAACTAGTATGTTAGGAACAAAAATTTCTTGGAATCTTTAAGATAAATTCAATCGTGACTTGAAACGAGCTTGTAGTGCTTACGAAATGTAACAGACAAAACCAACCTTGTGAAAAATATTGTTAATGAAAACAAGTGTTCCAGAATTGTTTGTGTTCGATTATGAGAAATTGTGATCGATTGCTTGGTCGTTTAGTCACTACGACTAATCGGACCACCACTATTACATCAGCAATATTTCTTGTACAACATGTTCCCTATCTACCTGCTCTAGACATTGCTTCAATCTCTAGTTGAAGTTCAAGTTCATTGTGTTTGATTCATTTACTTCTGTCATACTCAAGTCTTATTTCTGAAAGGGACTAAAATACTGATTTACATGTCACTACACACCCTTCACAATGTCAACATTTGAACATTTTCAGTCTCTGTCTTTGGGCACAATAGAGTTTACATTATCACATTTAATTACCAAAATACTATTGTCTTCATTAGCCGGTGGTGGTACTTGAATGCCCCCAATGTGATGCTTTTAGGAAATAAAATACGTCTGTTTGTTATCTTAGCTCATCATCATGTTATTGTAGCTCACCATGTAACTTTCTTTGATGCCTTGTTTTCCCACCTTTAAAATTTTTTTGGTTATTGTTGTCTCATTATCATATGAACATGTATCTTGTATATAAGCTGGTGTACCCCCATCATTAACCCATATTCTTGAAAAAGGTTTAAGAATTTATACCAAAACGTCGCCATTGTCAAAGTAAAGTTTGAAAACTAAACTTATGTATGTGTGTTTTTACACAATATATTTTAGTGGCAATGGGGCCTAATAAGACCATGATTAATTACCATGACATACAATGTACATTCTTCCCAATCCCATTATCCTGTATCTACAAAATATCTTGAAGTTTAGCCAAACAGAGTACACGTAATGAATTAGAAGTGAACCGTCCTAGGCCTACATGAATGACTAAGACCACATTTCCATTCTCCATTTTTAATAATACAATAATTTCACTGTGGTTTGCAGACATTTATTCTATGAGCCTGGTCAATCTTGTATTTGTAAATTTAGGATGCTCGTCAAACGTGCCGTACTGTACAGAGCAATACCCCCGTGACAGTGTCGAACCTGGTCAATGCAGATATTGGGAAAAGCAAAACAACAGAGCACGGAGATCAAACATGCGATAACACCAACACCAGTATTCCATTTCGAACATGATCCATACTTATCACGCCTAGATACGTTAAAAGAGAAAGCAAACTAAAATATCAAAACAAATAACAAATATAGGGTTTTCAAAACTTTACCTGAAACTCATCTTGTCAGTTGTCTGAAATCATCTCCACTTGTCAAAACTGTCAACCTGATAATTCTTGTAGTCAATCACAACGACCACGGGCACCTGCGCGACAAGGACTTCCGGGTAAAGGGAGGTAAGTAAACGATTAAACAAAACCCACCCTGAAAAAAACTTGTCTTGATTGAGATGTTTGACAGCTGAGTAAAGAAAACAGTCTCTTTGTCCCATCACATCAATGGTATTGACTCAGAAATGCGACAAAACGTAAAACTGAAAACAGTTTATACATCCAAAAACATACAAATAGAACTGATTCAAGTTCCGTTTCGCAAATCAAATTCTATACAAAGAAAATACTCTCAGCTAAATTCTCCTTTTGAAATATTGATGACCAAGAATGTGTGGTTTAAAATATTCAATAGAACCTTATGGATGCTTAATGCAAGGCTGAACATACATGTACATGTAATGGCTGTTGAAAGCCTACTTGTACCTTTGCTATACGCTACCATATTCAGTGTTGTGGATACCAAAAGTTTCAGCTGATTATTCGAGAAAAGTGGTAGTGAATACTTGTGAATACCGTGATTGGGTTGGTTTGCTGTTTAACGCCACACTCAGCAATATTCCCGCTAGATATGTATATGGCGGCGGTCTGTAAATAACCGAGTCTGGACCAGACAATCCAGTGATCAATAGCATGAACATTAGTGGTGTGACGATTCATCGATACGCATCGATGCATCGATCCATGAGCCGCCGATATGTACAGTGAATCGATACAAAATTTTACATTGTTGTATATCCCGATAAAATACTTCAAATGGGCCACGATACATCGATGTTGAACTTTGACAATTGCCGAATCGCGATATCTGTCAAGGAAGACTTACTTTTGTTTGATGATTATAATATATGCATACTTATTTTCCCTTCATAAGTTTCTCGGAAATTCTTGCGTCAGGGACTGTGTCAAACCAGAGACCATATCTATTATATGGTCTCTGGTCAAACACAGCGCTCGCATTTTATTAAAGGTCACATGCAACGTAAAACACAACTTTGCAGATTCTGATACCTTTCGTTATGGACTTACCGAAACAAAGCGTCAAAAAATGCAAATTCAACTTATAAAGTTGAAAAATAACGCGATGAAAAAAAACGCGCGAAATCGGAGTTCAAACGTTTCACTAATTTTCCCCAGACTTTTCTGGGGAATACGGGTTTCAACAGCTGGCTGCGCTCATAGCACGTGCGCAGTGAAATAGGTTCGCGCAACTTGGAAGCGGGCTGTCTGGTGAATACTCGGTGAAGGCTTTGGTGTGAGCTAGTTTCATAATGTTTTTTTTTGATATCTCACAGTTGCGAGCATTTTGTATGTTATGACAGTAAATAAACTGTTTATATAATTTCATTTGTCTATTTCACCACACGTTCTTCTTACCGAGTCACTTTCTCAGTTCGATACTTAAAAGCAATGTCATTATTTAGCGTTGACAGAATTTCTAACTGTGATATAGATATGTCGTTGTCACAGACAAAACTCAATGTCTTGTTTTATTGACACCTGTGTGTCTGCCTGCCTGTCTGCTAATGACAATATTCAATACACAACTGCAATCACTGACCACATGCAATTTGAACTTAACACCTATAAGGCTATACACCATAAACAAAACGCATTGATTTATGGCCCGACTTCGGTCTCTGTCACATTATGTAATTACACAGACAGGCAGGTGTGATACTTGAACACATGACATGTTATGGTGTCTGTTGATTGCAAAATGTTATACACAAAAAATGAGCATGTATTTACAAAACCAAACTTTCTATATATACACACACAATTGAGCCGTGGAGGCGGCATCTGCTAATGAACCAGCCGTTACACTTGAGTGCACACCCACCCGCTCTGACTGGGTTCGGTATCCCGGCTGCTTCGTTTCGAGGGAGGTAAACCCAAGTACAAAATATTGCACTTTTGATTTGCGACTATACGCTTATAATTTTGTTTATTTGTTTTTTCATAATCAGCAATGCATATTATATGTCATGAAGAAGTGATAATTGTGTTTTAATTATGTTTGATTTTTTGGTTGCATGTGACCTTAACATTCACAAAGTCCTTGTATAAACTTACTTATCTCATTTGCGAATGAACATTGAAAAACGCCGGTGGAATTTGACGAAATACTTTAAAATGGTTTTGTTTTGATCTTGAGGTGTTTTATAGTTGATGTTAGAATTAAAGATTTTAGTATCGTGATACGTATCGTATATACCCTTGTATCGGGATTCGTATACTTTGGCAATATATCGTTGTGACTAAAATTTTAGTATCATGATGTATTGTATCCAGGTTGTATGCCAATACCAGCACTATTCAGTATGCTTGGGCAGAGTGTTCTTTCCCATGTGTCGCTTTAAGACGTTATATATGTACGTAATGTCTAAGAATGGTGGCTCATTCGGGCCATCGCTTTGTCGCCCTGAAAAAATCTAGGCGATATCGCGACAAAGCGATAGCACGACACGATATTGCGATATGGCGACACGATATAGCGATATTGCGATACAGTAAAAAACGAAATAGCGATATCACGACACGACATGGCGATAACTAGACACGATATGGCGATAACGGAACACGAAATGGCAACAACTCGACACGTCATTGCGATAACACGACACGACATGGCGATAAAACGGCGCGCCATTGGCGATATGGCGGTTACGCGAAAAGGCGATATTGCGATTTTGGTGACGCAATATGGCGATACAGCGACATTGCGATATGGCGATATGTAGAAAAGCGGGTAAGTTGATTCATTCTTAGGATTTGATAATAAGATAGCGGGAAGTATGTGAGATAAACGTACTCGTAAAACCATCCATTCTACTGAAATAGCTCATCCAAAAGCACGATGACTGATGACATATTCCAAACTGTGATACTCTGTAGGCCATCAGAATAGAGTTGGGCTCTTACGGTACCTGATCGATCTGCCTGATCTTATGGGAAATCGATCTCTGAAGGATTTATTTTTAAGAATGGTGGTTGCTTATCAAGAAAGGAAAATATCGTTATAAACGAAAAGTTGTTATCTTCTTTATCTATAAATAAGTACATAATACATTGCACACCAAATAATTTCAGTAGGTGTAGTAAATCAATCTCAGATCTCAGTGTTTTTGACAATTATCGTTGGCAATTTGGCGGGATATAGGTTTTAAAGTGGAGTATAGATACGTTCGTGTGCTCCTGTCAGTGAGTTGAGTCACCCGTGAAGGTCCGGGTTAGAATTGATCTTCAGTAACCCAATCTTGTCGTAAGAGGCGACTAACGGGATCGGGTGGTCAGACTCGCTGGCTTGGTTGACACATGTTATCGGTTCCCAATTCCGTAGATCGATGCTTATGCTGTTGATAACTGGATTGTGTGGTCAAGACTCGATTATTTACAGACCGCCAACATATAGCTGGAATAGTGCTGAGTGTGGCGTTAAACTAAACTCACTCACTCATTGATTTAAGTAAAAGTAGTATATCTAAATCTTTACAGAGCAGTTTGACCATTATAACCATGGCCGTCAGCAAAGCCATGTATAGGTAGGTCAACTGCATATGGCCTTTTGGCCACGGAAGCTTAATATTGTGGATGAGGTACTGGATACTGCGGACTGACCATACATGTACTGTACATACGATACAAGGATGCCTGGAAGTGAGAATATATATAGAATTCTGGCGTTCAACGGGACTGGACCCTCATACAACGGCAAGGCAGGTGGACTGATGATCCCCTCTGAGATGCTATCTGTGCGTTGCTGCAATATCATGTAATTGTATATTTGACGCCGAATAAAGTGTTGTTGACCTGCTGAGGAGCTTCTGTGTTTGAGGAGACAGATAGCCCAACTAAACAGCCCTGGATACAATATTACACATGATTGGATTAAAGTATTTGATACAAAAGTAGGTCCAATTCATTTGTTTTTATCAGATGTGTCGAGGCTAGAGCACCAGGATTTTACTGGGAAGGTACATGTATGGGAATGTAAACATTTGGGGGTAAAATTCTAGTTAATAAAGTATGAATTCAGATATATAATAAATGTATATGATTAATCATTCTGTCTATATAGATAATATATTATTCATAGATTATGAAAGTCTGGATCATGGTATTAAGCATGCTGTCTTGTAGTTGTTATAACATGATGCCACTGGAAAACGATTTGGAAACAAACAGTTAAAAACGTGTGGATATGGTCATGTACACAAAAGGATTAAATGAAGCATCACCCACATTTTATCTAAATAAGTACAGAAACACTACACGTTAAAAATAAATAAAAAATCCCGTGTATTAAAATGTTAACAGAAATATTTGACTCTGATTAAAACAAAAACAAAACTGAAATTGCTGGACAATGCCGGAAAGTTTGGTCACCATGACTACGTCACCAATCTAATTGTCAAAAAGTTCTCAAATAATATAATTGTTGTGATTGTATGAACCATCACTGGCGACCGCATCAGTACCTGGTGTTGCCACCCCTCGCACGGATAACATGTGTCAGTCTCCCCCTCATACTGACAATCATGCCTCGTAAGTCTAAGCATCGAATTCCTCTGCCATTCTTCACGGAGTCGATGCGCCAATCCTGCAGATTTTGTACAGGAGAAGCCCCAGCTCTATTTTGGCGTCCAATGTAGTCTCTAAGGTGCTTGATGGGGTTCTATCGGGGTTCCTTGTACGTCATGGTGATGTTTCGATGGCGTTGTTCTCCAAATGGGTGAGTCTAATTGACGACGTACCCCTGCCCAGCCAATTTCCTTTGTCGCCACAATTCCTCGGTATGGGGCATCAACAAGGTCATTGGCCTTCTCGATCTTTCTGGTCTTGGACGATCCTTCAGTTCACCGGTGACCACGTGCTTACTTACAAGTCAACTAACAACCGTTATAATGTTCACTTTGGCACCGATGCTGACATGGCATGCAGGCGTCATTCATGCCAATAAGTTTCCGTTTTACGAAAGTCTACTTCATGCCGTGTCAAGAAAAGTTAATGTTTAGAACTTTATATCAGTTCAGAGTGCACATACTGCAATTTTGAAATATACTCTCCCAAAAAGGAAACGCATCATGTAGCAATGAATTAAAACGTGATTCATTTTACAAAAGGTTTTGCTCTGTTTATGAGTCCTATGGTGTTTATGTTTTGAAACATCACAACAAAACGCACCATCCGGAAAATACCCGTATTTAACAGCATGATTTTCAATTTCGGCGTGTAGTGTCACAGAATACACAATTCACATGTAATGCACGTGAAAGTTGGGGATCAGATAGTCTCAATGATGGGTATAAAAGGTTGATCGCTGTCTGTCGATTATTCACTGTATTTGGAATATTGTTGACGAACGCAAAATGCCACGTCTAAGTGAAGCCAACCGTCATATCGCCATTGGTTTGCTTGAAGCTGGCCAGTCTCAACGTGCAGTTGCCCGACGCATGAATGTTCACCAAGGCACCATTTCACGGCTCTGGGAGAGATATCGCCGGCAGAATGCGGTAGCAGATGCCCCTCGTAGTGGGCGACCTCGAGCGACCACTGCGGCGCAGGATCGCTACATCCGGGTACATCACTTGCGTCATCGAACAGCTACGGAGACCAGTACCGCTCGACAAATACCCGGATTGAGGAGGCTTTCTGCACAGACCGTCAGGAACAGGTTGAGAGGCTGGTTTACGTGCCAGAAGACCTTATTTTGGCCCTGTGCTTCGACAACAACATCGTCGACATCGAGTTCAATGGTGCACCAACGTTCAGGCCTGGAACCTACCGAATTGGCGTAGAATCTGGTTCAGTGATGAATCACGATTTCTATTGGAACGACGCGATGGAAGAATGCGGGTGTACAGACGTCGACGTGAACGTGCCGACGCTTACGTTCCCCAGGCGGACAGATTCGGCCGTAGAAGTGATTGGGTGGGGGTGATGTCACCTGCCGTAGAAGTGATTTGGTGATGATCCAGGGCAACCTGACAGCCCAACGGTACTGTGACGAAAACCTACGCCCACACCTCCTTCCAATCATTGATCGCCAGAGGGAGTTGTTTCAACAGGACAATGCCAGGCCACACACAGCACGTCACACTAGAGACGTCACAACATCAATGTGCTCCCCTGGCCCCCAAGATCACCGGACTTAAACCCGATCGAACATCTGTGGGATGCCCTGGACAGACGGGTGCGACGCCGTAACCCTCAGCCCCAGACACTTCAGCAACTCGCACAGGCACTACAGGCAGAGTGGGCTGCGATTGGGCAACACAAAATTCTGAGACTTATTCGTTCGATGCCGAGGTGATGACGTGCAGTTCTGGTTGCCCACGGTGGTCACACGAGGTATTGACTTCACCGCCACCACACGTCTCCATGTGACACTCAAACTGACTTTCCTCGAGTTGGTGCCAAAGACGGATAAGTCTGCATTCCCAGAGTGCAATTTCGCTATATTTCATTGACTCATAAAGCCTACAAGATGTTTCAAAATATACATAAAAATACAGTTGAAATTCCTACATGCGTTTCTTTTTGGGGAGAGTATATATACCCCAGTGTGCTAGGCGCCTTTGCAGCACATGAACCTGCGACGAACTGCGTTTTATATATTGGGTGAAGCACGTGCTTTACATGTGCATTCGTGCATTCTAGTATGATCACCTGTTTGAATTAGAAGTTTTAAAATTGCCATTAGTTTCAGGTGGTGCTTAATTAACGCTCACGTGTATGCTTAGTTGCAACACGTTTACGCGCCGTTTGTCATAGGCCTTAACAGACATGTACATCCCAAAACGGCATCGCAGTTTACCCAATTCGAGAAAAAGCTGAATAGTACACTTTATTTTTAAAAAAGCAGAACCTTATTTTTACATATAAAGTAAATTTATTAATAACACTTTTTGGTTGTAACTCATACGATGGTTTTAAAGATAAGACAATGATAAATTTGTACAATAACAAACCTTTACTTCGTGTTGTATGTATTAAGATTGAATATAATCAGCTAAATGATATGCTAGTAATGACTATTTAAAGAAAACCAGTAAATAAATAAAACCTTTTTGCATTTAGTGTAATTTTCTACACTTATGGATGGAACAATGAGTCCATTCGCCGACGTTGTTCCGTGGTGCTTAAATTACCGGTGATATGACGCCGAAGTTGAACAGCTGCTTTAAGAGATCCAGTCTTAAATAATAATAACCACTCCATCTTATTATGTTCTCTTCGTGGTGTTTCGTCGATCATGTTTGTTTCTTTCTGTATGTATTATTCGGTTGTTGCTGCATTTTGATGATTCAGACGATGAGTTACACAATAGCACCATATTCATGCTATGCACGCATAGAAGATCACTACTGAATATAATCCACTTGCATACACCGAATATTATCATTACGTGAAATCCCTAGAAAGTGTCTGCTTTCTGACTTAAGCTAATACGATACTGATTCAAATACAACATGGACGCATCACACACACATACACATACGCACATACCACATAAACAAAAACTCATATAAAGATGAATATATCGCAGTATCGCAGTATCGCTGTTTCGCCATGTCGCGTATAACCATTTCGCATTATCGCAATTTCGCTTTATCGCAGTATCGCTATATCGTCATATCTTTATGTCGCAATATCGAGTTACCGATATGGTCGTTCCAGTTACCTAAATGGTCGTTCCAGTCTATATGGTCGTTCCAGTTACCTATATGGTCGTTCCAGTTACCTATATGGTCGTTCCAGTTACCTATATGGTCGTTCCACATTTTCCTGGGAGATGGTAGCTATGATGCTCTACTCGCTTGGTCCGTTGCAGGATGCTAAGTCAAGGAGTTAGGGGTCGGACGACCGTGACTCCTAACTAACCACCTAACATTCATGTACTGGCACACATATATTCAAAGATAAACGCAACACCAAGTTTATACTCACATAGTTTTTACTAAGTCCCAGCCCATCTCTCTACATACAACTTCAACAACAGACAGGTTCGTACCACACGGGCAACTGAGTGGCGTGGATCATTAGCTTCCTAAATGTTACGTTAGAACAACCCGCACTCTGAGCTCGTAATGCCAAACATGTCTTTTTAAATGGTTCGAACCTAGCCTGATTTTTGGTCACATGCTTCAACTCCTCGTTTTAATTCGTTAATCGTGTATCCGACCTTGCACTCATGTATGTCGTGATTGGATGAATATCGTGTGTTGTGGTTGGATGAATATCGTGTGTCGTGGTTGGATGAATATCGTGTGTCGTGGTTGGATGAATATCGTGTGTCGTGATTGGATGAATATCGGGCAGCACCGTTCGGTGACCACCTCTTTTAATTGATTTGTTATTGTTTCAATGTAAGATTAATCTGTTATGTATTTCAGGACGAATGTGTTCTGTGTCTCTTTCTATAGCCTACGGCTAAACGCCATTCTGAGGAGACTTTCCGTCTCCATACCGTGCCTAACCGTTGTGACTCCTGAGCAAAACTGGAAATCTAAATACGGAATCGGATGTAATTCTCTCGTGGTTTTAGGGATGCATTTTTACCTTATAACAATATCTGACTGACCCGTGAAGGTCCGTGTTAGAATATTGATCTTCAATAACCATTGCTTGTCGTAAGAGGCGACTAACAGGACCCATGCGACTAACGGGATCGGGTGGTCAGGCTCGCTGACTTGGTTGACACACGTCATCGGTCCATGTTGCGCTGATCGATGCTCATGCTGTTGATCACTGGATTGTCTGGTCCAGACTCGATTATTTACAGACCGCCGCCATATAGCTGGAATATTGCTGAGTGCGGCGTAAAACTAAATTCACTCACTCACTCATTCATATCTGACTATAAATCCGACTTCACACCCCTCCACTCCATAGACTCTCGTCTATTGAGTCTACTGTAAGAATCATACACATTTACAGGCGGTTTTCCACGGTGTTTAGGCAAAATGATCACTGTTTGGGTTCAATTGTTTACGACAGTATGTAATTCTGAAAACTTATCAGAACATCACCAGTTTTGATGAAACTATCTCTGTCAAACAACTTTATTTGTGTTAACTTTTGGTTCTTTTTCTTTTTTAAACACAACTGTATCCGATTACAAAAGATACAACATTGCCTTCACTTTGCATAGTGCACATGTACGTGTTCATGAGGGCTTTGTATGTTTGTTGCTTTACGCCGCACTCAGCAATATTCCAGCTGTACAGCAGCGGTCTGTAAATAATCGAGACTGGACCAGACGATCTACTGATCAAAAGCATGAGCTTCGATCTACCCAATTAGATACAATGACACGTGTCAGCCATGTCAGTGTGTTGATTATTTCCTGTTTGACTACCGGCACGTATATTTCTATTTGCTCGATATTCATTTATGATGCCGGTATAGGCTGATGGCAGGGTGTTTATACCTATGTCCTCTATTATATATGCTGTTTTCTTTCGTCAGGTTACATGCGCTCTTCAGTGTGAGTGAGTTTTACGCCGCTTTTAGCATTATTCCAGCAATATCAGGGCGGGGGACACCAGAAATGGCCTTCACACTGAACCAGGGTCTCTGGTGAACGCTTTAACCACACTCTTCAGAGAATTTGTCTATACAACATATTTTCTTCTTGTTCTGTTACTGTGGTGTGGTGATGTTCGCTGGATCCAGTCCCAACTGAGATTGAAGTTTGGCTTGTTTGGTTAACACTGATAACTGTAAACTATGTGGCCCAATTCGTCAACCCCAGTATACAGGGGGTTGGAGACTATCAGGGCCCTCCCACCAGCCTAAAACCACTGGCGGCCTAGTAATGATGTTAAGACACTGTTCTGTGAAAACGGACTGACATCTGACCCTGAGGCCTGCCCCATGGATCTTGTCTTTCACTGTCTTGTCAGATATCCCTCGCAATCCTGGAAATGCAGCCCTTAAAAAGGGTCCTGTGTGAACCACTATCACATAGCCACATAAAGCTCCTTGGCAACAATTTTATCACAGGGTCTAATAGGTCTCATACTGTTACTGAAACCAGGGAGACTATATAAGGTAGAGTATCCCTGCTGAAACCAAGGTCATCAGATGGTTCTCTCCGTCAGGATACAGTCACCTGTGATCGTTACATAGTGCTCCAGTTAGCCATGGCCTAAGTCTACAGTTAAATAAGTATTGTGATTTATATCACCCTGCTACTCTTAGGCCAAATAAAAACCATGTTGTGGTTCCGATTACACCTCTTTAATATTTAGGGTAGGTAGGTAGGATTTTTTTCATTTTTTTTTAGAAGTAAAGTTATCAATGTGTAATTGTTTATTCAATCAAGCTTGCAGCCATCATGTTGACTTTCTCTATCAGAATGACCAATGTCCGTCGGTGCTGGGGAAAAACAATTGTATCTGAAAGCTTATTTTATTCACACCGCTTAAAGAAAACAGGGTCGGCACCAGAATTCAAGCATCGGTCGGGTAATCGGAACCACAACTTTTTTTTTAGGCCTTAAAGACATACAAAATGCACCCAAGGAAGTGTCAGGTTCCAGTGCATGCTTGGCAAGTTGGCAAGAGATGCTCAATCAAATGTTCCATCAACTTTTTGGCTAATACAAGTTCAGAGTTGTGTTAGTGTTGTATTCTTTATTTTCAATACAACACAAGAACCAGCGTCCACAGTTTGATCATGATGATTCACTCACAGAGCAGTCTACAAAGTGTTTGGGCGTTCTCTAATTATGCTTATATTTAACCAGGATTTTTTAAACTGTTGAACTAATATTTCATTAGAAACAATTCTCATCAAACACCTGATCTTTTACGCTGATTCCTGCACATCAAAAACAAACTAGAACAAACTCTGAGCACCGTAGGATGATGACACCCTCAGACTAGTCTTAGAGAAAGATCACCACTGTCGATTTCTTTTCATATATAATCATTTCTAGTAACCAACAAATACATAAATATGATTCACATTTGTATAATCTATGAACTAAGTGTTCCTCCAGAATGACAGAATAAATTCCTTGTTTGGTCTAGGTCCGAAATGGGATCCTGGGCCTAGATTTTCAAAGCTCTCTTAGCTCTTAGATAGTCAGAAGTGCCATACATTAACATTAACTTACAACTATCTTAGCTCTAAGAGAGCTTTGAAAATCTAGGCCCTGGACCTTGGGTTTAAGAACCAAACATACTCTTAAGCCAAGTGAGATGACAGACACACAAACACAAGTCACACATTCATATATCAAGTATAAAAGACTTAACACTGCTGTAATACGAGGGATGCAGGTAATCCCTCAGTTCTCTCTTTGTCACCCACAGAAAGTCTTCAGTACTGTCCTCATCTACATTCACACTGCCTGTCTTGTACGCAGCCTTGAAGAAAAACAGCTGAAAAAAACAACATTACACAAACATCACTAGCCAGAATTATTATGCAACAAGCACTGTCACTGTGTCAAATTGGTGATATTAAGTAGATTGAAGTTCAAGGTTAACATGCCAAATCATGTTAATTTTATACTCTAATTTATGTTGTGCTGGATTTAAGGATAAGCATATGAAGCCTCACACTTAATGTTCAGTTCTTAATTCAATAAAGTGCAGTTTGATCTACTGGTAACCTAGTTTCACATTATTAAACACAGTATATTTCTCTTCTTATTGAATAAAGGTTACAAAAAAAACAGGAAGAATGACATCACAACATTCATTATGTTAAAAAGGAAATCACCCTTTCTTTTTTTACACATATATACACTCAATCAGATAAAGTGAGTGAGGTTTTACGCCACTTTTAGCAATATTTCAGCAATCTCATGGCTGGGGACACCAGAAATGGGCTTCACACATTGTACCAATGTGGGGTAGCAAACCTATGTTTCTAGCTTGACGAGCGAACGCTTCAACCACTACCCTACCACCCGCCCATAAAGAAGTGTCCCTTCTTATCACAGATATGAAGAAGGGTGAGTAAGCAATTATTGCTTAATGATACACAATGTAGGAATAAGGGCAGAGAGTTCTAATTGAACACTCTAAAATGGGCTGGTCAAAAGGTAACAAAATAATTCATGTTTCATGCTCTTAACTGATAATTAACAACATGTTAACTGGTTGAAACACCCCCATCAAGGCATACCTTTACTCCTGTTTCTGTTTCAGGACTTGACCTGAAGACGTACTGGTGTACGCCACAGGGGGCGTTCCCGACAAACTGGGCAGATAACTCCTCCCCACAACGGACACCAAGAACTCTCTCTGCAGTCTGTTCAACCAAATCTAACAATCATCCATTGCATGTATGATGGACAGTCACTTAGAATCATAAATCTAAAATCTAAGACCAAGTCAGCAAGCATTAGTTAGTCGTCTCTTACAACAAGCATGGCTTGCTAAAGACCAGTTCTAAATGAGAGTTATGTGATACAGCTCAACAATGCCACTGACAATTGAAAGGGAAAGGCACAGCCCCTCAAACTGTCCAAGATCATCTCTGAGTAAGTCAAGACCATGTACTTTAATACTAAACATTTTTGTTGCTTTATGATGCTGACTGTTGTAATGTTGTGACCCACCTCTCTCAAAGATTCTCCCTCCGACCAACTTCCCTGGGGAAACACCCACAGCGGCTTGTCCCCGACTTTCTGCTTCACCAGAAGTACCAACTTCTCTGTCAACTTCCTGTCCGTGGACTTCTTGTCTCCAGACTTGTCTGCATCTGAAACATCAGGTATTCTCAACTGCAATATCAGGGATCATCAGCTGAAACATCACAGGTAATCACCTGAAATATCATGTATCGTCATATTTGGTGAAGAATGCAACCCCTGGGCCTTGTGTTATCCGGATTCTTGCATTTAAAAAGGTATTCAGTTCGCACAGTCATCTATCATTTGAAATCATCTTGTCTTTTCATATTTCACATAATTATAGACACAAGAAGTAGTTTTATTCGAAGAGAAGACAGAGATTGTTTCAACCATATTGCACTATACTGTGATAGCTAAAGAAGTTAGTACGGAAGAATGCAGGTCCTGCCTTAAGTAGATCAACCACATTCAGACCAATTCAGGGTGAAGAGACAAACTACCAATGAAAATAATGAAAATGGAGAACTGTTTTATTTTCTCTCTTGAAAGTGTTCTCATCCATCCTATTGTTCAGCGAGCGAAGCGCTGACCAGTGCACTGACCAGTGAGGCGGTCAGCTGGGGTGAACTGTTTCGTCTCCATCTCCCACATGTCCTCCAGGTCAAGAGCTGTCTGTGTGACGGCCTCGGCTTCCGTCTCTTCAAAGTCATCCTCTTTGCGTCTCGCTTCTCTCAATCTGAAAACCCCAACTACAGGTACAGAAAACATAGAGTGCTAGAGGTACAGATAGTTCAAGCATAAAATACATTACTACTGTTTGAAATAACAAATGGTTGAAACACACTGACAATGTTCTTGACAATTTTACTGTAAAACCTTATCTTTAGAAGTAAATGTATTCTGTGAGTAGTTCAAAGTTTTGGTGGGAAGAGTCAGCCACAGTAGAGAACACAGTCATTCAGTACAATACATAAGCAGAACACAGACAATCTCATAATTATCAACGTCTAGTTACATCAAGTGTAGCAGAGCAAGGAGTCTTCCCACAGATGACAACCTCTCCGTGTCAGCTTGCTGAAGGGGTAAACCTCCATAGTTATGTGGATAAGGATCTCTCGTCACATGACTCAACAATTTTACCAACATCAGCACCAAATGTAGATAGATCAATGTTCATGTAATTACTGAACAAACTTCATCTTCATAGTCTACTAAATCTTTCTGTAAACATGAGTGAGTGAGTTTGGTTTTACACCGCTTTTAGCAATATTCCAGCAATATCACAGTGGGGGACACCAGATATGGGCTTCACACATTGTACCCATGTGGGGAATCGAACCCGGGTCTTCAGCGTGACGAGCAGACACTTAGTGCCTGATTTGAATCCTATGACAGTCATAAACAGTTTCATTTGAATCTTACATATCATTCCTGTGACGTATCTCATGATTTGATAAAAGGCTGTTCTCAAACTCCATCTTGTCGAGAAGCTCCCCAAACCTGTCCTCCATCTTGGTTTTTAGTTCTGTTATGACTGGGAATCTCTCCACACACACTGCACTCATCAGCTGCCATTGCTGAAACGACTTGCCTGTCTGGGAGCTGCTCGCGGAGCGTTTCAGATAATGAAATCCTAAAGCAAAACACATTATTAGTTTTCAGAAGTTTCTTACTAATACAGCAAGTACTTTTTGAGAAAATGAATTGACAAATACCAACCATGACTTAAGAAAGGGATGTGCACAATAGTTAAAACCAGTTTTTAAGATTTTCAACAGCCATTTTTAGCTATGGAGCTGCTACTAACACAATGGTAAATAATCAAAGCATCCATAAAAGAACATACTTTACAGTTATATAAGTTAATTAAATATACGTTCAGTTTGTTAAAATGTGGCTCTTTAACCTTATCAACTCATCTTTCAGATAGTCACACTTATGCTCATACCTTTATTAATAGCACGAAGCAAACATGACAGATAGGTATCCCATTAAATGTTTGTATACCAGTGCCCTTAATGTGAATAAAAACCAATAAGTATCTTGTCATCGACTTAAAATCACTGTATACACAAGGACTACCATTGTTTCATTTAAGCCACTCAACATGAACAAAGCCCTTTTGCATATCTAAAATGTTCATTAATCTATCATATAATTATATCATACCTTCTTCCAAACTATGTTGTAATAAATTCTTTGTTTAAATCTATTTTACTTCAGCAAATTAAGAATAGATATCAACTAGAAAAGATCTCATAGTAGTTATTTGTAATTCACACCATACTGCACATGTTCAGATGCAAATATTTGGTCCAAAATCTGAAGCAAATGTCAGTGACAGTTACAAGCTTGAGCTAAGACGTTCCCAGTTCAAGTTAATAAATCACCAGAAGTAATTTTACATATACAAGTGAGTCTGGTAATTCCGCGCAGCTGCAATAACGTACTTCCGTATCGAAGGTAAACATCGTCTGCTGCCACATTTACACTTGAAATCGGGACATTTCTACGAGGGACTGGCTTTTAATCACTAAAGGTAAGTAAATATCAGTAATTGACAGATAAATTGACAGTTTTATGAAAATTTGTTTTCTTCAGACTTTTAAACCTTTTTCTTCATTATTCATAATCGGATTTAATATGAAACACTCTTCCTTACATTGATGAAGTGATTTTGAAAATAATCTGGCCCTAATACGCTTCCATACTTCGGATCTCCAACTGGATGTTGCACAGAATTACCGGACAGCAAGCAATGTCGTAAGAACGCCGGTAAAGTTAACCGTATGGCATAATGCTACCTTAGAATCTTAGAGTCGTCAATAAAACTTATATTTCTAGGTAAATATGATGCATACCACCATGTTTAGCCACGTAAACCACAAAAAATAAGTGGCGTTAGTTACTGTGTTGCAATCGATGTGCTTATGTGCACGGAATTACCGGACGGCATTGTATCTGGAATGTATTTCAACGAAACCAGATCAATAAGAGTGGAAGCATTATCATAATTATGCTTCATATTACAATGATGAATTGCCTACAATGTTAAAATACAAGAAAATTAAGTAAATAGCCAAGCAACATTCCTAGTTTTTAGCAAAAGTTCCTCACCTAATTTTTAACTATAAACTATAGACTAAACTATAGTGTTTGCTCATCACAAAAATAGGCGGGGGATACGTGAGGAACTCTTTCCCTGATGGGCAAGCTAGAACTATGATTATGAGTTTGAATCCTGCTTCACACATGTGTAACAGGGATGAAATCAAACATATTTTATATTTGTTTACTTGTACCAATCAGGTTTTATCATTGTATATAGTGTATAGGATTGTTCAACAGACTACCGCTTGTTTACAATAAGTAATCTAATTAGTTGTTTGTCTATCTTCACCTCATGTATATACTTTTAGAGCTCAATCAGCTTATAGGGTCAGTTCATTCTTGATTTAAGGGTAGTCAGGTTATTCCATTTTAGTGTATTTACTCTATTGTCTTGATCAAAGGACTGAAGCCTGATTCTTTGTCTTGATTGGTGATTTTGAATATCTATGTAACCAACCATTTTAACACCTCTCAGCACTTGTCACAATCACTGCACTGCATCCACCATACAGATCAGTCCACAGGTTAGTTAAAATTATTACTTACTAAACTAAGTCTACTGTATGAATATATTAACCTTAATGATTGTATTAAATGCCTTTAAGTAATCTAATGTGTGATATGGTACATAGTTAGGGATTTATGAGCATGAATGTTATGAATGGAGTCATGGATGAATGTGTCAGATCTCATTGTAATGGTTGTGTACTATTTTAATCTAAATGCATATTGTAAGCTTTATCTGTATGATTATTGTCCTAGGTGTAATAATCAGGAAATTGTAAATATGGAAGTTATGATATTTAGATTATGTATATGTAGTCTGCATTGTGTACTCACTTTCAACAATGTGCTGTCATTTATCTTATTTACACAGTAGGTTACACCTTCCGAGTTTTGCTCAGTGTTCTGAGCGTTGGCGACCACCCAGGTCAAAGACTAACTTTTGTGTCACCCACAGGGTATGCGTTTTTATAGTTTCTCATCTTGATATGCCAAGATGCAAATGTTATATTGCATGTATATGTATATATGATCAATCAATGCAGATTTAGTATGTGTTTAACTATCAGTGACAATCAACTAATAGTTGTTTGAGTATGAGCTTATGTTTATGAACCTCTTATGTAATTATATTACTGCATATCATATGTATGCAGTGGCTTGATAATATCTTAATTGTTCTTTGGAATATTTAATTTACCCGTGTGTATATATGTGAATGTGTTTGGAAATATGGATTGCATATTTGTTATTATTATTACAGAGTGTCATGCCACAGCGACACAACAAATAAATACATCTCTCACGACCCGCCGCCTTGGTCATTTTTGACTGGACCAGCACAGGCTGCAACACATGTTTCTTGGTTTGTCTGCACCAGACTGCATTAACTACCTCTCTGTGCACCGTAAAAAACAAGTTGGACATTGCCTTGTTGCTATACAGAACGACAGATTGTTCCACGGTGCTTGCTCCAAGACCATAATGGTGATCTGAAGAAATAACTGGTACTATAACAATGCATTTTTACTTCACCTTGAAGTCGGTTTCTTCGAAAAAGTGAACGTAGTACCGCAAACCTCGAACAACTAGCAGCCATGCTGTCAGATATTACCCGAGAGTTACTTCCCCTTCGTTCGACAAAATAAAGCTCCACACAGCTATGGCCCGTTTGCGGTCCATCAAAACTATCGCTGCCATCGATGGCAAGCGGAGACTCCGGGAACCAGTCTATGCTGCCACCCGTACGGTAAACTGGTTCCTGGCTCTCTATGCCCTCCAAATCACAGTTGTCTTCAGCGTGACGAAAGTGTCACGCGATGAGATGGAGCTAGCAGCTTAAACTATATTACGATTATCTCTGCGCATCGTCAACTTGCGTTTTTTATGACACGAAGAGACAGAGCCCAGCGTGAAGATTTCTTCTTGAATCATATTATGATCTACTTTCGGTATCGAAACAAGTTGACACCACCTTGATCCATCACACGTCTGTGTTTGGAAGAGTAAGTCTAGAATAATTAGATCAACTGTGTTATGAAATTGTCACCTTGCATTCGTGTTGAGTCGGATGCGGAAGAAACATTCAAAGAACTCTATTAAGTTATAGTACAGTTTTCATTTTTGTTTCACATTTTATATCATAAAAGAGTTTGACAACATAACACGAAACTCACTTACTCAGGTAAAGAAACATGCTTCCCAAAACAGTAAATATATGATGATGAAATGTAATTACCATTTAGTTTCAAACTTTGTACGACTATAATACCCAGAAACCGGTCTTTTATTTTTATAACGTGAATCTGTTGGCTATTATATTATCTGGATGAGGCGTACTCACAGTTCTGCGCACAGGAGGCGTGGTGGGGTAGCCTAGTGGTTAAAGCGTTCACTCGTCATGTCAAAGACCTGGCTTCAATTCCCCACGTGGGTACAATGTGTGAAGCCCATTTCTGGTGTCCCCAGCCGTGATGTTGCTGGAATATCGCTAAAAGTGGCGTAAAACTAAACTCATTCACTCTGAGCACAGAGCCCCTAAACTGGGTTTGGTATTTGAAATAACTGTGCTGATCAAGACGTTCTGACACAGTTCAGGCTCTGCTAAAAATCTTGCCCATCAGATCCCCTTATTTGAAAATATCCCCAGTAGTTCTTGTCTGATTGTAATAAAGTATCCCAGCAGTGTAGGCTTTTTCAGATTTTCAAATGTTTGGATGGTATGGTGACTGATCCAATTTGATCCTATTTCTGTGTTTTTTACCTCAATATTTAATCATGTAAAAATATTATGTCTATTACGTATGCTATGATATCCAATACAACATTTGATATATGTATTTGAATCCATAAACTAAACAACCCCACTTTGCCATTGCAAAATAAATCTGAAATTTTACTTAGGTACATAGGTATATACAGTTTTTAACTAAGTCACAGCAAATGCATATATATATTTCTTATGTAACAATGAAGTTCCGTTTGTATCCTCAAAACAGTGTCAGCCCATCAGGTTTTTTTTCAGGCAATCAAACTTGCATGCTAAACAGGGATTACTACTCTCTTGCTGTAACCCTTGTTTGGTGGTAAACCTACACGTTATTTGTCATCATTCACTTGATGGTCAGTTAATGAATTTATAACAGGTATAATTAGTGATAACACCACTCAGATTACCCGACACAGGTGCCCATTTGGCATTTCTTGTGTCTGGAGTAAATACTCATCATTATAAATTGAGGTCTGATTTGGCAAATGTATTACATTTTATGGGTTATCTCCCAATTGACAGACACCTATTTGACAGACAGCCAGTTGACAGACACTAAACTAGAAGGTTAATTAGGGTAATACCTACAAGTACAATGGAACAGTCCGCTGTCTAGTGAGTAGAGCAGGGTGAGCCTGAAACAGGTTCGCTACTGAGAAGTTTGATTATGAGTAAATAGAACTTTGTTGTGATTAAATGATAAATGATTTCTCTTCTCAAATTTTAGTTTACTATCAATTACTATCGAATTTAAAAACAGGTTTGTCACTGAGATGTTTGATTGTGTTTATTGATAGAAAAGCCCCCTCCCAATAATAGCATATGTACAAACAGAAGTTACGTTTTGTTGGAGAGGTATAGATATGAACATTTTTGAAAACATTCTGATTTGCAGTAAATGAGACACCTGCATTGTCATGTAAGATACGATTAATACCAATCAGTGTTCTAATTTTAACGATACTTTCTAAAGATTGTAACAGTTTATGTCTTTGAGTAGTATACAATGGTCATTCAAGGAAATAATGGCCACATTGTCATGATGCGTCATATTTTGAATATTTATTCTAAATAAATCGTAATTAAGTGCACTCGTCATATATCTTAATATTGTGTGCAAAACATATAACTTCTTTATTCCATATGAATAATATTTAGGTTCACATTTGACTTTATTTGATTTATATGATACAACAGTGTCGGAATTCCTAATAGCTAAGCTAATGTTTTCAATATGATGATGCCGACTCCCGTTAGACTAGAAGGTTAAACAGAAATGTTTATGAAAACAAACTGTTTTTATATTGCAGCAATGAAAATTCAAATTACTGTCTTTTCGTCCATCTTTCAAAATAAATAATATAGCTTCAGTTTGTTCCTGTGTTTTTATTTTGACTAGTCCATTATAATGTGTAGGTAAGAGGTAGTAGATAATCTGTTCTCTGAACCGTAAATGTTGTTGTTTTAAGGTGTCTGCGAACTGGCTGTCTGCGTAATGGGAGGACACCATTTTATGTAATATGCACATGGAAGTACAGTAAGAGGAATTATCAGCTGAGTTCAAACATCGATCAAAGGATTAACCTATAACATGCTGATTGATTATGATTGCTTTTATCCTTTGTCAAAAGATAGTGTTTATGTATGTAGATTTACTAATCTACACTGAATACATATTGATGGATACATTCCTCGAAAAAGGTAATAGCTTGATATTGTTGCTATAAGTATAACATTAGTCTGTGTTGATTTTAATATTTGCATTTTGTTTTTATTTATTTGTTATGGCATTCGACAGAATCATTATTTTCACCGTGAAGTGTAATGAGACAGACAACATACACTAGATCGCGCTCAGGGTGTGTGTGTGTGAAATATGATACGCGTTGGCAATCTATAAAATGTCTAGATATTACAATCATGTTATATATTCACTAAGTAGCATATCGTGTGCATTTTCTTAAGTTTCAAAATCCATACAAATATGATGATAAACTAATTAGGATTATAAGACAAAATATAAAGACGTACATTGACTTCATTATTTCAGTCCTAACATTTTTTACCACTGGCAGATGGTTAAACATAAAATGTTTTCGTTTGTTATCAAAATAATGCCATTTAATACAATGTTCAGACTGACTAGTACTGAACCCAAGCTCAATACTCTCCCCAAGTGAATATTTTTTTATAAGAAACCAAATTATTCATCAAAGTCTACATAATTTTACAACAAAGTCAACATAAGATTATTGAGTAAAAAAGATTTCATCTTTGTTGATCGGTCTATACTTATACTATCAATTGCGCATGAGGGTGGCGCAGCAGCGGTAACGAACCAGTTATGAATTCTGGGATATCATCCAGGTACTCACTGGAGGAAAACAATAACAAAAGCAACAACCAGTCCATGGAAATTGCTCTGGATCAGTGGCCCTTTAAAACAACTCAAGTTAGGCCAATAGACCGATCCAGTCCCAGCCAATTAGCCCACCCACTTCGTTTTTGATGTTAGGGGGGACAACCACTAACTTATCACAATAGCGTCACTGCCGGCAAAATGTACGTGATTGCGAACATTGTTGATGGATTCTGCTTGTGGTACTTTGGTATCCGTCATGTGTGAATGATGTTTAAAGAGGCAAGTTATACGTATGTGATTTTTAATATATTTTATCTGGCAGATTTCAATAGAAATACACAATGCCATTTTAGAAAGTGGTCAAATGTAACATAGAAAGTGTAATCCCAAATATAACATGTTAGATTTCAACATGTTAGGCAAGTGTTGTTCCAGCTTCCGCAGTTGAGTATGTAGGTCATAAAATGTTTATCTGGTACACTGATGAAAGTGCTTATAAATTTTATTTTATTTTTTTTTTTAAAAAGTGACAAATCAATAACATCCCAGCTAACATGAAAATACTCAACATCACACGAAGGTTATAAGACAACACATTTTCCACTTCCAAGAGGTCAGTTTAGTTGCATCTGGCATAAACCATTTTATATACACTCTGACCAGAGACCATATTATATTATATGGTTACTGCTGTCTGATAAATCATGAGTTGCACACTTTGTGTTAGTTTCATTGTATCTGGACATAAGGTTTTATCAGTGACATGAGCACATTCTAATACTAGTACTTGATCTTCGGTTATTCCAAAATATATCTGGCTGTTATTCATTTCAGGTTTTTCAATTTCATAATGGAAGATGCTCACCGGAACGTTATACAAAGGAATTGGATGTTTTTGCTGGAAAAAGTTATCATAACTACAGGTGTGTCAGACTATATGTTTCAGGAGCGAGTATTCTCTGAGGACATGCTGGATGAAATTTACAGTAAATTAACAAGAAGACAAAAAGTGACAGAATTCTTTAACTTACTTGTAAGAAGAGGTCCTGATGCCTTTGACACGTTTCTTACTGCCTTGCGTAACACAGAGCAAGAATTTATAGCTAAAAGGTTGCTTCAAGATTTGGAAGTTCCATCATGTGATGCTGCTGTAGCTCAACTGTGTTGACATATGGTTTGTTACTATGGTTTCCTTGAGAACATGAACACATTACAAGGCCACATCTCCTTCTCGATTCAAACTTGTGGTGTATGTAACATATCCAGACCTGAATAGGCAACAACTACTTTTTTACAGCTCACCCTCATGACCTGCTAACATGACCATCTAACATGACCATCTAACATGACCATCTAACCCAGCTTATAGCATTAGTTTCTGAAGTGCTTGGTCCACACCATGTACAGGGTGGACATGTTCGCATCCAGACAATCAGGTGTAACTGGACTGGAATCTCGCTCTGAATACTATTGTGTGCATTCTCTTAATGTGACCTCACATCAGGAATTTCAAGATCACATGACAGTCTTTTGATGTGTGTATGGTGTTAAATGACCAAACACTCATTATAGAAGAAGTAGAAGTTTGTGCTGGACAAGTGTTGTAATGAGTGGCACCAGTCTAGCAGAGCCTGTCTGAATCACACTTTCACGCTGGAATCAAGGTGAACCTTGAGTCATCCTTCATAATCCAGTTTATTACATCTCAAATCGTCCACCGAAATGCGTTTTCATTTGTTTTGAGTGCCCTTTGGAAGAGCATTGTGAAACTGACGTTGAAACATTGATGAATTGTGACCACAGACAAGATCAACGATTGAGGCAGCTTATCAGCTCCAGTGATTCAAGAGCAGTTTAGTTTTTGACTTTTTCCAAGACTGCGATATGGCAGTATTAGATGTTCTCAAGCCTAATGTAAATATATACATTTTAATATGTATTTTAATTTTAACATTTACACCTAAAAGGTAACTTTGTATTGTGTTTGTTGTCATTGTTGCATATATCATCAAATTACATTAAATGTCACAATATGTGATATGACAAGAACTTCATGCAATAATGTACAGTGATAATTATGTGACATAATAATTTCTTAAAAGAAGTCATCTGCTTTATCTGTTAACAAGCTAATCCACTTGTTTTGTATTGTTGATAACCTGAATTTGTTTTCAAGCAACATTAAGTTGAAAATCAAGTAGATTGAAATCTTTTTTCTGCAAGAATCCATTGTTAAATCAGAATAAATGTGAGGGACTACTCTTTTGTTGTGAAAGAAATCACATTTGACCTGCCAGATTGACACAAGAAGTAGAGTTTGAAATCATGGTATTTGCTCTTTTCCAAGAGTTTCCAAACAATATTTCTGTTGTACTTTCACAATGGAGCATTGGATAACAATCCTCTACAATCTCTATGTTTACAGAATAGTCATATAAGGGACCGTACATAATCTATGGCTAGGGGGGTGATGATGATTTTTTTGGAGAAGCATGTACAATATGAATGATCCCCCCTAAATTTTATGTACAAAATAAGTGACCCCCCTCCATATAATGTACAAAATCAATGACCCCCCTTCCCATAATTCCTAAGCATAATTTTTAAACATACTTTTATGTACAAAATGCTGACCCCAGCTTCCCAGAACAAAATTGGAGGAGCCCCCAATCATTTCTTTCCCCTCTCTCTCTCTTCACACACACACACACACCAAAAAAAGCATAAATTATTAAGGGTCCCTAAGATGCAAATGTTTTCGCTAATACAACTACCCTGGATGACTCTTGGCTGATAGTCTTTGATAAGGGAAATCTATGGCTTTTTGTCTTTTAATCATTTTAGCTATTAAAGTGCTAATAATCTTAATGTGAAGTATTTTGAAGAGAAGTTGGTCTCCAAGGTTTCAATTAACGTCCATTACTGTAACGATGCATCAAACTATCGATGCATTGCAATTGTTGAGTCTCCGATAACAATTAGTCGGCAGAAGAAATGAAAAACTATTGATGCATCGATAGTATGTGTGACTATCGATAGTTTAGTAATTGACTTCCATTGATAAATGCGCAGTGTGGGTGCAGACTTGCAGCTTCATTGAGTTTTAACTGTTTACTTGATCTGGGTTTCAAGTCTTACTTCAACTTGTTTTTACTTCATATAAACTATACATTCGTTTGGGAAATGACTTCAAATGAGACAATTCAAGGAGAGAAGAAACTATGCAGTAGTATTGTAATAGTTGGTTGCAATAGACTATCGCTATCACAATAGTTGTTTTGTTTCCCACTCAGTATTCACCCCTACTGTAAACATCACTCCATTCATGCACAAGCATCTTGTAGTTTCCACTACTGTGGTATAGCAGTAGTTGATTCTAACAGGCTTCAAATATAATTTTTATTTTTATACATGTGTTTTATGAATATATTGTATTTTGTATTTTTATACCTCCAGTTGCTCATCACGTGTGAATGAGATGTGTAATAAAATGTGAAAATATTGAATAAATGACTACAATAGACCATTCTCACCTGTTTTGAAAGGCACAATCCCTCATTTCAGTTGAAGCAATATATGAGTGAACTGGTTTGTGTCAGGAACAATGTTTTGGAATGAGATGTGCAGGTAAACTGGGTTTCATGAATGTGGCCTGCGAGTAACTCCAGAATGGGTGGATGTAGCCACGAAAACACCTCACTATTTCCCTTACAGGATATGTTCTGGGTACATGAGGACCCTTTCTGTGTTCAGCTTTGCAGGCGCGTAGTAAGCCAAGTTTTTCGTGTTAGCCCAATAGGTTGCAAAGCTTTACATAGTATTGAGGGCTTGCCCAACCTTTTTATGTGTAAGCCCGTCATGTGTCATGTGTGAGCCCAGGCTTTTTTTTTATAATGGTAGCTACACCCCTGCCTTGGAATCCTCTATGGCAGTCAACATGATTAGCATCTCGAGTAACCAAGAGTTGGATCCCTTTGTCATGCCAGGATCTGATGACCTGATCAGGAATCCTCAAAGGATCCTATCCTTAGAAGAACTAACAAGTCCAAGTCAACAGGATCAGCATTTATAGCAAATAATCCAGAGTTGTGTCCATTTTTCTATACCAGGATACGTGGATGCAGTGTAGATCCTTGGCTAGTGCAGTGGTTAAGGGCTTAATGCAAATATCAGTGTAGGAAAGATAGCCCGTCCCAACGTCCGAGACGGGTGAATTTTGTGGAGGATGGGTTAAGAAAATATCTAGTCCGTCCTCATGTCGGGTCAATTTTAGCAAACCAATGACATATACAATGTATATAATGATTATAACCTTTTTGAATATTTACTGCTGAAGGTGTTTTATTTATATTTGGAGGACAGGCTAGATTTTGGCAGGACTGGTAAAAATTTTGACCTGCCAGTCCTGTGGACAGGCTAGATTTTCTACATCTTTCCTACACTGCAAATATATATATTTTCATAGATATACCTCAAGATCCTGAAGTTTTGGGTTTGATGACTGATGAGGGTAACATGTAACATCACGTGGTGTCCCTCATGCTACAAACAAATACTGATTAAAGAGTGGAAATCTCAACTTGAATATTGGCACATGGCTAGTGAATGTCTGAGTGATGCCTCAAACATCAGTCAGCCAGTATCATAGTTATTATTAGATCACTGCATCCTGACAATGTATTTTATAGTAAGTGTGGCAAGATATGGTAAGATTGAAAGTTGGGAAATGCACAAACCCATAGTCAAGAGAGGGAAAGTATTCGAACAGTCGGCCTAGTCACAGAATATCACCAACACGTCATGGGTTTGATTGCATTCCTCTAGTGGTGTTTGTTTGTTTGTTGTTTAATGCTGCACTCAGCAACATTCCTGCTATATGTGGTCTGTAATATGGTACTAGACCAGCCATTCCAGTGATCGACAACATAAGCATTGATATACGCAGTTGGGATACGATGACGTGCGTCAATCAAGTCAGCGAGCCTGAAGACCCGATCACGTTCATTGCCTCTTATGACAAAGACCAATTCTCGCGTCTTCATGGGTAGGTTTTTTGTTCTAACCAATGATGGTCTGCTTCCAGCCAAAGGTAAACCACTTGGTGCCAGTGATACAGGGATGAGAATTTTCCATGGATCCATGGATTTTATCGTGCAGGGGTCACTATTGTTAGTCGAACTGAACCCCATCAAAGCAGACAGTAGGCCTCTGACAGTCAACACTAGGTCTGGAAGATGAGCTGTGCACCTCTGACGTAAACTAAACTTTGAAAACATTAATAAATAAAGAAATATTATAGACAAATTGTTAACTGAAAGTAAATGTTTACCAACACTACAAATTACTCATTTGGTGACAAAAACACAATAACATAACTGTACAAGCTTGACTCAGTTCACGAAAGCAACCCATCCTGAAAATACTGGACATACTCTTGGGTCAACACTCCATATGATGTCACCTAAAATGGCACATGCTGGAAAGTTTTTAAATTATATACTTGTACTATTATATATATGACCAAAAGGAGACTTTTGTTGATCATGTTTATTTACATCATATTTTCAGTAAAAAATCATCATACCAGGCATTACAGGTTAGACAGGTGCCCAGTGACTCCAGTCCTGACAGGTGACAAAGTGGATTGGGTGGTCAGTTTTATGGTTAAGTGCATGTGGCAGTGCATCATCTGATGAAGGATCTGACCATAAACATGGAGTGCATACAGGAAATAGAGTTATCCGTTACCAGTACTTGACTGACTTGGGACACTGAGTGTCTATTCAAGTCATAACTGTTAAAACTAATGTACAAAAGTTGATGTAAAGGACTGATTATTTCATAACCCCACCCCAGTTAATCCTGATGACACCTGACAGCCCCTCAATAATGTTCAAGATTTCAGCCTATATATTTGAACCAAAAGAGAACCATTTCATTTTTCATTGTTGTTATGTATACTGAAAGAAACAAATAAAGGAACACAGGAAAATTCAAGCATTCCTTTAATACTTTCCAGTTTTCATCACCAGCTTTGAATAGTGCTGTGGGAGGAAATCTGAGATTAAATAATGAAACACTGCCTTGAAGTGGTGTTCCCTTATTCGTTTCCCTCATTATATTTTAGTGAACCCCTCTTTTGCTGTCATTTTTAAAGACCCAGCTTTAATCTCATTTGTCCAGCCCGCCTATAACAAATGACCAGTCTCTTAATAAAACATATGTTATATTTGGGATTACACTTTCTTTGTAAAGTACAGATTCTAGTACTTTTGTTGGCTTGAGTCCCATCCGGTAGTGTAAAAACAGTGTAAAGAAAGTGTAATCCCAAATATAACATATGTTACATTTGACCACTTTCTAAATTGCATTGTGTATTTTCAAAGTCTCTTAATAGGTTGAAGGAAACATGCTTCAGCTACGTCTATATGTTTCCAGGTGATAATCTGATTTATTCCACGATTCAAGTTCAACAAAATCGAAACAAGAAATTACGAGAAAATCAAAAGTGATTTCATTTCACTTAAAACTAACTAAAAAACATATATTAGATCTTAGTATGTCACTGTGCAAGGTTTTTGGACAAACTTGATCTTATCCAAAACATACATGTGACCTTCACAAATTTCTATCCATCAGTACCGGATACACCTTAACTAAACATGATGAAGATAAACGTAAAAATGGGAGAGTCAACAAACATCTGTTGACTGAGCAAGTTTTCCCGTAATCAAAATAATGCATACAGTGCTAAACGAGGTTGACTTGCACTCTTGATGATGAAAATATACATTAGAACAGTACTGGACACAGTCAATACGGATGATGATATTGTGTATCAAGTAGGGGAATCCTTCTTAAACTCCTGCTTGAACTGTGTGGTACAATCCATTAATACCCTCACTGTTGCTATGTACTTTTCTTCATTACACTGCAACATGTCAACTGACACAGCACCCCACTACACTACTGTCATCAGAAAACCAGCTCTGTAGACTGGCTCTGTTGAACTCAAAGGAATTATATTATCAGGACTTGCTGGCTTTATGCCAGACACATATATTTGGACATTGTTATCACTATGGCTACAAAAAAGATAAGCTACAGCATTACCTCCTTGCTGACACAAAGTTGTGGCACTCGGATTCATAGATGGGAATATATACAATAAAGACATCACTCTTACTAATACTTGATAAAAACATGAGTCTAACTTAAAGCTAATACAGCACTATGCAGATGAACAATTCATGCAAAAATATCACAGTTAATTCATATACATTATCATCTTGTAACTATGAAACAGCAAGTATAGTATGGTAAGTATGAAGCATCTGTGCACCATGGCTTTAGTGTCACTGGTAAATCAGTTTTTATACACCACTTAAAGAAATAAAATTCTACATGCATCATAAAAAGTATATTCAGGGTGATTTGTCAAATCACTTAGTTTGTGGAATAGGGGAATATGCAAGGCATTATATAAATATGATATATCCTTAACCATTTATTCATTGTACACTCCCCAGGAAGTTGAGAATGTGTTTGACACTTGTCTGATGACCTTTGGAACAATGTCGATGAATTGGGTTCTGATGATCTTTCTTATATACATATATGTATGTTAAAGATATAAAGTGTGAAATTCCTTCTAAAAATAATGTATTTAGAAAAACAAACTACAAGCATATTGGAGTGAAGAAACATCACTCCTGTTACCAAGCCTGCATCTTGGTGTCTATAGCAGACCTTGGGACATTTACTTGAAAATACATTCACCTCCCTTCTCAGCCCCAGCAGCCAATACTCATCCCCATTTTAGCTTTAGCAAAGAGACTTGGAGGATCCTGTAATACGTGTGGGTTCCCTATAGCATTATAACACATGACCATATACATAGCATTATGTAAGTGGACCTGATTCAGGCATATTCGTCACAACTTGTTGGATTGTGTTCATCCTTGTTTAACAAGAGTATATCTCCATTAGATTACGATTTACCCTGGACCTCTTTTCCAAGTAAAGTCTAACGCTGTTGTGTCAAACTTACAGTTATTTGAAGTAAAGCTGAGTCTTTATTCTTTATTTTGAAATATGTTATTTATTTGTCATTTTGTGATTGTGTTGAAAATCATATATGTCAAGGTATTTGTCACTTCAACTGCAACACAGTGTTTGGATGTAGCTTTGTTTTTGAGGAAATGCTAAAAATAGCTATCTAATTACATTGTTTTTTCACGATGGGACAAAGTGGCAGCTATTTGAGCTTGTTACATCATGTCTCTAACAGAGTGCAAACACATGAGGACCTACCTCTTTGTCTTAACGCATCTCTTCAGCCTAAACAGAAGTAATCTACAGCAGTAATCTACAACAGTTTTCAAATCAGTTCTAAACTACTTCACTCCAACTATATGGATGACTGGAGATGAATGCCAAACTCTCATTCAGAAGAGCCATTTTGATTTGTTGTCCGATTTGAAGTTTATGAGTAATCAAAAATTCTGTCCTAAGTGATAGGAGACAAAAACCTTGGGCCCTAAGTGATCTTAGCACTGTAACTGTAACAGAGATCTAAGTTAATGTAATAGGGATACTGTTGTCTTAGTGCTAAGACATCTTTGTGGAGAAAGGCCCTGTATATTAGTCAATGCACAAAGGTCCAGGGTATAAATGGTAAAACATTGGAGATAAAATACCCTGCATTAACCAGGGTGCACTCTAAACCTTGTGTCAATGTGAGTTTTGCACTGTATTCTTGATGATGTCCCAGTCTATAGTACACATGTTCTCACAGGCCCGAAGTGCCTTTACAAATGCCTGGAACGTTGCTCTGCCTGCCTCACGCTGTCTCCACTTCGTAAATACATTAAACATCTGCAAGTATGGTGTATGGCCAGCTAATTTGGCCTGTTCAATTTGAGCTTTGGTCATCTTAAGTTCAATGGCGATGAATTCCCAGCCAATGCCAAATGCCTGCACCATTCTGCTCAACTCTTTCTCCTGTATTTTGTCCGTCCTGCGTGAACCTGGCACACTCTCAAACCAGTCCTCTGAAACAACAGACAATAAAATTCCAATATTGAAAATATACTTGACAATCTGAATTCCACCTCAACATCATGGTGAGGACACATCTTCGATCCAAAGACACACTGAGTGTAAACATTTCAAATAATGCAGGGTGACATTTGTTTTTCAATGAGAATATAGATAATGAGATAAAAGATGTCATAAATATTTATCTATCCCATAGACCAACAGGTAATGCCAAGTATTAGAAATTTTATTAGTCTTGGATCACTTGCAGATTTCCACTCATTCTAAGTTTAATTACAGTGGGCAAACAGATTTATTAAAATTCAACAAAAGACAAGTCTTGTGATTTTCATCATTACCTTCTTCAACTTCAGAAACCAGAACAGTGTTTTCGAGAATTTTAGCAACATGCGGGTATCCAGCTCCTTTAATTGCATCTAAGAATACTGTATAACCATTGCTTCCTGAGTTGAATAATTTAGTTAGAAAGACTTCAGCCCTCTTGCTTCGAATATTTGGCATGGCATTTTTTACTTCTTCCATGTCATCCATAGAGAAAATGCCACTCTGAAACATTTTATCAACTATGTCTTTTCCATCAAGTTCACTTTTAAGGAATTCATAGTTCAACTGTAACCGTTTCTCATCTTCTGGAGGAAGTCTGCCTCTTTGCTGAGTTGCCATCTGTGAAGTAACTAACAAAAAATATCACATAGAAATTTATAACATGTTGGTATGAACTGTTCAACTCATAAATTATCTATTCCTTCATTCATTATCTATTTACAGTCATGCCCCACTTATCCAGACACCTGTGTTTTTCTTGAATTTGTCTGGATAAACGAATTTCTGCATATCTGAACCGCGGACTATATTGAAAAAAGACATACATGTCATCCATGCTTTCGCATTGTTCCTGCACCTAACATAAATTTCCAGATTAAAGTCACTACCAAAACAACAGGGGTGTCATGCCTTGCCAATCACAAAAGGTTTACGTCAATCATCAATGTCACCTTGCTAATTATGGGAAGTTAATCCTCTCACACTTCAAAGACTGCTGACCTCTTTTAGGTTAGGGCACGCAAGGCCACTCAGTAAAATAGGTGTGTAAATATACTGACAGGTGCTCATCCATCCTGATATATGAGAAAAAAATGCATATAATTTAGCGTTTTGTATGTAAAAATGACCATCCGGTTACAGAAACCGGATTTCCGGATAAGTGACTAATTTTACAATGTTGTGAATTCGTTTTAAGGAATATTCGTTCGGAAGGCAAGTTTTCCGGATATCTGAGGTTCGGATAAACGGGGCACGACTGTACTTAGTATATTTTAAGGGTGTAAGTATGGTGAAGGCATCTCAATAAAACAGCAATACAGTTTGCCAGCTCACCAAACATGATAACATGGTTTAGGGAATTTGCATTTGTAGAAAACCTAGCATGTTAACAACATTATTATTTTACTTGACAAATATCAAATACATATATGAACACTTGAATATGTTTACTGGAGTTCGATTGATTATATGTATGGACATTTTTGAGTGGCAATTACTAAATCAATGAAAAAACAATCTCCTTTACCTGTGTACCATTTAAACATACCATGTATCCTTTTAACTTAAACATAGTGACTTAAGACATGTTGCTATCAGAGAGGTAAAGGAACAATTCAATGTTTACAAGTTAGCACATAAAGTTTCATTTTTGCATTGCTGTTTAACATATATTGTCTGAAAATATGAAACTATTATAAATAATGCCAAATCAACACAAATCCACAAATACAAAGATATATATACACTAATAAAAAAGCCATTATACATAGATAAAAAACTCTACACGATTACTCATCTACACCAATAACGTCCCACTGTAAAAAATATGTAGACAACAGTCGTAATCGATAATGACAGCTGATGAATCATAACTGACTGACTGGCAGACCTGCCCTTAAATCAATATACCGTACATCTGGGGCATGCATCTAATGTATACATTTCATTACAAGACGTAGGCCTATATCTGTTGTAAAATTAGTCGATTATTCTTCGCTAATTGTGTGGGTTGTTTTCGGCTATGTGTGACTGATTATACATACATGATCATGCAAGAGTAAACTGAATATGGGCCCGTTATTTACACACCTACGACGCCCTGTCTTTCACAACAAGCTTACCTTTCAAAGGTCCGATCGACAAGGTAACAAACACAGCTGAAGAAACCGGAAGGCAAGCTTTAGGGAGCGGTTATTACATATTATGGGAAGTGAAAATGTATCATGCATTGCTTGATTATGCGTAAATTAGAAAATAGATATTGATAATAAAAATATTTTAATAAGATGCCATATAATCCTTACACCAGTGTTTGGGGTGTTTTGCTTTGGGAACGTTTTATCAATATAATATGCCTTTAGATTATCACAGTTTAATAACGTCTCCCACATTGGTTTTGTTTTGTTTTCAGAGCAGAAGAACAACTTAGACTTCGACCCCGAAAGATCTTTGACTTACACAAGCTTCAGAGAGTCAGAGAGTCACCGAGTTTTGGCCAGTGCCTGTTTACAAATATGATTTCAACGCTCAGGCATCTTACAAGACGGTCAGGTATTGCATACCGGGTGTTCATAGCACCAGCATCAAGCAGTCCAGCGCAAGCACAAGATTCGCTGGAACCGTCTGCTACAGATTCTAAGACTGAAGTCGCCACATCTAAACCTTCAACGAATGTTCCTTTTGCCAAAAACCTCTTTCTTGGAAGATTTGATAAAGTGAGTAGATGCAAATTATTCTCTATGAACAAAGGAGGACAGTAGGGGTAGCCCAGATGCGGGGTCATGTCTTGCGTAGGACAGCATCGTGGCTCTCTGTTAGGGTAGCCAAGTGGTTAAAGCGTTCGCTCTTCCCGGCGAAGGCAAGGGTTCAATTCCCCACGTGGGTACAATTATTGAAGCCCTTTCTGGTGTCCCCAGCCGTGGATTTGCTGGAATAATCTTAAGGCGACATAACACACAACTCATTATCTCTAATAACAGAGTGAGTGAGTTTTCTTTTTATATTGCTTTAAGCAGGGAGACTATATAGAGTATCCCTGCTTTAAGCAATATTCAAGCAATGTCACTTCAGGGGAAACCAGAAATAGAATACAATATAAGGACAACATTGATATACCCTTAGGGTCTAGCTGAGAGCCATGATATTGGGTCCAACAGTGAAAACCTTACCACCTGATGGACCTTCATTAACTACTGTCATGTAATGAATGTTAGACCTTACCTGGAAGTCCTATGATATTGGAATAAGTTAAATCCAACTTGAACTTGGCCTCATGTTTCTCTTACTAGAATTTTGTAACGAAGAAACCATATCTTCCATGTTTTACTTGATTGGGGCTTTATGGCTGTGTAGATACCGCTTATATACCTTTACAAAAAGTAGGGGATATTCAATAAAAGCTGTCACAACTGTTTGGTATTTTATGTCTCAGATAAGATACATAGTGAAACAGTGTTACGGTGACATGTTATTAGGTTTGCATTAGTCGTTGAATGATTACCATAGATGTTTTTAGACAACTGCCCAAAGCGCTCCACTGTCCTTCACATCCTTCATAGGGTTGTTACCATTCACTCGCATATTTGGTGAACTGAATGATATCCGTTCATGAATTCAACTCAATATTACAATTATTAGCTAATTCAAACATCCAAAGAACTGTTTCAACCAGCACATACTGACAATGAAAGGGAGACAATCTGCTTTTCTTTCAGGATGTGTTGGTTTATCCTGAAATAGCAGACAAGGAAGAATGGGATGATCTCAATCAGATGCTGCAACCCATCGAGAGATTTTTTGATGAAGGAGGTAATAGTCCTAGCTTTCATCATTATGAACAGATTCAATGGTAAGGGGCCGTTCATAATTTATGGCTAGGGGGTCGTAGAGGTGTAGATGATTTTTAAAAAACAATTTTTATTATTTATTTGTTTTTGGTTTTTTGTTCTAGGGAGGTAGAGGGGTCATCAATTTTGTACACACGTACTAGGGTGTGTCAGCAATTTGTACATAGAGATATTATGCAATAAATATCATGTTTAACATAGTGTCATTGGGTAATCATTGATTTTGTACATGACATGCAAGGAGGATCGCTCACTTTGTACATGAAATTTAGTGGGGGGTTGGGGGGATGTATCACTCACATTGTATATGCTTCTCCATAAAAATCATCATCACTCCCCACTAGCTATAAATTATGAACGGTCCCGAATATTTTAGCAGTACGTTAAAAACTGGCATAGGAAGTGCAAAGTTTGATTTTCCTATGTGTGAGAACTTGATTCCTACAACGCTATCTTCATGGACAAGATGGATGAGTAAATATTTTACAAATAAATACTGTCCATATTTTTTATTCAGTAAGAAATAATTTCAGTGTTTGTGGAACAAACAACACATGTATTTTTATTCTATTTTTTCACATTGGCGCGTACCTTAATTATGTTTGGGAATATATGTTGTGTGTAGTCACAACCCAGAGATATTGTTTTTTCAGTTGATTCCAGAGCCATTGATACAAATGCCCAAATCCCTGAAGAAACCATGCAGCAGTTGAAGGACCTCGGCCTGTTTGGTCAGCAGATTCCACAGGAATATGGTAAGAAGCAACAAGCATGCTGCAGCAAAATTTGTCCACAGAGTTGTGAGAGATGACAAAACTTTATGGATTATCAAATTCTTTATTTTCACAATAGCAATGTTTCGGTATAGATTCTTATATGGTTTTCACTGATCACAAATCAGTTGAAGTTAAGCAACGTTGGGTGATTGTGTTTGGCAACTTGACTCCTGAGAGTTTCTAGGACTTTTGTCCTGTCCCACAATAAGGCACACCTGTGGTCTCACCTTAGGCAAGTGAGTTTGTTCACGATTGCCTCTGTTCACCCAGCAATAAATGGGTACCTGGTGGGATGTCATAAGACTATTATTTTTCCTTATCCTGACTCATGCTTATTGCTTGTCTCCCTTTCCTTCCGAATGCTAGTGGAACACTTGAATCCCCTTTTGAAGCTCCCTTCAAAAAAGCGGACGTAAAATCACATACCAGGAGTCACCTCCCTTCCCAGGTTTTGGCGGGAAACGGTGCCACCTGTCTCCCATGCTCTTCACTCTCTCCTGATTCGCCCGAGTGGGCGGTTGTGAGAGCACCTGGTCCCCTATGCGGCATTATATCCTTTTATTATTTAGGCCTTTCTTCTAAATTAGCTGTATAAGGCTTTAGTTAACGTTTACCTACTATATTCTATGGAATTAATTCTCAAATTTCTCTGTTTTATCACGTTTTTACGTGATTATTCACATTGTTTACAATTGATGAAATTTTGTCCTGGTTGTAGGTATTGATTGTCTGCTGTTGATCCACATAACCTATGTCCTAATTGCAAGCCTGTATGTTATCTGACACTCGTTGTCAGTTGTGTTTTCACCAGTCTGATATTGCATTTTACAAATATTCATATTATCTGTCTAGACGTGCAAAGGACAGGTCCAGACGAGACCGGCTAAGCTTGCAGAGGACCAGCAGTTGGTGTCTGCGCAGATGCACCATTCTGGTGGTCTACCAGAGTCATCTACGGAGGAGGTTGCCGCCATAGACAATGCTGACTCGAGGAAGAGGTCATCTACATCTGATACTTCCTCTTCGCAATCTAAGAAGACTAGGGCATCATCTTCCCAGAGGAAGAAGTCAGCTACAACTAAGACTTCGTCGAAGTCTCCACATGGGGCACCGCAGAAAACGAGGTCCTTTGCAGCTGAGATCGTCCCTCTGGAAGAAGTAGATGTCTACAATGAACCGCCCATCCTCATCCCTGAGATCACATCTAAGAAGAAGACGAAGACGTCTTCTACAGTGACCACGCAGGACAACCTTTCAACGCAGACGTTCGGCACAAAGGATCAACGCCCTTCGGAAGAAGCCTCATCCGTCTCAGATGCGTCGTCAGTACAACAGACAACGCAGACCTTCAACCCGGGCGCTTTTATGCAGCAATTTACCCAACAGATGTTGGATCTGATGGAACAACGGTTCGCACGCGAGAGAGCTGCGACGAAGACGACGTCTGCGACGAACCCGAGTGAAGGTCAACGGAGCTGCACACCACGTCCGTTGGGAACCAACGTCCTGCAGAGCGTACAGGAAGATTCCAGCTCGACTACAGCGTCCGCACGAACATCTGGCAGCCATACCAACGTGGAACCTGCACCGACTACGTTCGGCGGAAGGACTAGACGTTCGCCGAACCCACGTAGATCACCATCGATGTCAGATACAGACGTTCATCACGAACCTGCACGCAAGCATGACTACAACGTCCGCACGAAGGTCTGGCAGTCCTACCAACGTAGAGCCTACACCAGTTACGTTCGGCCGAACCCACGTAGATCGTCATCTACCTCAGATGCGGACATTCGTCACGAACCCGCACGCAAGGGTTCGTTACCAAGGAGAAGAGAATCTACACCCGTGCGAAGGCACAGAGATTCGTCACAAGACTCCAATCCTCGACAGAGCTGTTCACCTACAACGCAGGTTCGCGCGAACGTAAGGTTCGCCACGAAGCTCACCACGCAGGTCTCCATACAGATCACCACGCAGATCACCACATAGATCTTCATACAGATCACCTTACAGGTCTCCAGACACTAGGAGACATCAATCCTCAGAGCATGATACTGCTAAATCGGAAGATGACGGCGGAATTATTAAAAAAAATTCCCGACTCTGAAATCAAGTCATGGATGGCCAATGGTTTGGACTGACTGACTGACTGAGTTTAGTTTTACGCCGCTTTTAGCAATATTCCAGCAATATCACGGCGGGGGACACCAGAAATGGGCTTAACACATTGTGCCCATGTGGGGAATCGAACCCGGGTCTTCGGCGTGACGAGCCAACGCTTTAACCACCAGGCTACCCCACCGCCCCGGTTTGGAACTCGCATCACCCTCTAAGGAGGCCAATGAAGCACTCTCGTACTTGATGTTGACTGATGATATAGTCTCACAGTTAGACACAGTAACCAGACGAACCTTCTTCGAGAAGAGCTATCAACGAGACCCTCATCTCGATCATGCAGATCTTCAGGCAGGTCTTCAGGCAGATCTTCAGACTGATCTCCAGAAAGGATTCAGGGTCTTCAAAAAAGATATATCTACATCAGAAGAGGGTAGCGGGATTAACTGCACAAAAACTCTCCTCGACGCTGAGAACCTACACATTCATGAAGGTTAAAGATGTTTCTTAAGAATCCAGGAGGGACTCATGTCCATATACAGATCATTCACCTACAGGCAGATCTTCAGGCAATCAAGTCGTCGCAGTTCAGAGCTAACAACTTGATAGATACTACCGGAGAATTTCAGCGCAGCCTTGGTAAGTCTATGAAGTTCCACAGTCAACATATCCCCGACGTCTAAGCCAGGGATTTCCCACTACTTCACACAGAACCCTTCATGAAAGGCTCCAGCGATTGATGTGAACTGCAAGATCATCAACGACTCCCGTTGTAGATCTTACACTGAAGTTGCAAGTATCAACTCTACAAACACCTTTGTGTATTCAACACAAAGGGGGTATTTTACGATGCTTCATTGAGACCGATGAATACAGTCTACAAGTAACAGCGTTAAGCAAGTATGGAATTTCAACTGATCATCTGTATAAGATGACGACTGCATTATCTTCAGGAATGAAAGAACAGTCACAGCAGCCAGGGAGTCAGTCTACCTACATCGGTATTACGCGGCGAAATCTTTCGCGCGTTTACCATTAGGCCCTCTATACACGTGGTCACTCGTGTTACTTCGGGATGTTACGGACAAGGCCAAGTGTTGATGAAGAAATCAACGACTGCACAAGATTCTACAAGGATCTTTTTCCTGCAACACCGGTGACATCACATCGCGGGAATCGGAAAGGAATCAAAATGCTGCATTTTGATTGGTCCATGAGAGACAACGCCCTGCGCAGAAGTCGGACATCGCTCACATGTCAGGAAGTTGTCTACAGATTGTAAACAACATTTCAACATGGGAGGAGGGCTCCATTTACAGTCCGTTTACAGTCCAGTTAGCAGGGTACAGCGTGATTTGACCGTCTTCACGGGATTTAGAGACCTTCCCTGTCAGCAGATTGAAGACTGTTTATCCGACGAATTGCAGCAACATACGTTGACGAAATTTGTTCGTGGCAGCCAGTCTACTATATATAGACTTCACAACGATGGCAGTCCCAGAACCGGAGGTTGCTTCGCTTCCTTTACGGACATGGCAAGGATTCCACAGAATTACAACATCGTCTCAGAGGATCGTTGTCTAGATACAAGCCATCGTATCTCAAGCAATACTCTCTCCGTTACCACTACGAAGTTGGCAGAGCCTACTCAGTATTCTCACGTCAGCCCAAGACATGACTCACAGAGGAAGACTACAATTGCGCCAACTTTAGGTGCGTGTACGCCCGTTTCAATAGTCTGGACTCCTTCGGACTACCGGGCGGATTGAAACCATAATTCTATGGTGGACTCGGAAGTCGAATATTTGCGGAGGAATCTACTTATCAGAGCGGAGTGCAACACTCATCTCTACGTACATGTATCACTTCAAGGCTGGGAAGCTCACCTCGACAACGAAGTGGCAGCAGGGAAATGGTCGAGTCAGGAGCAGTCTGCATATCAACATGCTTGAGATGAAAGCAGTAGGACCATACTACACTGATCCAGCATACTAAGGAATGCACAACTGATGATCCACACGGACACAGTGGCATTCTACATCAACAAACAAGGATCAACAAGGTCCAGATATCTACTATACCTCAGCTCTCATCTGTTCAGCATAATAGATGACTTGAACATCTACATGAGACCATGCCACTTTCTTGGAGCCGAGAATGTGATAGCAGACGCCCTATCTCGTCCAACACAACCATCCCCGACGGAATGGATGTTACATCCAGAAGCCTTTAGATACATCATACAGACGATAGATTTTCGCTAATAGACCTGTTTGCAACAAAATTGAACAAACAGCTTCCAACATTCGTCTCTCCGATTCTTGATCCACAAGCATGGGCAACAGATGCTCCAAGCATCTCCGGGGTAGGACTAAACGCTTAGGCGTTTCCTCCTCCAGCTCTAATATCACAAGTGTTGCAGAAAATCAAGCAGACGAGGAAGCTGCAACTGATTTGATCGCGCCTTACTGGCCAGCGACAATATGGGTTCCTATTCTCACACAAGAATTTGGAAGTCCAAAACTGCAACTCGCAGAGTGTCCGAACCTACTGATACATCCGCACACCAAGCAAGCACACGGGAACCCCACAGTGTGCCAGCTACACACATGGAGTGTATCAAAACTTGCTTGACGAAAGAAGAATGCTCCGCCAGAGCAGCGAAAGCAGTTACACTAGCTTTACGCAAATCTACCCGCACCTTGTATAACGACAAGTGGCAGAGTTTTGAGAAATACGCCTTAAGAAAAGGCTTCACAGCGATGAAAGTAACTCGTCCTCAAGTGGCGGAATATCTTTGTCATCTCAGACAAATAATACAATTAAAAGGTTCAACGCTATCTACATACCTAGCGACCCTCAGCTCAGTAATCACCAGGAAGTCAGGTGTTAAACTGACTAAAGTACCAGAAATACTGGCCTTACTACGATCCTTCAATTTGGAAGGTCAACAAGCGCCGGCTTGGGATCTTAACGTAGTTCTACAGCTTCTCACCAGTGATGCTTATGAACCACTAGACAGGACATCCTATGAGTTTCTAACACAGAAAACTCTCTTCCTGATCGCTTGGCAACAGCAGCACGGATGTCAGATATACATGCTCTAGACTTTGAATGTATACGTTTGATGCACATCACAACATCGTTCATCTGGGATTGAGATGGGACTTCATAGCTAAGAATCAATTGCCAGGTCAACCCGACAGACAGTCCCACGTCCCAGCATTATCATCAATCCCTGGGCCACAGGATATCCAGGATCTATCCTTATGCCCAGTCAGAGCACTGAAAATCTTTTTACAAAGATCTAAAAACAGGAGACGAAAATTCAAACGCCTTTTCATCCCCATATCGTCACCTACAAGATCTCACGTACTTCGATATCAGTTTGGATGAGAGCAATCATACTACGAGCCTACAAGGCAGCAGGACTTGAGCCTCCTCGAGCCTCCAATCCGCACGGAGTTAGAGCACTGGCATCTACACTCACTCTACATGGAAACTGCTCAATATCCACGATCATGGAAGGGTGTTTTGGGGAATCGGAGACAGTATTTGCTAACCACTACCTCAGAGACATTGCTACTGAGGATGTCTCCGGTATCCACCAGTTTGGACCTCTGGTTGTAGCTCAACAACTGACGGTCCCTCAAAGGCGCTGAGATGTATCTCGCCCTTTTACCGCATGTCATGCAAAGCTCGTACTCCAAGGAATAGAGCTTATAGTCCATGTACACGTCTAGAACAGACTAGCATGAATATTGGACCCTGTACTTGTAAGGAATTACTGGTACACGGATTGGGTCACTACTCCACTTGATTTGACCATCAAGAGTTGGAATTATTTAAATCCACATGTACGATTACAGAAGAGTTTGATATATTGTGGTCACCCCAAATTACCAAATTATTTCGACATATGGATCAACAGCAGCAGTGCCATTTAAAGTTCCCATGGGGGTTTATAGGACGTAAATTCAACACTAAGGAATCCAGAGGTGGCTTGACCCACCACCTATACCATCGGATTCTACAAGCAATAAGCATGAGTCAGGATAAGGAAAAATATGTAATTTTCTGACTAAAATTGATATTTTATACTTATCCTGACTCATGAGGTAAGCCCTCCCAACCTCCCCTCAAGGCACTCTGGATTTCCCAGTAAATCAGTGTGTCGGGCTATAAAATACGGAGAGAGTGAAGAGCATGGGAGACAGGTGGCGCCATTTCCCGCCAAAACCTGGGAAGGGAGGTGACTCCTGGTATGTGATTTTACGTCCGCTTTTTTGAAGGGAGCTTCAAAAGGGGATTCAAGTGTTCCACTAGCATTCGGAAGGAAAGGGAGACAAGCAATAAGCATGAGTCAGGATAAGTATAAAATATCAATTTTAGTCAGAAAATTACATGATCTTATAGTACCTCACAGGTAGCTTGGGTTATCTGGGGTAATAATGTTTGTCATGTTGCACTTAGAGCATGTCCCTATGGCGTGGAGCTCAGCGCTATATAAGTAGCCTTATTATCCCCCGCCGCACGTTTAGCACGAAGCGGGGAATATAGTATTAGGCTCCGTCCATATGTACGTGTACATCTGTACGTACGAATTGGAATATCTTAAAGGTCACATGCAACCAAAAAATCAAACATAATTAAAACACAATTATCACTTATTCATGACATATAATATACATTGCTGGTTATGAAAAAACATATAAACAAAATTATAAGCGTACAATCGCAAATCAAAAGTGCAATATTGTGTACTTGGGTTTACTCAAGTGTAACGGCTGGTTCATTTGCTGATGCCCTCACGGCTCATTGTGTGTGTATATATAGAGATGTTGGGTTTTGTAAATACATGCTCATTTTTTTGTGTATAACATTTTGCAATCAACAGACATCATAACATGTCATGTGTTCAAGTATCACACCTGCCTGTCTGTGTAATTACATAATGTGACAGAGACCGAACTCGGGCCATAAATCAATGCGTTTTGTTTATGGTGTATAGCCTGATTGGTGTTAAGTTCAAATTGCATGTGGTCAGTGATTGCAGTTGTGTATTGAATATTGTCATTTGCAGACAGGCAGGCAGACACACAGGTGTCAATAAAACAAGACATTGAGTTTTGTCTGTGACAACGACATATCTATATCACAGTTAGAAATTCTGTCAACGCTAAATAATGACATTGCTTTTAAGTATCGAACTGAGAAAGTGACTGGGTAAGAAGAACGTGTGGTGAAATAGACAAATGAAATTATATAAACAGTTTATTTACTGTCATAACATATAAAAGCTCGCCCTGTGAGATATCAACAAAACATTAGAAAAATAGCTCACACCAAAGCCTTCACCGAGTATTCACCGGACAGCCCGCTTCCAAGTTGCGCAAACCTGTTTCACTGCGCACGTGCTATGAGTGCAGCCCAGCTGTTGAAACCAGTTTTCCCCCTAAAAATCGGGGGAAAATTAGTGAATCGTTTGAACTTCGATTTCGCACGGTTTTTTTCATCGCGTTATTTTTCAACTTTATAAGTTGAATTTGCATTTTTGATGATTTGTTTCGGTAAGTCCATACCGAAAGGTATCAGAATCTGCAAAGTTGTGTTTTACGTTGCATGTGACCTTTAAGAACTGTTCTCTAGATTCACAGTATAAGAAAGGTCCAAGTCAGGTTTGGTGACCTTGACCTTCATTTCAAGGTCACATGGGGACTTTCACGTTTTACCTGCATGTTAAGCTATCTCAAGAACCGTTCTCTGGATTTTCTTCATATTCAATACAAAGCTTTATCTAGGGAAGGTGCAGGGCCCAGTCGTTTTTGGTGATCGTCACATAATTTTCAAGGTCACAGCGACACTTTGAAGATTTCAGCATGTAAACCTGCATGTTAAGCTATCTCAAGAACCGTTCACTGGATTGTCTTCATATTTGAAACCAAGCTTTATTTAAGGAAGGTGCAGGGCCCAGTCACTTAAATTTCAAGGTCACAGAGACACAGGTTATGCTTGTCAGCGAGATACCTAAAGAACCATTCACTGGAGTTTCTTCATATTTGAAACCAAGCTTTATCCAAGGAAGGCGCAGGGCCCAGTCGATTTTGGTGACCTTGGCCTAATTTTCAAGGTCACAGCAACACTTTGAAGATTTCAGCATGTTAACCTGAATTGTCAGCAAGATATTTCAAGAACGGTTCACTGGATTTTCTTCAGACTTTCAAGACTTCCCTTAAATGTTTTTCAATAAGCAATTTCTTTAGTACTATTTTTGCATATGTCATACACTATGACATTCATGTCAAGGTCAAAGTCAGTCTTGAAAATATGTGTGTGTTTGAACACCTAAAGAGCAAGAGGTTGACTGGTCATGTTTTTGTTGACATTTAACTTAAACTTTCATTACTTTATGAGTTTGATTTGATAATTTGCGGCGGGGGATTATGTCACCTTAGTGACAATGCTTGTTATCATGAATATTATGATTATATTTAGCTGTGTAATACCATTCTCTTCCATTCTAACATATTTAGAACACAGTGCAAGACTATTTAGTGTCTCTGCCATTTAACCTAAAATGTCAAAACCATCACAGTATATCATCACTGAAATGTATGGAATGAACATGTTGTTATTGCCACTGATAATTACTGATTTAGCTTTTTCCCTCAGGTGGACTTGGACTCAATGCAACCAAATATGCTAGAATAGCTGAGATAACATCACAAGATGGCGGTATTGCTGTTACACTGGCTGCCCACCAGTCAATTGGTCTCAAGGTAAAACCAGATGTCTGTTGGTCTGATGTACAACACACTGTTCTGTAGGGTTATCCCACACTCTCCCATGTCCCATTGGTCCACTTCCAAGTACTGGACAGAGTTAAATCTGCCTTGAGCCCATGATTGTTGTTTTCAGACTGGCATCATATGAATTAGTCTCATGTTAGCCTTCTGCACTGTCCTGATATATATATTGGTCTTACAGTAGCCCCAAACAGAGTCATGATGTGTATTGGTTTTATAGTAGCCCCAAACACAGTCATGATGCATATTGGTCTAATAGTAGCCCCAAACACTGTCATGGTGTGTATTGGTTTTATAGTAGCCCCAAACACTGTCATGGTGTGTATTGGTTTTATAGTAGCCCCTAACAGAGTCATGATGCATATTGGTCTAATAGTAGCCCCAAACACAGTCATGATGCATATTGGTCTAATAGTAGCCATAAACACTGTCATGATGTGTATTGGTTTTATAGTAGCCCCTAACACAGTCATGATGCATATTGGTCTAATAGTAGCCCCAAACACTGTCATGGTGTGTATTGGTTTTATAGTAGCCCCAAACACAGTCATGATGTGTATTGGTCTAATAGTAGCCCCAAACACTGTCATTGTGTGTATTGGTTTTATAGTAGCCCCAAACACTGTCATGGTGTGTATTGGTTTTATAGTAGCCCCAAACACAGTCATGATGCATATTGGTCTAATAGTAGCCCCAAACACTGTCATGGTGTGTATTGGTTTTATAGTAGCCCCAAACACAGTCATGATGTGTATTGGTCTAATAGTAGCCCCAAACACTGTCATTGTGTGTATTGGTCTAATAGTAGCCCCAGACACTGTCATTGTGTGTATTGGTCTAATAGTAGCCCCAAACAGTGTCATGGTGTGTATTGGTTTTATAGTAGCCCCAAACACTGTCATTGTGTGTATTGATCTAATACTACTATTACTAGCCCCAAACAGTGTCATGGTATGTATTGGTTTTATAGTAGCCCCAAACACTGTCATGGTGTGTATTGGTTTTATAGTAGCCCCAAACACATTCATGATGCATATTGGTCTAATAGTAGCCCCAAACACAGTCATGATGCATATTGGTCTCATGATAGCCCCAAACACAGTCATGATGTATATTGGTCTTATAGTAGCCCCAAACACAGTCATGGTGTGTATTGGTTTTATAGTAGCCCCAAACAGTGTCATGATGTGTATTGGTCTTAAAGTAGCCCCAAACACTGTCATGGTGTGTATTGGTCTAATACTACTATTACTAGCCCCAAACAGTGTCATGGTATGTATTGGTTTTATAGTAGCCCCTAACAGAGTCATGATGCATAGTGGTCTAATAGTAGCCCCAAACACTGTCATTGTGTGTATTGGTTTTATAGTAGCCCCAAACAGTGTCATGGTGTGTATTGGTCTAATAGTAGCCCCAAACACTGTCATTGTGTGTATTGGTCTAATAGTAGCCCCAAACACTGTCATGGTGTGTATTGGTTTTATAGTAGCGCCAAACACAGTCATGATGTGTATTGGTCTAATAGTAGCCCCAAACAGTGTCATGGTGTGTATTGGTCTAACAGTAGCCCCAAACACTGTCATTGTGTGTATTGATCTAATAGTAGCCCCAAACACTGTCATGGTGTGTATTGGTTTTATAGTAGCGCCAAACACAGTCATGCACTGTATTGGTCTAATAGTAGCCCCAAACACTGTCATTGTGTGTATTGATCTAATAGTAGCCCCAAACACTGTCATTGTGTGTATTGGTCTAATAGTAGCCCCAAACACTGTCATTGTGTGTATTGATCTAATAGTAGCCCCAAACACTGTCATTGTGTGTATTGATCTAATACTACTATTACTAGCCCCAAACAGTGTCATGGTATGTATTGGTTTTATAGTAGCCCCAAACACATTCATGATGTATATTGGTCTAATAGTAGCCCCAAACACTGTCATGGTGTGTATTGGTTTTATAGTAGCCCCAAACACATTCATGATGTATATTGGTCCAATAGTAGCCCCAAACACAGTCGTGATATATATATTGGTCTCATGATAGCCCTAAACACTGGCAGTACAACAGGCACACACATATGCATGTATATTGCTGTAGAAGTGCAATTTTCTTGAAACCCCATTCACATCACTCTTATTTTTTGGCCGAGTCAAGGGTTCCCTGTAGTAACACTCACGATTTAAGTTTACCATTCATCACGTGTCGCTGGCCTTGTGAGTTGAGTCATGGGTTCCCTGTAGTAACACCCACGATTTAGGTTTACCGCTCATGTTGTGTCGCTGGCCTTGAGTGTCTCCCCCTGCCATGCTGATGTCAGGTGAGGAGACTGAGATGTAAGACAGCTATGTACTTGCAGGGAATCTTGATTGCTGGTAGCGAGGAGCAGAAACAGAAGTACCTCCCTCGTCTGGCCACTGGAGAACACGTAGCCGCCTTCTGCCTTACGGAACCCTCCAGGTAGCTGCATGATAACAACGCTAGTTCTTTTAGAACATTCAGGCCAAAAAGTTATCATATCAACAGATTTTTCAATGATCAAGCAAATGTTGAGGCTTTCATGTTAGTCATTCATTGAGAGGTTGGGATTTTTTTATAAACTTATGTTTAAAATATTCCTGCCTTTTGGGGGAATCTTTAAAAATGAATGAATATCATTGTGGCTTTAGATATTTCAGTAGTTGGTACAATAATTATTAGTCAAAGAGCATCTCTTCCTGGAGTGAAACTGTTCTTTGTACTATTTTACTCAAGTGGAATTCCCATGGAACAGAATTTTAAGGCAAACTTTTTCCGTGATAAATTTACTCCAGCAATAAGTATTTTCATGTGAAGCTTATCATTGCTGACAGATGTGTGGATATACTGAAAATAAAGGTGAAGGTCATTGTGTTATTGCAATAAGCCTAATATGTGTAAACCGAAGAGTTTCACTTATTCAATATCATAGTACAATGTTAAATTTTATGGGGTCATAGTATACATATCAGTAGCATACAGGTAAAAAGGCCCATAATCTCTGGCATTGTATCTTTAGCATTCCTGTAAAGTTGTGATTGAGAACAGTTGCCATGGTTACATTTCTCCCTCCAGTGGCAGTGATGCAGCGTCCATCCAGTCCCGTGCTGTTCTGTCTGATGATGGCAAATTGTTTCACCTGACTGGCAGTAAGATCTGGATCTCTAATGGAGGAATTGCAGACATCTTTACTGTGTTCGCAAAGACAGAAGTCACAGACAGCCATGTGAGTTATCCAGATTATACTTGACCCTCCAATGAGTTCTCAAGGATTTTCCCATACACTATACAGTGAGAGCTTATCTTGACTTTCAAGCTATCCGTCAACCATATTTCAAGTAGAATTAAGATCTTGGCTGAGCAGCTTGAGTAACAAACCATACTACTTGATGGGAAGCGCGTTGCTGACAGGTGCCCCAGCAGTCACCACTGGTGCTGTGAAGAGTTGCCTTCCTTGGGCAGGTCAGACACCGGTGATTGTAGGTTCAAATCACCCTGACCTAGGTTAGTCAGCACTAGTGTTGGGAATTGGTTGAAATCTCACAATTGATGATTGGTTCAATACCAACGACCAATCATCGAAAAAAATTGGTTCGCATCATTTTTTAGATTTTCCTATTGAGGTTGTAGTTGCAGATAAGTATTAAGAAAAAACATTTGGTTCTCTGTTGTAGTTTTTTGAAACTGCACAAATTACATTTGCAAATTTCACATCCAGTGTAAAATGATTCAGTTCCTGTGTAACATAAACTTCCCAGATTCTTCAAGAAATATTCAGTCATGACTTTTCAGAAAGTGAAGTGAGTTTTCTTAGAAATAAACACGTTTTCCGGCCCTGACAACATCCTAGATATGTTCTATCATCAAGTATTTCAAACTCTATTACAGCGGTTCCAAAATCGTTTGTGTTCGATTATGAGAAAATGTGATCAATTGCTTGGTCGTTTGGCCATTGCGACCAATCTTCGATTATTTCAATTAATCGGACCACCACTAGTCAGCACCCATGTTTGTGGTTATCACCAAAGTGGAAGACAGGTCTGAGGCCATGCATCACTTTGAGCATACTGACTCGACATGCAATGCAACTGGAATATTGTTAAAAGCAGCATCCAGCCCCACACTCACGAGTCACACTGGATGTTGTGTGCTGTAAAGTGAATTTAAACCAAATCTTCACAGTGCCTCAAACTGATCATTGTAAATGCATGAATGTAACATCAGTTCCTGTGATCGTGGAACATATTGCTGCTCTGTGTCTTTGTTATGGAAGTTAACACTCAGGCTTCAATCATTTCACACCAGATTGTCAGTCATATGTACTGAATGTTTAACAAATGTTTTGAGGATTGTGCAGATCATAGCGTGACTGATTTGCTCTGACATTGCAAATAGTTTCTGTCAAAACAGTCCCACAGCTCAAGGGCAGAAAACTATGAGTACATGTTTCTGTTATTCAAATTATACTAATAATACAATTTTATATGAAATTTTAAGTAATACTGACCTGGGATCTTCCACTGAACAATCAAAACTTCCATATTCTAGCTTAGACTACTAGCCAGTCAGAGTGCTATGATCATTTTGTGCTACAGACTTCCATTAACAATTCATAAAGCCAAGCTTTAACATGTTTTAAATTTCTCCATTGCCTCAGGGTGAGAAGACAGACAAAGTGACCGCCTTCATTGTGGAGAGAGATTTTGGTGGTGTTACAAGCGGCAAACCTGAAGACAAGCTTGGAATCCGGGGATCAAACAGTCAGTGTGATCTGTGCTCTAAAGTTCTGCCAATCTGACATCATTGCTCACTCTCACCTGACTTCCTGTAACTCAGTTCCCATCATTCTAGCCCCACAACTTATAAGACTGAGAGGATGACAACACAAAGATTACTTCCTGGTATATGACAAAGCAACCTTAGTGAACGTATGCTAAAGTAATACTAGGTATTTTACACCTGCAGCCAAACACCTGCAGTTGAACACCTGTTTATGAAATATCTCCCAATCTATTAAATACTCTTGTTTACTTTGTTTTTTTGTGTCATGGAATGGTATGTGAGATATTTAGATGTCCCAACCTTTCATTTCCTCATTTGCAGTCTTACAGTTTGGTTTATAATGAATCCTCAGCAGGCTATGCTAGTCTAACTGGCTGGCACTCACAATGTATGCTATCCAAATTGCTCAAATTGATGCTCATTAGGGGTGGGTATTGCAGAGAATTTTCATATTGCGATATATTGCGATGCGAAAGCATATATTGCGTTATGTATTGCAATAATTTGCAAGAAGTATTTTTAAACATAAAACTACTTAAAATCGAGTTAATGCTTGATTTATAAAGCAAAAACACAGCAAAATAACTATGCTTGATTAAGCGTTAACAACAACCTTTAATCATGACAAAATAAAAATGTAAATAATATTTGGCACAACCGAAACAAGGAAATATCCGAAGATTTCCGAGTGTTACGAAGTTTTCCGAATGCTAGTCGAAATACCGTGTTTTGATCAGCGTATCACAATACGTATCGTTTTCATGTCTGAACGGGTAAATACCGGTAAACCGGTTATATTGCGCAGCCCTAATGCTCATGGTGTCAATCACTGGATTTCCTGTACAAGCTTGATTATTTAGATAACATCATCACATAGGTAGTGTTAAGCTTCAAACAAACCTTACTTCATTTCAGCATGTGAAGTTCACTTTGACAACACCCCTGTTCCTGTAGAGAATGTGTTGGGGGAGGTGGGAGGAGGATTCAAGGCAAGTGTGTCATTAATCTGGAGGTCATCATCATAATGTACAGATCCTTCATGAGGAGGGGTGTTATTAATAGCCTACAGCAGGGTATGAATACAGTAGTATTGTATCTTGATACAAGGCTTACAAGACAATGCATCAACCCCAATGCTGCAAAACATATTATGCATATGTTACAAGTTAAATTTGTGTAGAAACGTGTGTAATGACAGAAGTTGTTCAACAGTCAGCTTATGCAGATTCTCTAGCATTACACAGTTGGCTATCAATATTATCACCACAGCACCATGTAGTCTAATTTCTAAACCACAAATGATTCAAGGTTAAGATTCAAGAGACAAAAGAAAGAATATCAACTAAAGATGTAGTAATGTATCAGTTCATAAATTGTATCACACCCATTGTATCAGAATATGTATCATATCACAAGCCCACCGTATAAACACCCCTGAAAGTTTTAAAGGTGCTCTAAATCACTTCATTCCTTACCATTTCCTATTCTCACAATACCGACATGTCATCTACTTTAAGATGGCTATGAACATCCTCAACAGCGGCAGATTCAGCATGGGCAGCTCCGGAGCTGGGATACTCAAGAAAGTCATTGGTGATATATTATTTACACTTGTTTCTCAATGATACTTTGAAAGGTTACAAAATGGTTTTGTTGGAATTAGTGTTTAATGTAGGACTTGTATTTATGTCTTGAAAGTCATGAACAGTTTCATATTAGAACTAATCTGAAACATTTTGAACAGAATTACTCGTGTAAATATCTCCTCTTGACCTATAGGTTGGACCCAAGAGAATAACAATATCATGAAAAAAAATTGAAAAAATGTATACAGTATCAATGGTTACATGTGAGGAAATATTCAAACCCTAAAATACTTACTTTAAGCCATAATCATAAGCAGGTTGCATGGATAGTTGCTCATGTTGGATGTTGCTGTGGCATAAAGTAATCATCATGGCCTCCTCTCCTCTCCTCCAGGTTGGACAGCAGAGCATGCAGCCACCAGGTCCCAGTTTGGCCGGAAGCTGGCAGAGTTTGGACTGATTCAGGTACTATGTTCACACCTGCTGCTACTCTCCAGTATAATCCAGTACCTTGTTATCCCCCGCCACGCGTTTAGCTCGAAGCGGGGGATATAGTATTAGGCTCTGTCCGTCCGTCCGTCCGTCCGTCCGTACAAATTGGAATATCTTAAGAACTGTTCTCTAGATTCTTTTCATATTTGGTACCTAGGTTCATCACAGAAAAAGAAAGGTCCAAGTCAGGTTTGGTGACCTTGACCTTCATTTCAAGGTCACAAGGGGACTTTCACGTTGTACCTGCATGTTGAACTATCTCAACAACCGTTCACTGGACTTTCTTCATATTCAATACAAAGCTGGGGGCCCAGTCGATTTTGGTGACCTTCACATAATTTTCAAGGTCATTGCGACACTGTGAAGATTTCAGCATGTAAACCTGCATGTTAAGCTATCTCAAGAACCGTTCACTGGATTGTCTTCATATTTGAAACCAAGCTTTATCTAGGGAAGGTGCAGGGCCCATTCAATTTTGGTGACCTTCACTTAATTTTCAAGGTCACAGCGACACTTTGAAGATTTCAGCATGTTAACCTGAATTGTCAGCAAGATATTTCAAGAACGGTTCACTAGATTTTCTTCAGACTTTCAAGACTTCCCTTACATGTTTTTCAATAAGCAATTTCTTTAGTACTATTTTTGCATATGTCATACACTATGACATTCATGTCAAGGTCAAAGTCAGTCTTGAAAATATGTGTGTGTTTGAACACCTAAAGAGCAAGATATCAAGAGAGGTTGACTGGTCATGTTTTTGTTGACATTTAACTTAAACTCTCATTACTTTATAAGTTTGATTTGATAATTTGCGGCGGGGGATTATGTCACCTTAGTGACAATGCTTGTTGTATAAACGTGTTAGCATTACCATGGAGTATAAAACAGTACTGTGCAGTATCAACGTTTTAGAAACACCATGTAGTACAATACAGTACCATGCAGTATAAGGTATAACAAAGCATCATTCATTATGACACAGTACCATGTGTTATACCGCAGTAGCATGCAGTTTAACACTACATAACATGTGCTACTGAATGTCGTTATCCAGGAGAAGTTTGCCAAGATGGCTGTGACCGTGTATGCTATGGAGAGCATGGCCTACCTGACAGCTGGCACCCTTGACCAGTATGACAAACCTGACTGTGCTGTGGAAGCTGCAATGGTGAAGGTTAGCCATCATGATATTCAGAAGCTCAACAATTCAGGGATTTACTGAGGTCTGTGTACCGGTATGTAGGGTCCAGAGGATCCAGGGGGATTGGTCACAGGCATGTAACATGTCCCTGCCTGATGACATGCAGCACTCTTCACTTGATTTCCAAGAATCTTACTTCTATCATAAGGAATATCACTTGAGAAGAACTTGTTTGATTTAATAAAATCAACATACACAGCTTTAGAAGGCTTTCCATTTCCAAATGACTACAGCAGCAAATAACGGTTCAGCTGACTTTAGTTCGGCAGTAGACGATGTTGACGTGAAGCTGTGTTGTTAGATGGTGCTGCTGTTGATGTTGCAGGTGTTCAGCTCCGAGGGGTGTTGGAGCTGTGTCAGCGAGTGTCTGCAGACTCTGGGTGGACTGGGTTACATGAAGGACTACCCCTACGAGAGGTTCCTCCGTGATGCCAGGATTCTCCTCATATTCGAGGTACAAATAAAGGGCATCATTTCATCAAGCGTTTATAATGTGATTATAGGGTAGTGTTCATCATGTTGCTTGATGTGGAATAATCTCTGTGTTCTGGTGAATAAGGCCCAGGTATTTGCAACACATATTTACTAAGGAAAACAATCAGTAATATCTTTTTGGTTATTAATTACTCTGTGAATATTTCAGGGCACTAACGAGATCCTGCGACTGTTTATTGCCCTGCAAGGAATTCAGCATGCTGGCAAGGAGCTGAAAGAGCTGGTCAAGTAGGTACCAATATATCCTGTAACATCTGGAGGTAGACGTTGAGGGTGGCCATAGATGGTGTAAGGTGTGGGGTAGGGTGTATTGATGGTGTGAGAGTGAGCATGGACTGTGTAAGTGTTGTGCTATTGATGGTGTGCGGGATGGAGATTAGACGGTGTGAGGGTGGGGGTATTGATTGGGTGAGCTGTGTGAGGGTGGAGGATATGGAATGTTGATGTGAAGAACTAAAATTTAGTCACATGCCAAACTCTAATGACAATTGGGAACAGCAACTCTCAGCATCAAACGTATCCCAGAAACCTTGTTTCTGTCACGACAGGAAACTACGGAACCCGATGGCTAACCCCCGGGCTGGTGTTCTCCACTGCTGTTGGCCGATTGAAGAGTTCTGACAACCCCAAGCTGTCACTCCGCCTCAGTGAAGAAGTGCATCCCAGTCTCCAGGTAACAGTTGTACAATTCAACCATGTCTCATCGCTTGGCGCTATCAGCTGACTGTAGATAATGACTGCGGGAAGGTTGGTAGTTTGATCCACAGCCATGTCAAGCTCTCAGCAATATGGGGATAGAATAGAGTTGGTATACTGTGTCCTGAGTGGGGTATCCATTGTAATAGTGGTATGGAATCTAAATGTAAGCAGTAACTATAAAACTCATAATCCCTAACTAGTACAAGCAGCAACATAGCTCACATGCATGCATTTCAATGTGGAAGTTAAATAAACTTGCTGACCCAGTCATGATAACCAGGCCTATCTTGCTGTCTACTGGAAGTAGAGGAACATGTTACATTATCTTGCAGAACTTTTATGTACCGGTACCCTAATTTCAGGATTCTTCTGCCTTGCTGGAGAGGGGAGTTCTTCGATTCCAGAAGGCTGTGGAAGGAGTTCTCACCAAACATGGAAATGTAAGTTACAGTCATGAGTTATATGTCATGGTCTCATCAGATCTGGTGGGCGGTGGGGTAGCCTAGTGGTTAAAGCGTTGGCTGGTCACGCCGAGGACCCGGGTTCGAATCCCCACATGGGTACATTGTGTGAAGCCCATTTCTGGTGTCCCCCGCCGTGATGTTGCTGGAATATTGCTAAAAGCGGCGTAAAACCAAACTCACTCACTCACTCATCAGATCTGGTAAACAGTTGTTCCATTTCAAAACCTACATCAACACCTTACAAATCTGTCAGATGTTATCGTATCCCAATTGCATAGATCAATGTTGATCACTGGATTGTCTGGTCCACTGAGTTATTTACAGACCAGCACCATACAGCTGGAATATGCAGCTGAGTGTAGCATTAGATAACAAACAAACATGGAATGTCATTTTATGCTGACTGGGCAGAATGCTCCATTCACTCATGTGCTGTCAGTTTGATATATATTACATATGCAGAACTTCCATGTTTCTCTTTTCAGAAAGTTATCCATGAGCAGATGGAGCTGAAGCGTCTTGCTGATGTTGCCATCGACCTGTACGCCATGACTGCCTGTATCGGACGGTCGTCGAGGTCCTACTGTATAGGTCTCCGCAATGCCGACCATGAGGTAGGTGCTCGTTAGTGCAACTCTACAGGTAGTTTTTTCATATTGATTGTAATGTGTCTGGATTAAAGGTAATTGCGACAATGTAGCTCAGACAAAAAAGATTTTACATAAATCAAAGTAACTAAGTAATGTAAATTCTAGACTGTTTTATACTTGTACCCGCTTCTCAATTTCATCATAGTGAATAGCACCATTACATTCATGGCAAATGTTCAATGTTACTTTGTATTTTCAGCTGATCCTGGCTAAGACATTTTGCAATGAGGCCTACTTGAGGATAGACGAGAAACTGAAGGAACTAGCAATGGGTTTGTCATTATATTGACTTGCAATTTGTCATCCATTTCCTGATCTGTTTCCTGAGATACACTAAGGAATAAATTCATTCTTCACGTCACAAGGATACCCGTGAAGGTCCGGGTTAGAATTGGCCTTCAGTACCCATTCTTGTCGTAAGAGGTGACTAAGGGGATTGGGTGGTCAGACTCGCTGGCTTGGTTGACACATGGCATCGGTTCACAATTGCGCAAATCGATGCTCATGCTGTTGATCACTGGATTGTCTGGTCCAGACTTGATTATTTACAGACCGCGCCATACACCTTGAATATTGCTGAGTGCAGCATAAAACTAAACTCACTCACTCATCACAAGGAGATTTGTGGGGAGCATGTGGACCTCTAGAACAGTCAACATGTGTCTCCTTTGATAGTTGAGTCTACTGACGCTAACAGGATGCAGTTGACACTGATCTGCACATCATGGGTCTTTCACTCAAACTATTTTTGTTTCAAGAAGCATTTTTCACTTTGAATGATGATAGCATGTATTCTGAAACTTCAAAGAGTATTTCAAAGCATCGGGCTAAGGGATTGGTGACGCACCAAGATTGATCATACTTCAACATATCCTGACGACAATTGTAGCACTATTATTGGTCTATGGAACAGGTCCCAACAGATTGGAGATATTATACACTGGATAATCAAAGATGTTCATGGAAAGTACCAAGTTGGGGGGTGTTACCTTCAGCTTTCTCAGTATGATAATTACAGAATTCTAAATGAAGGCATGTTATTAGAATCAGTCTTCAGCAATCCAACCCATGCTTGTATTGACAAATGACATAGTGAATCGGCAAATCTGGCTCAGTAACTTCATAGATACATGCCACTGTATCCCAACTGCTGAGATCAATATTTATTATGTCAATCCCTTGATTGTCTAGTTAAGTCAAGTGCAGTATGGCAACAGGTCCTTTGTCCACGCAGGATCAATGGCCTGGAACAGTCTCCTGCAGAGCCTGAGAGACTGTTGTGACTTTTAAACATTAAGATCAAATCTAAAGACGCACATGTTCAAGATAGCCTTACAACCGTAGCTCTTCACCTTTGGCATTATGTTTTGTGTGCTTTGAGCATGCTTAGGCGTGGATGTATGCATGGTACACATTTGCTATTATTATTATCATTAATGTGTACACTTCCCACATTTAGTTGGAATATTCCTGAGTGTGGTGTTAAAAACAATTACAAAATGTTCATGAAGAGGTCTTCCACTTAGACCGACTGACTGACTTGAGTTTGGTTTTATGCCGCATTTAGCAATATTCCAGCAACATCACGGCCGGGAGACACCAGAAATGGGCTTCACACATTGTGCCCATGTGGGGATTCGAACCCGGGTCTTCGGCTTGACGAGCCAAACGCTTTGACCACTAGGCTACCCCACCGCCCCTCTTCCACTTAGAACCTTTCTTAGCGTAATACTTGCTCCCAAACCTGTTTCAGGTCCAGCGGCAAACATGGATACAAACTATCGCCAGATCGCAGAGACAATATTTAAGAATGGTGGATACGCTGCTGAGCACCCACTACAGAGGAACTGGTAGGAAGGGAGACAACTCTTCTTGGATGCCATACACACTGTCCCCGCCACTTGATTCAGCTTGCAAAAAGAAAGTTTTGTTAATTTGACTAACTTGTATTCATATGTTGGGAACATTAAGTGATGTACGTCAATGTCCATGACCTAAAATTGTATGAAGAGATCTTCACACTGTGTCAAAGGTATAAACCTACTTGAGGCAAAGAATCACTTGGGTGTAAGGCTGGAATTGAATCATACGTATCAGCAAATGTCTACATGAATTTTAAGGACTTGTCTGACACTGAAGTCCAGAATTATTCTGATCAGTCTGATATGCTCTACAGATATTTGTTCCTATAGCATAAATATCTGTGTATGATAATTTAATTCAAATTTAAAAGTTTTCAGCCACAGCTCTGAATACGTTTTTTATCCTATTGTAGCATCAGTGTCAAGAGGAATGAAATGTTTTGACCAAATTAGAGCTACATTTGATTCTCGTACTGCAGATATAATTCTCCCATGGGACTGTTACACTATGTGTTGGGTGCCAAGTGGGATGTTTGGCTGTGTTTAAAAAGATGCTACATTAAGATTAACGGTTCAGTTGCATGAACAAAATTTACTTGCGTCACTCTTTTTTTCTATCATCATTAATTTGTCCTTATAATGTCAATCACTCATCCTTGATCTATTACGAAGTATCTTCATTATTATGGTATTACACAAATGAGCTCCCTACCTCCAGACAACCAGAGCAGGACGTGTTCCAGTATCACAGTACCCCACTGAACAGCATGGGGTCAGGTTATGGAATCTGTGGTCTGATGAGATGTCTTACTGTATCAATTCAGTATTTATTGAGAATTTTTGAGTGTTTTCTATCCTGTATGCACCAATTTACGTTGGAGACTATTAATTCATCAAAAGTGAAGAAAACCACTTAATTCTGTCATGTAACCCCAGTTAAATTTGTCATGGCAAATGTTTCTAAAATTCTTTTGAGTGGTATGTGATAATGATAATAATGCTTATCATATTTATTCGAAGTACTGTTAGAGGTTGATGTGTATCTTGAGTGGATGTGTTTACTTATGGTGCCTAGGTTTTTTCACCTGATATCCAAATAAGGTAATTTGATGTTCTGTATATTTTCCATCTGTCTATGATTATAAAATAGACATTGTATTAATCAGGAATTCTATAAAACATGATGCCATGACCATTTTGTAGATTCATACCTTGAACATATTGTACAACACGAATGTAAATAAATCATTGATATGTGAAAGTTGTATTGGAAAACTTATGTACACATCCGTGTGAAGAAGCACCAAAGTATCAGCTCCAGGCAAGAGTGAGTGAGTCTTTGTTTCACACTGCATTTAGCAATATCATGGCGGGTGACACAGAATTGAGCTTCACACATTATACCCATGTGGGGAATTGAACCCGGATTTTCAGCATGACAAGCAAACACATTAACCACTGGGCTACCCCTCTCTAGATAAGTGAGTGAGTTTAGTTTTACGCCTCACTCAGCAATATTCCAGCTATATGGCAGCGGTCTGTAAATAATCGAGCCTGGACCAGACAATCCAGTGATCAACAGCATGAGCATCAATCTGTGCAATTGGGAACAGATGACGTGTCAACCAAGTCAGAGAGTCTCTAGGTAAGAAAGTATATGGCAAATAATAATGTGCAACGGAGCCTCTGGATTGCTATGAAAGTTTTCATATTTCCCATTCTTTAACATACATTAAAACCACCATAGCAAGGTCACAGTGGAACGAGTCCCATGACCAAGCAATGAAGCGAGCCAGTCTTTTTCAGAGAGGCAAAGAGTTAATAAACCGAGGTACGTGTGTACTGGCAAGCATCCTCCTGTTGAAATTCAAACTGGTAATATCTCTTCCATGTACCAAACCTCAATCCTCCAAAAATAATATGGATGAGTGAGGATGGTTTTACGCCGCTTTTACCAATATCACAGCAGGGGACACCACAAATAGGCGTCACACATTGAACTGTGAAGGAGTTTTGCACATTCAACCATGAGAAATTCCTTACAGGTATATCACATATATGATGCTTAGTTTGTTTCACAAATTTGTTGAAAACCACAAGTATGGGAATGGTGCAATATAGACTAGGTCCAGACACATCCCTGAAGTTTGGATGAGCCATCGAAGAGTATACTTTGTCAATCAAGCCACTGGTTTCTGCATAAAGGGTCATGATTGGGCCTTTTTCTAAATTAACCTTCTTAAAATGATAAATGCTCAAATCATGTTGTATAGAATATTACAGATGCAACAAAGACAGAGGTATTAACGATATGGTTGACAGGATTCTTATCTTAATGCTGGAATTGTATTTCATATTCTTTCCCTTTCTTAGGAAATCTTGAATCATTAGTTTTCAAACTTCAGATAGTAAAGTTAACATACTGTCAAGGAAAGCCATAAGCTTGGATGCATAGCAGATTCTGCTATTTATAGCCCACCAGGAAATGCTATACTGGTACTTGAACAGTTTGTTATTTTCACTCAAATATTTACATCAGTAACTTGTAATGTAATGAATGGCAGGTCTTCCGATTCAGCGGATGTGAACCAATGTATTGTAACATGAGCCTCATATTGTGGTACAATACTGTACTGCCATATCGTTACAGCACGTATTATTATAATCATTTGAGTGAGTGAGCGAGTTTAGTTTTACACCGCTTTTAGCAATATTCCAGCAATATCACGGTGTGGGACACCAGAAATGGGCTTCACACATTATACCCATGTGGGGATTTGAACCCGGGTCTTCAGCGTGACGAGCGGACTCTTTAACCAGTTAGCTACCCCACCGGCCGATACTCATTTGAAAAGATGACAACAGCTTTGTTTCCCCTTGTTATTTATTTGCCGCTGTACACAATATGGACCACCTAGTTGAAAGTGGTGGTTGGTCTTCGTGTGGTGAACCTGGGGGCGTGCAGCTTCCTGTCCACACGGTGGGGCAGAGGGAAGATGATCTTGCTGTTCTGTAAACAAAAATATTACATGTCATGAAATATACCAATAAAATATTTTGCACAACTTATGATTTGGAAATTACAATCACTGAAGGATTTGTATTCCAATCAAGACTCATCACCAAGAAAACTTTCCCAGGTAATGAACAATGCTTTTACATATTAATCTGCGTCACACAGTGCATAGTGTTACAACCTGTCGTAACTAAAGATGATCGCAGGCTTACTAACACTGTAGTGCCTCAAATGCTTTGTGGATCTTGACCCTCAAGGTAGTGATGCTTAACAATAACTTATACCAGCAAACTGCCTCCTCTACACAAAATGTTTTGCTTTTAGTTAACGCCACAATACGCAATATTCCAGCAACATTACGTTAGCCTGTAAATAGCAGTCTGCTATCCACTGAGTGAATAATACCTGCAAACAAATTCAGTTCGCTCGACCAGAGGTCATTTTCTTCCAACCAACATTGGTGGCTACGGAACAATTTCAACCTGGAATCCCCAAAAGGGGCTAAATAGTAAGTCTGTAGCCATGGCAACACTTACATGGAACTGCTGGATGTTCGCCCTCCTGCACTTGTTAGCGGGGATGATCTCCACACGGATGATCTGAATGGATGATGCCCTTGCTCTGTGACGGGCACCCATGTCACAGTCTGAAACAGGAAGTGTTTAGTTGACACACATACTTCAACCAGTTTAGTAGTAAATAGTCAAAAGTTTGGGCGTACAACTAATGTCCAACTGACAATGCTACACCTTACAGCTGAGAAACAGTATTGGAGAGCAATACTTAGGTTCCCAACATCTGCTGCTTCAGTGTCAAATGGAAGATGAGCACCAGACAAGTCACAAGGTTACTGTGCCCAATGGTTACTGCGTGTCGCACAGTTACTGTGTTCCACATGGTTACCATGTGCCACATGGATACTGTAATATGCATGATTACTGACAGGGATTGGGATAGAGAACTTTTGACAATGGGCCATTTTCAGGATTATTAACCATTTTCTGAAGTTAGAATGGGCCACTGCCTTTGTATCAATAGTAAACTTCAAAATTTTAATGGGCCATTTTTGATTCTAATGGGCAAAATGACCCATGGCCCCTGCCTTTCCCAATCCCTGTTACTGTGTTCCACATGGTTACTGTAATATGCATGGTTACTGCGTGCAACACGGTTAATGTAATATGCATGGTTACTGCGTGCCACATTGTTAGTTATATGCATGGTTACTGCGTGCCACATTGTTACTGTAATATGCATGGTTACTGTAATGTGCATGGTTACTGCGTGCCACATTGTTACTGTAATATGCATGGTTACTGTAATATGCATGGTTACTGCGTGCCACATTGTTACTGTAATATGCATGGTTACTGTAATATGCATGGTAACTGCGTGCTACATTGTTACTGTAATATGCATGGTTACTGCGTGCCACATTGTTACTGTAATATGCATGGTTACTGTAATATGCATGGTAACTGCGTGCTACATTGTTACTGTAATATGCATGGTTACTGCGTGCCACAAGGTTACTGTAATATGCATGGTTACTGTGTGCCACAAGGTTACTGTAATATGCATGGTTACTGTGTGCCACATGGTTAGTGTGTGCCACATTGTTACTGTTATATGCATGGTTACTGCGTGCCACATTGTTACTGTAATATGCATGGTTACTGCGTGCCACATTGTTACTGTAATATGCATGGTAACTGCGTGCCACATTGTTACTGTAATATGCATGGTTACTGCGTGCCACATTGTTACTGTTATATGCATGGTTACTGCGTGCCACATTGTTACTGTAATATGCATGGTTACTGTAATATGCATGGTTACTGTGTGCCACATTGTTACTGTTATATGCATGGTTACTGCGTGCCACATTGTTACTGTAATATGCATGGTTACTGTAATATGCATGGTTACTGTGTGCCACATTGTTACTGTTATATGCATGGTTACTGCGTGCCACATTGTTACTGTAATATGCATGGTTACTGTAATATGCATGGTTACTGTAATGTGCCACATTGTTACTGTAATATGCATGGTTACTGTAATATGCATGGTTACTGCGTGCCACATTGTTACTGTAATATGTATGGTTACTGCGTGCCACATTGTTACTGTAATATGCATGGTTACTGCGTGCCACATTGTTACTGTAATATGCATTGTTACTGTAATGTGCATGGTTACTGTAATGTGCCACATTGTTACTGTAATATGCATGGTTACTGTAATATGTATGGTTACTGCGTGCCACATTGTTACTGTAATATGCATGGTTACTGTAATATGCATGGTTACTGCGTGCCACATTGTTACTGTAATATGCATGGTTACTGTAATATGTATGGTTACTGTGTGCCACATTGTTACTGTGTGCCACTTGGTTACTGTGTGCCACTTGGTTACTGTGTGCCACTTGGTTACTGTGTGCCACTTGGTTACTGTGTGCCACTTGGTTACTGTGTGCCACTTGGTTACTGTGTGCCACTTAGTTACTGCGTGCCACGTTGTTACTGTAATATGCATTGTTACTGTGTGCCACTTGGTTACTGTGTGCCACTTAGTTACTGTGATATGGCTACTGTGAGCCACATGGATACTGTGTTCCACATTAACAGGTACTTACAACACTGTGTGACGGCCTTCGCTGCGGTTAGATCCCGGTACTCCCTGTACATGTTGTGGGTGCCACTACGGGATGTGTATCGCAGCCAGATGCCAAAGTTCTTGATGCTGGTTGGTTTCTTTTCGAACACCTGAAAAACAAGGGTTAGCATGAGGAGCAAGTCAACAATATGTACCAGTACTACAAGGAGTATTATGCACACCTGTACAGAATGTACACAGACATTTTTGTGATTATTTCTGTCCTAATGGACACACAAAAATAAACATTGCACCAAATTCTTGAGGCCAAATATAATGTTCCTGTAATTAAAGTAATTATCAAATTTACTATACCATGCACTACACCATTTAATTACTTCACAGAACCCCGGTTTTGGGGGGTGAAAGTAAAACAATGAGTTTAGCTCTATACAGAATGTTACATTCTTTCTTCTACCATTTCCACATTTTCCTTACAAATACCAGTGTTTAAGGCCAGACACTGCACCTGACATATGACAAAATGCTTAACAAGTATTTGTTAGGTTTATTTAGTTTCAACTTAGAGGTATACATGTTAACAATCGATAAAGAGTCTTTTCCAGGTGATGGTGCCACCGGTT